CTTGGATAACAGAGGTGCGATCGATTCGATTCGAATTATTAAAACAACTCACCTGTTGACGGCCGAGATCTGACTGCCTGCCCATGGTCCATAGAAATGAATGAGGGATGGCTTTCGAATCTACACCTTCAAAAACACTCTTGATAATAGGCTTACCTCATTGCGATCCATTCGATTGATCGTTCCAACACCATTCTTGTCGGCCGAGCTTGGATTTCTCTCCTGTTTGCCATAGCAATTCAATGAGGGAGAGAAGTCAGTGCTGCACCTTCAACAATGGACTTGAACGGTACCGGTACATGTGCAGGCAATCAGTTTATCCTTAACCTCAGTAACTTCAACGGTTCTTTTATCCACGAATCGATCTAAATCTTTCGAAAGGGAACTTGTTACTTAACGATACACATGACCGTTGATTCTGCAACTGAAGTGCGGATACACTAATTTACACAGTAAACGCGAGCCAATCGATTTCAGAGTGCTACTGAGGGGGTAACTAAAAGGAGCGTCGTCTCATGCTTGGTTGGTAATTACTGCCGGAATTCCGGATTACTGGCTACTTACGGTACGATTCCGGAATTCTATAGAACAACAGTTACGGTAACCGTAAAACGTCACCGGAATTAAGGTCATGCACGATTCCGGCAGGAATTCCTAGGATTATGGAGGATTACTCCGGAATTCCGGTACCGTTGGATCGCTAGCCTGTTCCATATCGCTGAGGCTTTTCGTGCAATTCTCGTGCCAGATGCCTTTCGCTGCAACCTGGCAAAAGAATTGTCTGACGTACCATAGCAGCATGGTCGCTTGAGTATCGCTCAACCAAAGAGGCCTCGCTCGGAGCCCACATACATTGGCTTTCAATCCGTTCGAACGATCGATCCACAACCTCTCCTCCTATCAAGATGGTATTCCTTGGCTTTTCTTTACTGGCTGCTTCATTGGATGACACGACCATGGTAACTGGCATCTCCGGCGCTCCTTGCCGGTCAGTTTGATACATCATAAGCTTTGGTTGGCTTGGTATTGGTGGATTTCGTCATTTGGATCCAGCCAACGAACGGCATTTCAATGCGAACGGCATTTCGATATCGCTCCAACCAAAGCCAACGCAAGCCAACACACACGACGAAAGCCCCAGTTTCGCAACTCTCAGCCCTCTTCCTCTCTCACAAAATTGAATGAGTGCTCCCTTCATTCGTTTTGGTCCAATCGCTGGATGACGAGGAACCGCCCCCGTTTCCACTTCAGGACGACGATCATTCTTCTTCGGAAGAGGAGGACGATGAAATTCCTCGCAAGAAAGCTGCTCGCAAGAAGACTCCTGTCGCTGTTGCTCGCAAGGTCGCTGCTCGCAGGAAGGATCTTTCTTCTTCGGACGAGGAAGACGATGAAGTTCCTCTCAAGGCAGCTGCTCGTGGCAGATCCAGTAGTCGCAACAGCAGCAGGACTTCCAGTGGCGGTGCAAAGGTAGTGCATCAGTTTGAGGTGTTCTCGGAAGATCCTGATGCGAATCCAAATGCCAAGCGAGTTTCCTTGCCGCCCCGTCATGGCAATCGTGGTCGCTCCTTACCCACTGCCACTTCTCGCACCAGGAACAGCGATACCACTACCACCACCAGCAGCAGCTCAGGAAGCAGGTCGTCTAGTCAGGATCCTTCTTCCCGTGGTGGCTACGATATCTGGACTGATGATTTCATCCAGAAGCAGGAGGTAAACAAGAGCGGGGGTGGCACCAAGCGCGTTTGGAAGTGTTTGCATTGCAATCAGTTGTTCTCCGGGTGGAACGTCACCAAGGTCAAGGCCCACTTGGCCAAGAGGGCTGGTCACGACATCAAGTGTTGCCCCGCAGTTCACGCTGCCGAACAGAAGCTCGTGTACAAGATGGCTTGGGACGAGCTGAAGGAAAAGCGCCAAACAAAGAAGAAGATTACTAACCTGATTGTCGCGAATGCTGAAGCCAAGCTGGAAGATACCGTGGATGCTATGTTGGACCAAAGCACCGGCCATCGGGCCAGAGCCGCGCGCAAGGAGATTGCTGGTGGTAATCAGGAGCTTGTACAGCACACAAAGGGTAGCGGTATCCAGTTGTATTTGACTGGTAATCCGCCTGACCAACGCAACGCCTTGAAGTTGGATACCCAGTTGTGTTGTTTGATTGCGGAAGGTGGCTATCCTATGAAGCTACTCGACGATCCAAACCTTCATCTTGCGCTGCAGCTGGCCAAAACTGTTCCCAACAACTACAAGCCACCGACCGCCAGGACTTGTGCCAACGCAAACCTCAAAATCCTGTACGCCAAGCACTATTCGAAGGCAATGCGTACGCTCCTCAAGGACAGTGAAATCTTCGGGAATACTATTTATGGCGATGGTGCTACTGTCAAGAGGATGGCGCTCATGAATATTATTGGGTCGGGCGTCCACAACCACTCCGTCGTCTTGGAGATCAAGGATTGTACCGCGCACTTGGCACAGGGCGGAAAGAAAGATGGTCAGTACATTGCTGATGCGATGGACAAGCATATCATGGCGATGGACCCTGACAACAAGGGCACCGTCTATGCTGTCGTCATGGATGGCGCTTCCAATGTTCAGTTGGCGGGAAAAATCCTTTGCAGCAAGTATCCCAGAATGACGCGCCTCCATGGAGCGGAACATGCTATCTCTCTCTTCTTTTCGGACGTGGCCAAGACGGACGTGGGGAAACTCCTCATCAAGTTTTACCGTGGCCTTTACAAGTGGTTCGGTAGTGGCACTCACCACAAGATGTATGCCATGTTCATGAAGCACTCGAAAACACACCACGAAGGAAACAGGTTGGGATTGGTGTGCTATGCGGAGACCCGAATGGGTGGATTCTTCATCGCCCTTCTTCGCCTTGCCCGTCACCAGAGAGTGTTCCAATCCCTTTTTGCGGATCCTAACTACCACCGTCTCAAGAAAGGAGACAAGCCACCCCAGAAGATGCTTGATGTCCTCAAGAGCAAGGACTTCTTTACGGTCATCAAATGTATCAACAAGGCAATGTACTGCCCCTTGCGCCTGCTTCGTCTCTGTGACACTAACTCTCTTGCGATGGACAAGCTTTTCTTCTACGCTTGCCAAACAGAGATCCATTTGGAGAAGTACGGAAACGGACTCAATTATTTGGAGAATCATTGTTTCAATCTCTTTGAGGATCTTCAGGAATACTGTGGTTTGAATTTGGCCCCAAAACCGGCTAATGAGGTTACCACTGTCCCCGATCTTACCCAAGCATCGTACTCAGCGAACGAGATCATTGACATCGATTGGGAAATCGAAACAAATGACTTGACGAATCTAGCAATTGATTTTGCCGACCTCGACGATGGAGACTTTGATGGGGTCGAGCCCGATGACGAAGACAAACCTCTCGAACTGGAAGAGGATTCGGACGATGATCTGGAAGACGCATCAGCGGGTACCGCGGAATTTGGCAAGCAGGTCAAGGCTTTCTACAAGAAGAGGAGCACAAAGCTTGGTCACGAGATTGCGGTCTCTGCTTGGGCTTGTTCTCCTCATCCGGATATCCAGCAGCATGTCTCTGACAATCTCAATGCCATCCACAAAGCTGCCATTGAGAAGCTAGTCAAAAAGCTTTTGGCGCCCTTGGACATGACGGCTTCGGATGAAATGGATTGGGAAGCGGAGGTTTACGATACATTCTGGAAAGAGTGGCAGGACTTCCAGGACCAAACCGGACTTTTTGCAAATCGCGAACATGTCTGGCGGTCAAGTGATGTCTACAACAACGACACTCCCATGTGGCACAGGAAGAACACTCTCGCCAACACGAAGTACTTTGGCAAATTTGCCTGCATCTGCACGGCAGTCCTCATGGGTATTGGCAATGCAGAGCGTGAGTGGGGTGCGGTCAAACACATCAAGTCCGGAAAGCGCTCTCACCTAAGCGCGGAGATGATAGAGATGCTGGGCACATTGTTTGGTGCGGCGTGCGCGGAAAGAGCCAGAGTCCGTCGTTCGGTCAAGAAAGGAATGGAATACCGTTTCATGCAGGAAAAGGACTTGGATCTGGTTGGTTTGACGACGTATGGACACGAGGTGAGAGGGCCGAAAAAGGTCAAGGCCCGAGTTTACCGTGCCTACACAGAGGAGTGGGAACTTAAACTCATGGATCAAATGACCGTCCCTGCGGAAACAAAGTTCATGGCCAAGTACGGAAGCCTTCCTTTCGGCGACATCTGGTCTGGTAAGAAATATGTTACAGACAACGATGACATGGCTTGGCTACGACAGAGTGGCAACAGTCGCTGGAATGTCAAGGCGTGGGATGTTGATCTCCAGAGGAGTCACCGTGGTGCCGAGGAGTGGTTTGAGCTTGACAACCATTTCCATGGCCTCGTGTATCACTACTACAAGAAGTTCCCTGATCCCAGAATCGATGTTGTTCTTGAAGGCCCTGGCTGTCTTGATGCCAATGGAGATTGGGATATGTGGATCCCTTGTGGATTCAAGCCCAAAACCACTGCTGAGAAGCAGAATCCACCCTCCAAGAGGGCCAAGAAGGGCTACTAGGTGGCTGGATTTGGGCAGCTGGATTGCAACTCATGTTGCCCTAATACTTGTTTGTGGTGGCCTCCATGGCCCTGGTTCAGGCTGGTACCTGAAATTACTGCAGTAATTCCTGTGTAAACAGTAATTCCTTTACTTTTACTGGCATTGGCTATAGATAGATTACTGTACCTGATTACTGCTACTGAGTAATTACTGCATTACTGCCATTACTGCTGCTGTTTGGCCCCTCCAGTCAGTAATCACTAAACAGTAATTACCAACCAAGGTCTCATGGAGACATAATTTGCTTTGGCTTCTCATCGTCGAAACAGCTGTTCGCGCCCTCTCGAAGCCATCAACGTTGTTGGCCTTGTTGTTGATGGCTCAACAATAATACAATTGGAGAGACCAGCAATTTGATCCAGGAGATCAGACAAGCAAGCAAGCAAGCAAGCAATAGAATGAGTTCATCATCAGAGCCTCACGAAACCGATCGGCTGCTGGAGCGAAGGAGCAAGAGTAGACGAAGAAGCACCGTCAAGGCCACGAGCACGCAGGGACCTCTCCAAGAGACGGCATATGCCTTGTTGGAATCCGACGACATTGAAAATGTGAAAATTGGACTCGTCTACTTGCGACGAGTCTGGGCATTGACGTTTATGCAGTATGCGTCCATCTTTATCATTGCGTCTCCGTTTGCACTGCTGGAGAGTGTCAAGGCGACGGTGGAAGCATACCACTTTGCACTCGAGGTGGTGGCCGTGGCGGGCATTATCGGTTCCTTTTCCGTGGCCCTTTGGAAGGGACCCATGTTTCCCTTTGCCCACATTGCTCTGGTGTCATTGACAATCTCTGTGGGTCTGGAAATTGGTATCTCCTTGGCCACGTCTTCGTGGGGGGAAGTGGGCCTGCTGGCAATTGGACAAGCCACTACGAATTTTGCCTTGATTCTGGCCATTATTCAGTTCGATGCGCATTCCCTCAAACACTTTACTTATCCGGTGGCATCACTCATCTGCCTTTTATTTAGCCTTTGTTGGATGATCATTATGGTGGAAGAGGGTCAATCATGGAAGATGGCCGGCTATGTTGGATTGGGAGGATGGGCATTTACCATGATGAATGTAGTGTGCAGTTGGTATGTTTCCAAAGAGGTGGCTCCGGAAGAGTACATTTTGGCCGTGCTCTTCATGCTCTTTCCAGAGGCATTGCTGTGTCTAGCTTCCAAAGAGCGGCATCCAGATGAGGATGAAGAAGAAGGAACAAGCGTATGAACGAAGAAGCTGCTGCAATCCAAAAATAACTGCTGATATTCTTGGTCAGTTGCCGGTCCAATCCAACGAGTTGCTCAGCATGTCAACATCCCTTTCTCAAAGACAGCAATTCACGCCTTGCTCCAAGTTTGGTTGCGATTGGTGATGTTTGAATGTGACAAGGAATCTGTTACAATCGTACCTGTAGATGTAATACAATCCACAAACATGTGAAGAATCCCAGCTTACAGTGTCTTATTTCAATACGAGGCTGTTTTCGATCCCGTCAGTGGTAGCCAAATACATGTAGATTGACATCTACAGTGTGAAACGCTACTGAAATAATGAAAGGCCGCAGACTGCGTTCGCAGCCTTGAAGAAAACTTTCCAAGAATCATGTTGGCTACCTTCTACCATGCCTTCAAATTCCTTGGAAGTGATATATACGAGTACAAGGCTTGAACGGTACTGAAACGAAGCCCACTTGGAAGATGGATCGATAGTACAGGTGCCTGGAAGCGGAGCACATCTGATATTGGCGACAGAAATTATCGATAGCATCACTTCTTTCTCTAGAGGCCTACACAAGCCTCAAAGTGCTAGGCTTTTGCAGAAACATAGATTTGAAGTCTGCCGAGCAAGCACTGCCTTTTCTGTTGGCTATGGACATGGAGCTTCGCCACTGTAGCTTGACTGGCTAGATGTTGCCAACTTGTCAACGAACAGAAAGGGGGCTGCAGCTTTGATTCTACCGGTGTCTCTACAGGGCGCACGAGTAATCGGAGCGTTGGGATGGAGTTGAATCCTTCGATTGTAGCCTTTCTATCGGCTGCTCTGAGTATTGACATGGAGCTCCGCCACTGTAGCTGGATGCGCGGTCGACGAAGGAAACAGGAGACTTGCAGCTTCCGCCGTACATAGATGGAAGCTCGCACAAAAAGTGAGCAGGTCTGCACCTCTTCTTGCAGTGGTGAACGTCGTAACATGGGATTTAACATCGTCAAACTGAGATTTAAGAAATGGTCTTGAACAAGAATTTGACTGGTGAGTACTAATGGAGTTTGTAGTGCTTGTAAGAATGGTATAACATACCTTTCATTGATACATTTTAATGTTACTAAAGTGTATAGCATGGTAAAAAATAGACCTAAACGCTAGGTAGCTGAGTTGGCGCAACAAACTGTCTACTAGTACCAGTAGTAGATTGTACCGGTACCGTTCCGAACTTCATACAGTGGTGAAAGTTCCCAGTCAACAGATTAATTAAGAAACGGAGTGTCCCAATGTCCCAATGCGTTCTGCGTGTCAAAAGGAACTGAAAATTGCTTCTTTTAGAATCTGGAGCGGACTCCTTTGGGATCAGACGGGATGAAACGAAGACATCCAGATGAAGCTACGAGCATCCAGAGCTTTGGCTTCGAAGACTGGTTTTCCTGCTGATGCATTTGTAATCACGTAATCGTCCCTTCAAAAGGACGCCACCTCCTTGCTAGAGCTTGGAAACAAACACAAGACTGTGCTCATAGTTGTTATCTTCCACAACAACAATACCACCCAATCAATCTACCATGCCCCTCACCAGCGTCGTAAAAGCCACTGGCAAAGTCTTGTCATCTCCGTTCAAGAACAAGCACGGCAAACAAAATGCAATCGTCATGGCGGCCGTAATAAAGGAGATCGAAGCTGCTTCGTATGAGAGTCGCTTGCTAAACAACAACTCTGCCTGGGAATCGGTCGACTACTACGATCATGATGATATCTCGGTTGGCAGACTCCTCCAAGGCGGTGCTTTCTTTGAGACCTTCAAGGTGCGAAGATTACCAGGCGTTGGAGGCTCCGAGCGAAGTAGCCGCGGCAGTACAGGATACAGCTCGTCCGAAGAGGACACCATTCAAACCGCCAAGACTAACAAGGGACAATGCTATATCCTCAAGCAATTGAACGGCAGACTCTTTTCCGAAAACAATCAAGTGCTACAGCAGGCTGCATTGCGGTTGGTCTTGGAAGCCAAGTACTTGTCGCGGCTGGATCACCGTAACCTAGTGCGTGTGAAAGGATTGCCCTTTGGAGAAGAAGCCTGCCTGTCCCAATGCACGGCCGGTAGCTTCTTTGTCGTCACACCTCGCATGGTCGAAACACTCAGTGACCGTGTCGCCCGATGGCGTCAACATCCTGCCGGTGACAAACGATCCGAAGTGGAGTCTTTTGTAGGGCCGTTCTATCACCGCAAGTTGGGATATGCCAAGGACATTGCCCGAGCCTTGCAATACCTGCACAAACGCAATCTAGTCCTACTCAATCTGTCACCTTCTTCCATTGGTTTTCTGGAGGATGGCACGCTTCAAATTGCCGATCTGAGCTGCGTCCAAGAGCTCCCCACCGACGAGGATCCATCCTGTTCATCGTTGGGCCTGGCAGATTTGCTGGACGATTCTTCGCACGGGGATGCAGACATGAAATTGCCGCAACACTTGAAACGAGTGGGCAACGAACGAACGCCCACATCCACAAATCTCCTCGTACAGATTGCCGCCGACGGTGGAGTCCCTCGCTATGTGGCACCGGAAGTGGTACTCCAGCAACCGGGCGCGCCGTGGCTCACCCCCAAGGCAGATGTCTATTCCTTTTCGCTTGTACTCTTTGAGTTGTTGACACTGAGTCAACCCTATATTACCTTCAAATCGGGCCAGCATCGCATGAAGGTTTGTGTTCACGGACAACGACCCAATCTGTCCGTCTACAAAATGCCCCAAAAGCTCGAGAATCTGTTTCTGCGGACATGGAGAAAGACGGCCTGGAAACGACTTGACATGACCGACGTCTTGCAAAGCATGCCCAAACCGGAGAGTAATCCCGTGTCCATTGCGTCTAGGCAAGCATAAAGTAAAGATAGATAATGCTACTTTCAGTTATGTCAATCTACCGTATACCTATTGCACTTTCGTTGTTTATATCATATCATACGGCACGACTAGCCTGCCAGATAGTGCACGATTGAATCATTCAACCCAACCTAGCAGTCTTTGGTTGCACTTTTGCTGCCGCTGATGGAGGTGGGGCCTACCCTTGACACTTACTTGACGGGAGTCTCTATAGCGACTCAGTTTCCTTGCAGGGGCTGGACAAAGGATCCGCCCAGATGGAAGGAGCGTCTCGTAGTAAACCATAATGAAGATTGTTGACTGAGAAACATTCTTCGTAACAATTTGGTCTCTCAAGAACAGAGCACAAACAATCCACAAGAGCATGTTTGGTAGCCCCCGGTACACGCAACTTGGCCCTGCCATGTTTGTTCAATGTCGCATAGTACTTGATATTTCGGTCAAGAGACTCATTTCCGGTACCACATGACGGCAAGGCAACCTGCTCAAGCGTAGTGTTGTGCTCCTTCACCAGGCTGAGAACCTTTTTGGCATTCTCTACTGAAATGGTTTTGGAGGAGCAAATGTCCAACTTCTTCAGCACGCTATTTTGCTTCAACGCTTCAATGACAGGATCCCACTTGATCGGCATTTCTGCTGGCAAGAACCTAGAGTAGCACCCCTCACACAGGGTGAGCTCTTGAAGCCTGTCATTCAAAAGAATAGCAGCCATCTCGTCACCAATATGGAGCCCACCAAAATTGGCTGTCCCGCGAAGACTCAATGTTTGGAGTTCTGGGAGCTGTTGGAGCTGAGTGAGAAGTCCACGTGTCCACTCAATGTGAAACGCATCTCTGCACTTGACCTTAAACAGTTCCAACTTGCTGTTGTGGGTGATTGGAGGAGCCACCCAAACATCTTCACAGATCTTGCGGACTTCGAGACGAAGCTGTTTGATGGTGGTTGCAGCAGCAGATATTAGGTCACCCAGCGGGGTTGCTGTATCCAGGGAAAAGTTTGCAATGGAAAGCTCTGTGATGCCAGAGTTGGCATGAATGATATGTTGACTGATTGAACAGAGAGATTGGCCTGCCATCATGTTTTCACGATGGCCGTCAGCAAGAAACAGTGACAGCTTCTTCAATACTTTGCAGGACTGCAACGCAGCGACCATCAGTTCTTTTCCATCCTGGTCTTCAAGCAAGTCTGGGAGAACTGGCAGCTTCAAGTCAGCCAACAGCAGATCGTCTGGACAGCAGTGAAGACAATTCAGAGTAGAAATGTACACATCCATGCTGATAGTTGAGTACTCCAAATCGAGTCGAAAGGATTTCAGCTTTGAGAGAATTGTGGCTGCAGAAAGCAAGGTGTTCATAGTCCATTCCCCTTCAAATACAAGAGAATCAACACCGCGTTCTGCCACCAACGCCTTCATCAAGAAAGGTGATAAGACTTTTCCATATTCTCCATCCACGGCCGACGCCAGCAAATTCGAGTATATGAAATAGTCTCCTGGCGGTCCAAGCTTTAGCATGGCCTCTAAAAACTGTTTCGCGTCAGGAAGAAGGAGAGGGGGCTTGGCATGGAGATTATCTGTAAAATTTCTCTTCCCACAACGGTCAAGAAACAACTCAATCGTATTGTAATCAAACTCCGTGGAGTCGTCGTTAACAGTAGCAAAGATTTCATCTGGAAATTCATCCAAGAAGAGTTTTTGGACGCTTGTGTCTTGACCAAATAGGCAGAAATCTGCTAATGGACTAGCAAAAAATCCTCTGAAGCGTTCTTTCCAAACAATGAAATCAGAATATGATGTTGGTGCATGAATTTTCCACATCGAGCAAAGCTCTTTCATGATGGAAAGCGGAGCACCAGCCAGAATGAAATAGGCGAAGACTGTCTTCTTGTTGAATGGCTCCACCACAAGGCTTGGGTGCTGTCTCAATAGAAACATTGCAAGATCCGTGGGGAACACTTCCCCACATACCTCGCGTTTCTCCTGATCCAGAAAGCAGTGTCGTTCGAGGATGTCATGAGCGGCGTTTCGAGCTGTTGCGCTGGAAGCCGCAGCTGTACTCTTCGTGGATTCCTGTTCGCATCTACGTTGCATCTCCTGTTGAAGCTCCTCCATGGAGCAATCTTTGAGGCGCTTCTCTCCACTCATCTTGGCTAAAGGTACGGTTAGTCTAGTAAGATGTCCTCTTGGACCAAGGCAACAGCAACTCCAAGGTTCAGCGCAGACACCAATTGCAAGATGCACCAAGTCAAGTTTTTGCGCAAGCAAACAAAACCGGGAATTTGCCGCAAAATATTATTATTATTCACTTGACCATGCGCCTTATGATCTAGCTAGTTTAGTAACTGTAACCGTAAAACAAAAAATGAGAAAGCTCTCGCAGTTGCCAGCTAGCACTACTGGTAGCAGTACCTAGCTACTGGAATGGTAGCTCTAGCAGTCCATCTTTACAAAAACAATGTTACTGTTTATTCTTATTGGAAAAGGTAAATGCCGTCCCCAGACTTCCATCGGGCCGTACGGCTTGTGCCGTCCACGGTTCGGTTGGGTGTGCCGTAATGGCAATGGTGGCCTTGTACCAGTCTTGTCCCACTTCTTTGTTTTTGAGCACGATATCATTCCAGACGGCATCCGATGCCGTTTGCACTCCCGGCAAGACTTCCGATCCGTACGGTCCTCCGGCATTGGCGTAAATAATATGAAAGTCGTCTTTGTCGGTCAAGGCTTGAATGCCCGCTTGGATCTCGGAAATCATGCGTTTGTCGACCGATTCTTGGGCTTGCGCGAGATTGTTAATGGTAAAATGCAAGGCGAGTTTGTGATAGTTTGACGCGTCAAAAAAGTGATCGACATAATGAAACATGGCGACATCGCGACCCGATGTTTCCATCATACAATTCGATTGGAGCGCTTGTGCTTCTTGCAAGAGTTTGGCGCCCAATAGTTCGGACAGGGTTCGGTAGCGAGAGAAAATGGCGGCTTTGAGATCCGAGTATTTCTTGACCAACTCTGGTGGGGGCTCTGTTGTTTTGTTATCGAGTTCCTTTTCCGTCAACACGTAGAGTGCCTTGAAATCTTCATTGCACAAGGTCGCAATCATGTGATCAAGTTGTCGAAAGAAACTGTTGGATCCCGCCGGCAATTGTTCCATGGGGAATTCCTCCGTGCTCTTGCGTTTTTTAGTAGTCTCGTCATCCTTATCAGCAGTAGATGGTGGCACCAATGCTTCTTGCAGCAACTTGGGCCACCAGTCTTGATAGATGCTGGTGGTTTTGCGAATGCCGTTGACGCCCGTCACGAGCACTGCCCAGGGTAGATTGTTATCGTGATGTGTCTTGGCATGTGTGGCCGCAGCATCCCAATTTCCATCCTTCAAAATGCGTTCCAACAATTGTCGGGCGACCGGTGACGTCATGCCATCGGGCAGCAAAATATCGCCCAAGATTTTCGAATTGGCTTCGGTGACAGTCCAATCCTTGTGGGAAATGTGCGCCACATCCGAGAGTGTGGACTCGAGTTTTTTCAGGTCGACAACAGTGCTAGTACTATCAGTGGATGATGGACACACATTTTGAATGGAATGGAGAATATCTTGCAGTTCCGCCTTGGACAAGGGCGCGCCATCTTGAAAGAGTTTGTTCATGTCCTCGGTGCGTCCTTCCAGACTGGTGGTGCGAGGCGTGCCATCGTCTTTTGGCGGTGTAAACGGTCGTAACGTGGCAAGTCGGTTCATTGTGGATGTTGTGGTTGTTGTGGGTGGATTGTTGTTGTTATTGTTGTTCACTGCCGCAGCCATGAGATGAAGCAAGGGAGCAAACGGCACTCTCATTCTACAAGACACCTGATACAATGCACAACTACCAGCTTCTAGTAGCTGGCTGGATTCCTCCTCCTCTCGTTGTACTGTGCTGTGGAGGCGGTGCTACAGTACCGGTATGGTAGAAGGACCTGCAGAATGTGTGTTGCTGTGTGGAGGTGTTGGAGCTGCTGTTGGTCTTTCGAATCTTTGGCCAGTTGGGGGTGTTTTGGATCTTTGGACAAAGAAGTGCGTTCAATGACGTCAGTGTTCCGAAAAGGCACAACCAAAAATTATTTTTGCCGTCGCACATTTGCTCCTCAAAACCTCGCTTCATCCAGAAGAGCCGAAAGGACAGCCATTTTTGCGACAAGATAGAAACAACTGCCAACCAAAGTGCTCATTGCCTTGGCTTCCCTGCTTTGTGTGTGTCAATGCCATGACATGTGCGGCATCCTATTGACTGTGTCTCTCGTGGAGAATGGAGAATCAGTCGGAGAAGGAAATGCCAGTGACAGCAACAGCCACGACGAGAATCTGTGTCGAAGAGGTCCCGACCATGTGAAGTCGGTGGTGGTCCACTGTCCCAAACAGCTTTTGCGAGTGGAGCTCCAAGCATCCGTGTTGAAAATGAGATCCCACTCCACTCTGCAACCAGTCGCCATTCCATTGGCTGCAAAATCGCAAAACGAAGCGTTGCATCTTGCTTGGAATGGCGAAGTCTATCAAAGGATCCCTCATGACAACAACAATGATAGCAATAGTGATGAAACAATGGAGACTGTGGCAGACTATGACGTTGACGACACCCAATTGGTGGCAGAGTGCGTGCGACAACTACAAGCCCACTCTGTGTTGGATGCTTCATCAAGCTCTCCTTCTACTGATAGTCTCCAGGACTACGCCTCTTTGCTGGCTGGTGTCTTTGGACGGTTGGTCAATGCCGAATACGCCTTTTGCCTACTGACGCCCTGGGCCATTTATTATGCCAGAGATCCGTGGGGACGACGCTCTTTGCTCCTTTCTTCATCTACTTCTCAGACAAATTGGAAACTTGCTTCCGTCAAAGAATCAGACGACAACTTGACATGGACAGAAGTCACACCAGGAATCCTTCATGAATATCGATTCCAGGACGGAAAATTTCACACAACCCCCATTGTCGTCCAACAAACCATACCACAACAATTATTGGCCATACAAGAGACATCCATACCGGAACATCTAAATGTCACTCCATCCATGTGGAAGGCGAGTTTGGCATTGGAGCACTACTTGCGAGAAGCAGTCCGACTTCGTGTTTCGGGCAGCAGCCAGAACCGTCCATCGGTGGCCGTACTATTCTCGGGTGGAGTCGATTCGGTCGTATTGGCGGCACTCACTCTACAAATTCTACCCACGGATCAACCGTTAAGGTTGTGGAATGTCTCGTTTGTCAACAACAAAGAACAGCAACAACAAGCTACTCCCTCTACGGCACAAGATTGTCGTGCCGCATTGGCATCCTACAAAGAGCTCCAGCAGTTGTTTCCACATCATACTGCCGTGAGTTTGGAAACCACCCAAGTGACATGGGATGAAATGACAAAGTGGGAACCACATGTGCGCACGTTGATTCACCCAAAGACCACACTCATGGACTTGAATATCGCCATGGCATTGTGGTTTGCCAGTCGTGGGGGACAACACGCGGATAGTGATGACCCAAAGATATTACTGGTGGGAATGGGGGCCGACGAACAATTGGGAGGATATGGGAGGCATCGAAAAGCCTTTGAACAAGCCATGAACCAAAACAACAATCCAGAACTGGCATTTGCGAGCCTGCTACAAGAGCTCACATTGGACATGGATCGTCTATGGGAACGTAATCTTGGACGGGACGATCGCATCTTTAGTGATCACGGCAAGGAAGCGAGGTTTCCCTATCTGGACTATTCCGTCATGAACTTTGTAAAGCAAACTCCTCTGGAGGATGTGTGCGATTTTAGCCTTCCGCCAGGACAAGGGGACAAACGGATACTGCGACTGGTGGCAATGCGGTTGGGATTGCAAACAGCCTCGGGGATGGTCAAGAGAGCCATTCAATTTGGCAGTCGTATTGCTCATGTGAGTGATAAGAAACGCTTTGGTAGTCGGCGCAAAGCGCAAGGGACGGCCGTGGCATGAGTTTATTACTGCCCAACTAACTTGCGAGAGGTCACCTGGCTAGCTGGCAGCACTCGATACGGTTATGCAAACCAAGCTTATAAAAGTTTACTATTGAGCGGACACTCGGAGCTCCTTGTGCTGCATAGCCAATGCATCGTCAAACCTCGAACGGCCACGAAGAGAATTGCTCATGTTCAAGCAACTAGAATCTTTCATTTCCCGGACCGAAACGCATGTCGACTGGTAGTCTCCTCCATGACGTTCCAATATCGAATCCGCCACATCGAATCCTCCCCAGTCAATCCAATGCTCCACGGACCGTTTCAAGTAGAGCTCTCTCAAGTGTATTCGCACCTTGTGCGTGTCGCAAAACTGGAAACAAAGATAATTTGCCAGAGCCGCGTCCTGCAGGAAGCCTGCTCGTGTGGCACTCACAATGGCAGAGTCGTACATTGCCATGACTGCGTCCACCTCCTTGGGCTTGTTTGGGTTGACATCAACTGTCATCAGTTCGGCTTGAAGCAACTGAAGTTTATGAAGAAGATTGATGGCGCCCTTCTTGACCAGCTTTTTGAAGTGCTTCACTTGCTTCTCTGCCTCTTGTCGTCCCTTGCGCGTTGGAGACTTGCGGCAATTGGCAATGGCAATAAGGGCCACGTGGTAAAGCCGAGATGCATACCAAAAGGAAGCTCCCATGATGCCGGGTTTGCAGTCGGCCAGCTTCTCTGACATTTCTGTTGCCTTCTCCAGATCGCCCCTGTAGTAGGATATGATCATCTGAAAGGAATGGATGGATTGAACACCGCACTTTTTGTGTGCCGGGAAGGCTTTGCGACGCTCCATCACAGTACCCGTTTCCATGGTGCTTGGATCTGCCGACTTTCCCGTCAAGTTTAGCAGACATTGCCAAAGCGGTGATGCAAGCAAGAAGAACATGATCTGGTTGTATTCCAGATAGAGCTTGCCGAACAGTTCCATGTCTTGCAGCAGTGGACCCAGGGGGAGACCAGAATAGAAGTAGTTGACTGCATAACCCACAGTGGACTGGAAGGCGTTACTCACATTCCCCGATTTCATGGAGAGCTGGTTGCACTCAATGAACTTTTCCAAGGAATAATGCACAGGCTCTTTCCACCATTTGTTGAGATGACCAAGGTAGCACAGCACTGTGCCATAATTTGGGTCGACTCCCCCTTGCTTCGCAATGACCTTTTCAGCAAGTCGGCCCAGACGATATCCTTCCTCAATGTCTTGGTTTTGACTGATGATGCACGTAGCGGCCATGACAAAGAAATGTGGTGCCAGAGACTTTGACAAGCCATGCTTGAGCGTGATGCTGACCATGCGACAAGTGAGGTATGTGCACAGTCTTTGCTTCTCCATCTGGTACAGGGGGAAGATGAGCTTGTACATGATCTGAAGGATGGTTTCCTTTTTGTAGTCCGTCATTGGCGGGAGCTTGAGAATCTTTTCATCGGACAATCGCTTGGCATGAAACCTCATCTTTCTGTACTCCCACTCTACCTTGACTTTGCTTGGGTTCTCCTCGACGTTTTCTCCCAACTGTTGCAGCGTTGCCAAGGCAAACTCAAGCAGTTTAGGTGGGTTACTTCGAGCCTGGTAACAGTTAAAAAGAATACTGACCAACGGTAGCTTCTCTTCGTATGTCTTGGCATGGTCCAGCACTTGTTGAGCAGCCTCTTGACTGGCATCCAAGTTGCCTCCGACACACTCCGTTTTGGCAGCCATGGTAAAGAGTTTGTAGGCGAGGTCGTACGAGCATTCAAAGGGCCTGTCTCCCAGACTGGCAATCCCCGCTTGAATGTACCGTGCCGCGGGTCCAAAGGCCGAGAGGGCCGATGCCTGACACCCGGCCCGGTAGTTGAGATGAGCAAGCTGGATGCGGATGTTGACATTGTCCAGTTGGAAGCGAAGACTCGCTTCGTCGCCGTTGTGGTTGAGATCAGGCTCTGCGTTAATGTTGGGACCTTTCATGTTCAAGTGATCGACGGTAGAGAACAAAATGCAGTCGCATTGCAACAACTCTTCCTCTTGCATCAGTAGGCACCCAATATCCCAATGAATTTGCGCCATATCCGTCCCTTCAGGGAACATGCCCCAGGCTGCCATTTGAATCATGTCGTGTGCAAACTTGTAGTGTGTTCCACCCTCTGCGCTATTGATGGACATGACGAGTTCATGTTCCTCGGCTTGGGCAATCCGTTGGTAGGCCGAGTCGACTCCCAGCGCCGACTTTGTTGCTTCGAGAGCCCGCACATCAAACTGGTTTCCAGAACACGATGCCAACAGCAGTACGTTTTGCACTGGTTTGGACAGCTTGTGAATGCGAGCCGCCAAGATTTGCACCACATTGTCCGTCAGTGATCCTTGCCGTTGAATGTCCCGCACATCCCAAACCCACTGATGGCGAAACATGTCAAATGTCAGGAGGTCATCCTCTTGGAGACGTTCCATAAAGTGTTTGATAAAGAAGAGGTTACCGTGCGTAAAGTTGAAGACGGTCTCTGCCAAGCCGGCAACATCGTCCTTGTTCAAGGCTTCTGCCAGCAATTCTTGGACGGCGGTCAGTTGGAGATTGTCAAAGTTGATGGTATGGGCTTCAGCCGGCACGGTCAAGTTCATGGGCAACTCGTCGGCCCACTCGTAGAATCCCTCGGTCGCGGTGGGTTCGTCCGTGCGGAAGGTAGCACAGACCAGGACGTTTTTGAGTTGAGGATCCGTGACAATCTTTTGCAGGACTTCCATGGTCGTCTTGCAGCTCCAATGAAGGTCGTCCAGGGTCAAGATGACCGAGCTGACACTGGAGATCGCCCTCAAGGTTGCTCTGAGTGTCGTTGTGAGCAAGGTACGGCTGTCTTTGTTGACTTCATTATTTCTGGAACGAATCGAGGCATCATCCAGATCTTCCGTAGTTTCGGTTCGTTCATGATCTTCGTGATCTTCGTTGGATGCAATGGAATCCCCATCACTATCACTCAACTCCTGTGCCGTATATTGTTTGAGAAAGGCAGAGAATCGTCGTGGGGCTGCGGGTGTACTATTAAAATAGTATGGTCACTCCTTGACGCAGACAACTCCTCGTTATTGGCCGCATTCTTGATGATACCACTGAAACGGCGTTTAGATGGCGAAGAAGAGAAGAGCATTCGTTGGGTATTCTGTCGTTGCATGGGCATCATGAAGCTCTGCAAGGTCTTGTACTGCTCATGACTCAGCTTGTCCCTCAGCGTTCGTCCACACGTACGAGTCGCCGCCACTACCAGTGAGGATACCAACTGTCGCAACCCCTTCAGAGGAGCACAAGCTCGTTTCTGATCAAACTTGGTCGATGCCTGGAGGGATTGAAACCGTGCTCCACTCCCAGCCTTGGCGGCATGGAGCGCCTGTGTCACAGCCGTAGTCTTGCCCGTACCGGATTTCCCCACCAGGAATACCACCCTCACTCCTTCATGGATATAATCCCAAGCGTCTCGGATCTGCTGTTCTTCTTCTCGACGAGAAAGAATGGGAAGGATCAACCGCTTTCTCATAATGTTGTTGTCACTGTTGTTGTCATTGTGTTGGATGGAGGAGGAACTGGCCATCTTAATTGCTTCTGAATCGAATCACACGATAGTAGTGATGCTTTCCCTATCCGCACGGTGGTGGATGAATTGTGGGACAATTGTGCACGAACATTCATGTTGTGCTGTGGAGGGTGAGGAAGAAAAGCAAGGGAGAGAGCCGGTGTAAGTTTTGCCTGACACCAAGAGCTGCCTGTTTGGTACCCGAAACACGAAAAACGCTCGTGAAGACTGCTTCATATGGGTAGTTCAGGTAATCATTTATTTTAATCAAATATTTTAAAACACAACTACCAGAAGCACACGCTGCTACTCTTTTACCAACACGAAGGAAAACGTCAAGGAAAGCGCTCTGAGAGCTTCTGAGAGTCTCGCTGGTTGCCGAATTTTGTTGAAGAAGCGGCGATCTTACACTTCTTTGGTCGGATGTTAAGTCATACTCTGGAGCATTCAGAATGCATCTTACTGTATTAGCCATACAAAAGGAACAAAGACCAAATCTTGAAGTCTCAAGTCATCTGGAGAAACGACTGTTAATTAATATTAATTTTTTAAATAAGTACCGGTACACTGGTACCGGGTACCGGTCACAGTTGAAGTCAAGCTGGCAAGCTGGCCGTCATGGTGGATCCGCTTCGGTTGCATTGATTGGGGTAGATCCCAGAATGGCAAAAATTTAATTAATCACTTTGTCCGCAATACACGTACTCTAGCTCTAGTAGCGCCCCGGGCCCCAATCCGATCCACAGATGGCATCTGATCTGAGGGGGCGTCGAGTCGACTCGTCGGGTAGTAGCGGATCTGCGGAATAGGACTATCGGTAGCTGGCTAAATAGATCGGTTTCAACTTTTGGAAGCAAAAGGTGACGAGCAGGGCAATCTCTGTCTAGTAAAGGAAGACTCAGATCGGCAAGTACCTGCCTTTCCACAGCATGTGAGGGTGCAACTGTATTCACCTATTGCTTCATTCAGCACTCTTGGCTAATTGATGACAGCTCTTTTCTGTTTTTGGGATCTTGCTTTCACTGCACTGCTGGCCATCGCCTTGACAACCTCACGCTTGGCCAACCAGCACAGGCAGCGTAAGACTGTAGCTATTCTTGCTCTTTGTTGCTTCATCTAGCTTCCTTGTTGGTGGACAGTAGCTGCTTGGATCCAGTAATCCTCATCAGCTAGTTTGCTCACAAGGCAAAGCACACACGCTGGAAGTTTAAGTGCAAAGCGCCACAAATGTTGATCCACATACAAGTTAAAGATGGCTGCCTATCCAATACGGTCGGCCTTGAGCCACTCGTACTGGTGATGCTGGAGACTTGTACCCTTGAACTGCAATGCCAAACATCCTAGCAAAACGGCCCTCATCCTTGAAAAACGCAGAACCACAACCGGGCAGGTTGTCCACGTTCAAATAGTATCGCTACCATAGCTGACAGTGTCCCTCACTAGTTTCAGGCTCAGGTAGGATGGGAGATCTCCCCTTTCGGCCAGCTTCCTCACTCTGGCAAACGAAATGTGCCCAAGCCGGTAATGCCATGCTAGTAACTCAGCCGACGGGTCCTTGTAATTGGTGTACCGATGGTCGTCGATCGGTATCTGAGTCACCTTGTTGAGTGCCACCAGGACCACGCGGTGCAGCCCAAGACTCTGTGAGAAGTTTGCAAGACTCTGTGAGAAGTTTGATAGTGTCACCATCGTTGATGATATCTTGTGGCAAAACTACGACAAGCTCGCGAAGGCTTGGCAGCCTGGGAAGGTGCACTCTGCCGTTGACTAGACTCCCTTAGAGCCTCGCCAGATGTTCTCTTGCGACCACCGAGGCAAATGTGAAACCTCAGAAGAGTTGGAGGCAGGTTCTGAAGGAGACATGGAGGACCAGCAACAGTAACATTTTCCCATTTCCCAGTGTTTATATTGAGATTCTCGAGGGTTTTGGGGAGTCCATGCGCCAGTGAAGACAAACCCAACGATTGTTCCCCGTGAATTTTGTAGCGCACTTATCCAATACGGGACATCTTGGCCCTCTGTCCTCTACCGTGCTACGAAGCGACGCTCAGGTCTACAAGATGCAGCTTCCTTTGTGAGTGACAACTGTAAGAAGAGGATGGATTGAATTAAAACACAGTACATTTGTCGATTCTACATGTACTAGCCAGGCGGTTTCCGCCGTGGCCAATCTCGAAGACGATGCAATATAGAGTAGCTCCAGTAATATATATCAATGGTGACTGGCACATTGCTTTTTCTTGCCTGGCTTACAAAGAAATCAGAGCAAGTTGCACCACAACCAATAGTAGAGCACCAACTGTGCCAATCACGGAAGAAAACCCAGCAGAAGCCTTGTCATCGCTGCCATCCGAGTCCATGCTGCTGCTGCTTCCCTCCGTACTATTATCATGAGAATGGTCATCTTGGCCGTCATCGTGTCCATCATCGTGATCTTTATCATCATCGTACATATCGTCACTAACTATTGTCCACTGCTGGTACAACGTCATGTTTCCACTGGCATCCGCAGCGGCACATTCTTGCAGTGACAAGGAACGGCGCTTGTAGAGTGGACCGGCTGGGTTCATTTCCATCCCGGCCGTGAGGCACACTCGGGTATCTTCGGAGGTTGTCGTTGACAAGTACTGGGTCATGTTGTCGTACATGAACATTTGATGGGGATCCATGCCGTCCACACACTCGACAAACTCGACCGATGCCCCCACCATGATATCACCCAGTACAGAAACACAACCAGTCGCATCCATATCCGATGTTTGGGTACAATCGGGAGCGTAATGAGCGGCTCTCAATCGCATATTCGTGGCATCGTACATGAATTGGTTGTCCAAGCCATCGGTTGGCCAGCTCGGTTTGCAGGAATGGACGTGTAGAGGAATGGTGCAGTTCAGATTCGACTGAGGTCCCAAAATGTCAATGCAAAAGCCGTTGCCATCCGGCTCCATAAGGTTGTCGGTGAGACTAACCGATGTGTTCCACGGATGTGGATTCGCTCCTTCGACGACAAGGGCCCTTGTCAACAACAGGAGAGTGAAAGGAAAAGACAGGGGGAAAAGCCGTACCGGTAGCATCGTTGTCATTTACTGTTTCTTCAACTTGCTAAGCTCTCTGTTAGTAATCTCTGTTGTCGGTTGTGTCTCGATTGAAGGAGCTAAATGACTTCTTTGATGTTGTGAGTCTCCTCGATCTTCGTCACACCTCATCAGCATCAGCCAAGGAAGAGGATCTTGGTCATCACTTCTCTGTTGGTGTCAGCTCTCGCAATAAGTTTCCCACGGATTCGGGATTAGGGATAGCGCTACTGTACCGTACCAATGCTCTTGCTTGTCCAGGAGGGGCTCCGCTTAGGTCACACTCCGCACCAAAAAATCCAAAGCCACTTATCAGCGACGCCGTCATCAACCCGCGAAAACCCGTTGTTTTGACCCGTGTGCGGGTTAATGCGAGTCTGCAACGGGTCTTCGCGGGTTTGTGAGGGTTTGTGCGGGTGAAGGTGGGTTGTTAGTAGTTCGCCAGTCACGAATCGCGGGTAAATGCGTTAGGGTGCGGGTTATTGCGGGTTAGACGTACACAAGCACGTGTTTTTGCGGGTTAGTGTGCGGGTTAACGCGGGTCGATTGGCCTAGTCGTTTACGGGACTGATTATCCATCAATACTCGCCAAACCTGACGTCACCGGAGCCCTTCCAGAATCAAAATTAGGGGACCAATTTTCTCTGCATTATGTAATAACTTGACAAAACGTACTAGTACGGTAGCTTAGTCGGCAAGTGGACAGAACACTTCGCCTCGCTGAAAAAGCAGATCCTGCTGGCTTATTCAATCGGGCCTTGCCATTTCGACATTTCGACACACATCGCCACCTCGAGCCGAAGAGCCGAAACACTCGGAACAACAAAGCCGTCTGGATACAGTCGTACATCGGCAAACAAAGCGGGGACATCCCATACTACAGTATGGGTTGCGCCGTAGGCAAATATTCACTGCCAAAGAAAGTCGAGAGAGGGATGTCAACGTCAACAAAATCAGCTAACGATGCTTCTGAGGCCAAGATGCCGGCCAATGGGACGGAGCACCCAACCCATCATGAACTGATCGCTGTCGAGACTTTCCCAGCCAGCAACAGTACTGCGACTGCCTTGCAATCTCCACAAGTCCTCGTCGTCGACTCTTCCTCCTCCTTGGGTACTCCACCGTTGGTGCATTCCACAAAGAAACAAAGAGTATCAGCAGCAGCAGCAGAGAATGAGTCGGATCAATCTCAGACCTCTCAACAGGCGGTCCTTGATCTGGAGACTTTCTTGAACGAAGTGACATCCGATTCGGAACAACCCAGTGTGATGAAGGACCAACCCTTTGCCTCTTTGTCCCTGACAGCATCAGATGCCCAACGAGCAACAGAGCTCTTGTGGAATCATCATGTTCAAAAACTCAAGACCGAACGCGCCACAGAGATTGCCAATCAAGAAGTGACCGTTCCAAAGAAGAAGAATGGTGCCACAATCACCATGAAGTACTTTTGCAAAATCTATCACCCATCCAACAGCAATACTACTTCTGTCAACAACAACAAGATGCCCCTTTTTATTGGACTCCATGGTGGTGGAGGATGTCCTGCCCCAATCAACGATCAGCAATGGGAGAATCACAAACGCATCTATCAATGTGCTTACCAAGCCCTTGCCGATCAGACACAGGAACCACTCTTGTACGTGGCACCCAGGGCTCCCACCAATAATTGGAATCTATGGCACGAACCCCACATGGATCTCTTGTTGGATCGATTGATTGCCAACTTGACAGTCCACTATGCAACTACTACAACTGACTCCACATCATCGTCCTGTACCATCGACACCAACCGCGTCTACATTTCGGGATATTCCGCCGGTGGCGATGGGATTTACATGCTGGCACCGCGCATGGCCGATCGATGGGCTGCGGCATCCATGATGGCGGGTCATCCCAATGGTGTGTCGCTGCGAGGAGTCTACAATCTGCCCTTTTCCTTGCACGTGGGAGGCAAGGATGACGCATACAACCGCAATCAAGTGGCACGCGAGTACAAGCAAAAGCTGGAACAGTGGCAAGAGCAAGAACAAGAAGATGGCTACCAGCATATTGCAGCGCAAGTCTACGACGACAAGGGTCATTGGTTGGGAGATGTCGAATCACCCTTTATTGGGTGGATGGCCCAGCACAAGCGCAATGCCAACCCAGAGACGGTGGTGTGGGATTCCGGCAGTGCCCGACACGATCGATTCTACTGGGTGTTACGACACGAACCTCCACCAAAACGGTCGGGTGGAGGAGAAGTTTGCGTCACTCGGAGCACTACTACTGGTAGTTCTGGGACGACGGTTGTCACGATTGATTTGACCAAGTGCCCTCGTCCCCAAGAGGTGGGCAAGTTGACACTGCGATTTTCAGATGATAGTAACAGCGACAATCATCTTGATTGCGACAACAGTCCAGTTGTCGAAATCCATGTACGAGAAAAGGACGACGACGGATCCACCCGACAACGCCTCCTCCAAAAGGAGCCTCTTTGCCGGACCATTGCGACTCTGCGCCAAACGCTACAAGAACGTGGAGACCTCAATGGCATCTACAGTGCGCAAGTCACCGTGGATGTCAGCCGAAATGAAGCAGCGGCTACTGGCGGTTCCAAACCTAAATTGCGAGGGAGCCAAAAGCAAATTGCCGGGTAATTTGCTGGCTGCAACGAGGCGCAGGCATTCAGCAAATCAGGAGCCAATATAGCTAGCTAGGTAACCGAGGCGACTTCCTCTGCCTTGATGCAAGATCGAGAACTCATCCGACTCACATGCCAATAGTGTTTCATGAGTTCGAGCAAAGAAATGGCATCCAACTACTAGTACTAGTAGGCAAAAACCTCAGGCTTTCAAAGAACAAAAAATAGATGCCTTGACACTGTGTCAGATTTGCTGCTAGAGGGGAGGCACCCGCTACAACATCATGACTCAGCTGGAGGCAATGTGGCCTTGCAGTTTTCGTGCACCCAAAACCTCCCCCGTGCTTGCTGCCTAATTTGTGTCATCATTAGCAACTGGCTGTGGTTTCTGTTCCAACCATGCTGCAGGCTGCTGATGGAGCAGCCCATATCGCAAAATGGTAATAAGGTCCATCCTTGTCTCTCCCGTAAAACCAAGGAAATCAACTTTGTCCCCCATCGCTTCAAGAGAGATAGTGTGAACAATGTCTTTGAGTTGTGTGCCCTCTGCTTTGACCTCTCCACGGCCACAGATATTCAACAGTGTCAGGTAATCAATGCGTCTCTGCTTATTGTTGCCTTTGGTCCTATCCAGGAACCATTCTCTATTGACATGTGCCCTCATTTGGTCATCACTGTCTTCAAACAGATGGCCACTAGTGACAATGTCACCACAGATCAGAGCCACTTTCAATTGTGTGTTTTGCTCAAGAATCCTAAGCATTTTGTCGTGGTAGACGTCAACCTCCACATGCTTCTTCAGATCCTGGAGTCTCAACTGAGTCAGAGAGGCACTCTCATTGACAGCATCCAGAAGGCTGCAGAACAACCCTTGTTCCACAGTTGAACCATGCACCTTTAGTACCTCAAGTCTCCCCTGCTTTATCAAATCACAGAGGGATGTGCACAGCTCTCCTGTAGCTTTCCATGGGTCCTTTATGGAGATGTCCAACCGAACAAGATGCTTTAATGTAAATAACATGCTCTGGAGCGGGAATTCAGGTCCTTGCAGAATATGGTTGTACGAGATGGAGAACGTTTTGATTGGGGATTCTCCTCCAGTCGATTCCAAAAATTCCTTGGCAGGTCGAAGTATTTCTTCTATTGGCTCATCACTGGCACTTGCAGCTGCTTGGATTGCATTGGAATAAATGTGCACATTCGTAGTGACATTGGTGCTCCGACAAAGCAACAGGAGCAGCTTGACGACCTCTTCTTCTGTCATTTCAGATCGGCGTAAAATGAATTTCTCCACCTTCTCCAGAATGGCGCCAATGGCTCTCAGGCAACGGGGATCATCCAGAGATGTTCTGATTTGTTGGCGGAATCGTCCGTCCCTTGGAAGATCGTTGTTGCCACGCAAACAAAAGAGGGTACGGGGCGGTATTGTTGCAATCATGGAGTCCAACAAGTTTCGTGGGAATGTGCTTGATAACAGGACAATGCCCAGTGGACAAAAGCGGCCAGCGTTGCTTAGAACCAGTCTATCTGGAAATGTGTGCACAAGGTCGTTGAGGTTCATCATTGTCTCTGCCACCTTGCTGGGCGCAGCGGTAGAACCGGTCTGCAGCAAAGGTATGGCCGCCAGGAACCTCTTTGCCACCAACTCGCAGATTTCAGTTTCATCCAGTTCTTTTCTTTTGAAGAGAAAACGTAGAACATCGCCGGATGCTCCATAGCAAAAGGCGTCCTCCACGACGGCGATTGTCAGTTCCAGTGGATCTTGGTTGTAGACAGCTTGCACTGCTCGCAAGGAGGCTCGAGAAATGGCAAGCACATGCAGATCCGAAAGCTCCTGCAATTCAGACGTCTTCCATGTACGGTTCATTTTGGACTCAAGATCGACGGATGGAATTGTCTATGCAGCTATCATACAAACCACAACACAACGACAATCATAGAAGACGTGTTGGAAACTGAGGGTTTGGGTGGCGTGGTTGCTATCTTACGTCGCTTCCAAGGTTTTCTGCAATGCTCTCAACGGTTTGCTGCTAGCTACTGGTACCGCCTGCACTCTTGAAGCGATTCCCCTTTGGGCACACACATACAATAGTGTCTCTCTATTATGCCATCTACCGGTACCGGTATCCCCCCAACACCGTAACAACAGAGATTGACGCCGCCATACTAGTACTCTTTCTCAGTTCGAAGGCTTCTTTGGATCCCTTCCCCGAAAAGTGAGAGATTGATGGATTCGCTGGCTTTACGGCAAAGACTGACGTCAGTCTCGAGGAAGCTTCAACTGACATCAGACGACCTCCCTCCAACCCACAACAATAATGAGCCCACAACACTGTTTCTTTCCGTTGTTTGTAAAGGTCTGATACAAACCAACCATGCCACTGCTATCGCTCTCCAAGACGTGGATTTTGGCTTTGACCCTGGTGCCAACCCTTTCGGTGGAGGCTTGGACTCTTCCTTCCAGCCAGTTGCCTGCCAGAACAAGATCATCGCTCTGGATCGAGAATGATCCAACACAACTACCCATCTCCACAAGTCATCAGACCCTATCCAAGACGACTTCAAGGACACGACGACGAAAATCTCGTGCCAGTCTTCTTTATCAATCTGCAACGCAAGAAGATGCTACCAACGGTGCTCTTGTTTTCCCCGAAATCACTCTGTACAATTCCTTGACACGTCAAAAAGAGACGCTCTCACCACTCCAAAAAGGCCAATTTTCCATGTACACGTGTGGTCCCACCGTGTACGATTACGCCCACGTGGGCAACTTTCGCGCCTTTTTGACCTACGATGTCTTGAAACGAGCGCTCCAATACTTTGGCTACACCGTCACGCACATTTGCAATTTAACCGATGTGGACGACAAAATCATTCAACGGGCCACCGAATTGGGATTGGAATCCGCGCTGGAATTGACGCAAAAATTTGAACGACTCTTTCGATTGGATTTACACGCACTCAACATTGTCCCCGCCGACGGGTATCCTCGTGCCACTGATCATGTCGAGGAAATGATGGATATGATTGCCACACTGCACGACAAGGAATTGGCGTATGAGACAGCCGATGGATCTTGGTACTTTCGCACACAGGCACAAGAAGGATATGGACAACAGTTGGTGCAGTTTAGTAGTCAAGCCAGTGAGGAATACAATGCCGAACAAGAGGGATTGGCAACGGTAAATGAGGATGGCAAGGAACATTTTCAAGACTTTTGTCTTTGGAAAGCCTACAAGCCTGGTGTCGATCGAGACGATTTGGTATGGGAACGACCGCCTCTCTTTCAAAAAGGACGTCCCGGGTGGCATTTGGAATGCAGTGCTATGGCACAAAAGTACCTGGGAGACACCATTGATTTGCATGGAGGGGGTGTCGACTTGAAATTTCCCCACCACGAAAACGAGATTGCCCAGTCGCAGGGATGCACGGGCAAGACATTTTGCAATTGCTGGTTCCACAATGGGTTTGTCAATATCAACTCGGAGAAAATGTCAAAGTCGCTCGGAAACTTTTTGACACTCACCACGGCATGTCCTTCGGCGGTCGACGTTCGAGCCTATCGGTATCTGGTCGTCTCCAGTCAATACCGTAATCCTCTCAACTTTTCTCCGGATGCCATGAAGGCAGCCAAGAGTGCCTTGAAACGCATCGATGCGGTACAAACACAATTGACAGAAGCATTGAAAGATGCAAAAGAATTAGGTGACGGGAGTGACAGCAAAATTGCTCAGGAAACCGTCCCCAAGGCTCTGCAAAACTTTGAAGCGGCACTCCTAGACGACTTGAGTATGCCCCGTGCAGCTGCATCACTCTTCGGATTGGTCAAGGCCGCCGAAAAGGAGTTGAAACGAGTTGCCAAGAATGACGATGCATCCTTGGATCTACCCGGACTGGCGGCTATCCAATCCGCCTTGGAACAAATGGACAAAGTCTTTGGAATCTTTTACGACGTACCAGACACACACGCATCCGCCACCGAAAAGGAAGACGACAGTGTGGTTCCGGAGGAAGTAATGGAATTGGTGTCACAACGGACAGCCGCCAAGGAATCCAAAGACTGGGAACTGGCGGATTCTTTGCGGGCACGCATTACCGAGCTGGGATTCGCCGTCAAGGATGTCAAGGGTGGTGAGCCCCTGGTCAGTCGATTAGACTAACTACGGTACCAGGCACAACTAGCTAGCCTATTCGTAGCTTTGCAACAGGTTGCTACTAGTAGTCAATCAGAGGTCAATTAATTTCTAGATCCACCTTGGGTCCATGCTGATCACTTCCTGTCCAAACGACCATTGTGTCGCACAGAATCGATACTAGTAGTTTCAGGTAGACGCGGCGAGTTCAAGCTGTGATATGCCTTTATCCATCAATACACCCCCTTTCGCGGTCTTACGCATTACCAGGCACTCCAGACTAGCCTGACCCTACACTTAGAAACAGCCCAGGATCAGCTTTCTTTCTTCTCCAGTAGGACTCGTTTTCTGTGTGTGCAAACTCTTATGGATATTAAGTTGTCTACATGCATTTGATGACTGACATGGCAAGCCTGCAGTCATGGAGAATTGTACCTTAGGCAGAGAAGATTTCATCACAACCACGAACCAGTGGTTCCACCATAGGAACACCGAAGGATGCCTTGGGTTCTTGGGCAGGGAAGGTGTGATGCACTACTCGATCCGTATACATGGGTTGCACCGAGACTGCCGCTGGCCTCATGGTGGGCGGCACTGAGACTGCCGCTGACCTCATGGATGGCACTGAGACTTCTGCTGGACTCATTGGTGGCACTGAGACTGCCACTGGACTGCATGGTGGCACTGAGACTGCCACTGGCCTCGTTGGCGCCATCGAGGTGCTGGGCCGTGTCTTCTGCCGATTCGAGGAGACGTCATCCACGCTACGATCCATAGATTGCATCGAGATCGCAGCTCTTTCCTGAGGTTCCATCGGGGTGCCAAATCGTATCGTATGCTCTCGAACAATCTGGAGGCACAAAAGCTGTGGCGCCGAGTACACAGCACAGCCGTCGTCTTCCTGGTGCCTCAAGTTGTGATAATCCGCGTACTGAACCTTCAGGGCCTTGCATCGCTGCCTTACAGAGCCAACGTCGGCGCAATAGGCGCATTGGGCGAACAAGTAGTGCTCCATCACGTTCGTCCGGTCCTGAGACCCAACATGAGCGGCAATCAAGTTGAAGTCAGTTACAGCGTTACACAACGAGTACGGTGTTCCACTGAGAGTATCAGAAAAAAAGTGAGAAGGAGGGTGGTCGCGGGGGGCGCTGGACCTGTAGCAAATTGCTTCTTACCAGCTATTCGCGAAGGTCGGTGATGGCGTGATCCATTCTCCCAAAGGCTGCTCAGCCTCAAAACCATTTTGTTGTTGCCCTTGGATTGCAGTGGTGACCGGCTGAGGTGGGTACGGAATGTGATTCCCAAGGTGAGGGAGTGCAACATGCACCTCGCCCTCAGGAAGTGCAAGCAGGTGAGACTTTAGAGCCGCCAATTCTGATGCCACCTCTGACGCAGACGGGCGTTTGGAAGGGTGGTCGTCCCATGTTCTTTTTAGCAGATTGGAAATTTGGTTGGGAATGCCCTCTAGGTCGAGCCTTCTTCCGCTCAAGACCGCCCTTTCAATGGCCTGGATGCTGACAGCTTCGCTCCAAGGTTCCTCCAAAGTGAAACACTCCCAAATGATGACACCCAAGCTGTAAACATCTGCCTTTGGAGTATACTTCCCCGCTTGCATTATTTCTTACACCACCACCACCAAGAAGGCTGATTAGAGAATCTCGCTCATTTGAGGAATCGGTCGTAATCAATGTTGACAAGCACTCACCTGGGGCCATCCATGGATAGCTTCCAACCGTCTCGTACTCTCCAAAGCTGGCCGCTGTTTGTGATTTGTGAATTGATGCGGTCTCTTTTCGGAGTTGTGCCATTCCAAAGTCGGTGATGCAAAGATGGCTTGCATCCTTACCACTTACGAGGATGTTTGGTGTTTTTAAGTCACGGTGCAGAATCTTGAGCTTGTGCAACGCCTCGACGGCACGGGACACCGCAAGTGCTGTTTCAAGCTTCCAGCGCAGAGACGAGGTAGTTGAAGAGTTGTCTTCTCTGTGTAGGTAGACAAACAAGTCTGAATCCATCCGTTTCATAACAATTGCTGGTGATGCATCAACAATGCATATACCGTAGACTGTGGCAAAGAAGTCAAAGTTGAACCGCTTCATCACCAAGGCTTCGTCCAGGATCTCCTTCATCGCTTTCATAGTTGGGTCATTGGCGAGAAGCAACTTTACAACCACAGGTTGGTTAAGGTACTCGCCCTCATGTACCACCCCGAATGCTCCTGATGGAGAGCTTCTGCTTTCTGTGTACCTAAGGTGGTTCCTGTCTAGGAGCAAGGACTTGTACTCAGGTCGCAGGAAGAGCTCTTTCAGGCGAGGAGAGAGTCCCTCCAGCTCTGGGGTTGTGGAAATAATGGAAGGGGCCACACCGCTCGGTTCCATACCTTTGTTATGACGATACCTCTGGTCATCTTTTAGGGTCTTGTGGAGCCCCTGAAGAGCCATGGAAGTTTTGCTTTTGTCGTGCTGAGCCTTTTGTACTTGTAGCACGGCTTGTTGAATCATTCGGAGCTGCTCTGAGACATCTTGATCGTGCTGACGGCGATCATGCATAAGCAATTGAATATCGGACAGGTACTGTAGCTGCTTCTGGTCGGAGACAACCCCAAGCAATTGGATAAATTGAGTCAGCTCTCGGTTGATAGTCTCGCATCGATCTGCCCACGAATGCGACCAGATAAAGCGATGGAATCTCTCCGCAGCCATGAACTCGTCCGCGAGGTCTCCGGCTTGATTCAGGATCTTGTTTACCTGAGAAAGGGTCTTCCGGCCCTCGTCATGCCTCAGCTGCTGCGAACTCTCCAAGCAATTGATCAAGAGACCCACGCGGAGAGCCAGGGATGACACCTCCTCTCGATTGGCCTTGGTCTGGCAGAATTTGTCGTAGACCGTCGTCGCGGCCTTCACGACGAGGCTCACTGTTTCTAACATTGTTGCTTGATTGACTTGTGCTGCACTGTGTGGTCGAAGTGCTGCGAACCAAGTATGGTGGAAAGACGAGAAGGATGAAAGAGAGAATGAGGGTGATGTCCATGAGCTCCTCTATGGTACCATACCCGAACCGCGAAAGATACCTTGACGACGATGTTCTGGTTGCGATCGGGGTTCGGTCCACAAAGACTCCTGAAAATTGCAAAAATGCTGGCTCTCTTCGTCCCTCCGCGGTGGAAGCGAGCAAATCTATTTGTTAAAAATCTCAAAGGAAATCAAATCTGGAGAGTGTTTTGTTTGGAGAAGTGATTGACTTAAAGATCCCAGACTCAATGGGGCAAGAGACTTATCAAAGACAGTCTGGTTCTGCTAGAAACTGCTTTGATAAGTAATCAAATTTAAGTCCAAAGTGTGTTTTTACGTTTCTTTTCTGCTGTTTAAAAGCCCTCAAAGTTTCCCCCACACAATCTCCCTTCATCTTGCCTCTGCTTGTCCGCTTATTTGAAACAGTGTTGATGTGCAAAAATCAATGGATCTGATCTCTTCCAATTCAGCCAGCATCAGTAACAAAGCCTAGTAGGCTATAGCCAGGTGCAATAGTACCGCTAGAGGCTGCTGTATGGTATCTAGCCAAAGAACAGCGAGAGAATGCTAGTAACTATGTGTATTTGATTTCCTCCATCGATAGGGGGTTGCGAACTGTGCGTTGTCAAGACAGCGATGCTGTGGATTTTGTTTGAGTTTGCCTACTCAAGGCAGTAGGGATTTCCTGGTATCTAGCTGGCAGAGCTCCAACCGTGTCGATCCTTTGCTCCCTTGGCAAGAATGCAACTCTAATAAGCTTTTAGACGCTAATCCAATCGACAGCTACGGTAGTTTTGCACGATGGAGTATTCGTTGCTGCCTACTACAGAGTATTTTCTAGCACAACATGTTCTAACGACGATTCCACTGCGGTGCCTTTCGTGCCTTGACCAATCCCACCTTCTTGGGTTCCACTCTCCTGGCATCACGGGTGAGATATCCCATTTTCTTCATGGGTGGCCGATACTCGGGATTCCAATGCTGCAAAGCTCGCGCCACACCGAGACGAATGGCCCCGGCTTGGCCCGTCAATCCACCACCTTTTACTTGACACTGCAGGTCGAATTTGCCACAGGTTCGGGTCACAACCAAAGGAGCCAAAACGAGTTCGCGATCGGAAAAGCGCGGAAAGTAGTCGACCAAATCTTTGCGATTGACCGTGACATTGCCAAACCCCGGTGTGATCCAGACGCGAGCTTGTGCCGATTTTCGAGCGCCTCGTCCATAAGCGCGTCCGATCGAGTCAATGACGGGCACTCGCACTTGCGGTTTGGTGGTTTCGATCCATTTTAGCTTTTTGGCATTCAATTCCATTTCTTCTCGATGCAGTTTTGCCATTTCAGCTTCGACTTCTTCAAAATCACCTTCGTCTTCGTCGTCGTCATCCCACGGATCTGTTTCTGTGCCAGCATTAAAGTCATCATCGTCGTCGTATTTGCCAGGAAAGAGATCAATCATGTGCGTACGGAGCAAAGGATCTCTGGCCAATGGCGGTTCCGGTGTCGGACCGGGTGGTGGACGTCGGCCACCGCGTGAATGCTGTTGGCGTGGCTGCTGTTGCTTCTGCTGTTGCCAACCAACACTTCGTTGTTGTCGTTCGCCACCGCTGGCTGTGGTGCCGCTCACGGCCGGCCGTCGGAGCTTCAAATTCTCCAAGATATCGACGATGCTTTCATCTTTCTTGTCACCGCCATCGCCCGAAGAAAAGCCGCGGGCAGCCCATACTCTTCCTTGTACTACGGATCGACTCGTTCTGGCGCATCGTCTAGCGATGCCACGGGTAATCAGGGGCTTTATCATGGCAAAAGACGACGCCATTGTCGGATTGTGTGGCTCTGACGGTCTGGGTGGGGTGGTTTGTGGTTCGGGGGTTGGGGGTTTTGAAAGCCCGCTAAGCTGTTTCGTGCCCTGCAAAATTTCCGTTGCGAGACCTCTCTCCGCATCCTTCATTTCTTTTTAGTCGTTGTCAGATTCGATTCTTCGTGCTTCAGCCATCATCACCACCTCAAACGACGAAGACCTTGACAAGCGTAACCATGGACCCTTCAGCTCTATTTTCCGCTCTTGACAATCCAATACGTGCCAGCAGGTGGAATATTTGCTTAGAAGATCCATTGGAGATGGTGTTGATGGCCAAGGCAGATTTGGAAACTGTCAAGACATTCTACGAGTTTTACCCAGATGCTTTGACCGAAGAACTCTTCGTCAATGTCCTCACAGATGGAGCCAAGCCAGGAGTTGTCGGTTTTCTTTCCTCCGTGCGTCCTGACCTGGTTGATGAGGATACTTTTGAGATCGCAGTGAATCAAGGACCTGGGCCCAATAGACCAACAGACAATGACATCATCACAATGGCAAAAATCAATCCAGAGGTATTGATGCCTAAAGGTCCAGATCATAAGATTTCAGAGGGTTTGTGCTTCATCTTGAACTGGAAATACAGCATTGAGTTGACCCAATGTCTCTTCAAAATGATAGTGGGCAAAACAGAGCACTTCTGTTTACCCAATCTTGAGCATGACGATGAGGATGACGATGAGGATTACGATGAGGATGACGACGAGGATTATGATGAGGATGACGATGAGGATGATGAGCCATGGGACCCAACCATGTCAAGGACAGCATTGGATTTGGAGGCACTGTTGGGTATGGCGCCGCTTCTGGACAGCAAGGACATCAAAAATGTTGCCAACTGGTGTTATGAATGGGAATTGGATGCATTTCTCGAGTTTGTTCGCAAAGTTCTTTCCAACCAGAGCATAACCTCTTCTGATGTTGTCTTCCCATCAGTCTCGCAAGACCATGAGGGGGCACCAATGTTGTTCAATACGGATTCATTCAAGCAACTTTCATCAAAGAGCAAGATTGACAAGATGACTCTTCGTCTTGGCTCAAACAATCCATTGGCTCTCGACTTCCTGGAGCATTGCTTGGTGTTGATGCCTTGTCTGACAAACTTGAAAATTGGCAGCACTGATATGGATGTTGCCTCGGCTGCTGCAACGCCATTCATTTGCCATGCTCTTTCTGGCAATTCCTTGCTGCGGAGCTTGCTAATTCGTGCAAGAAGTGATACAACAGGAAAGGGATTGGATCCAATCCTGAAATCATTGGAGAGCAATCAAACCCTCGTAAGGTTCCGCTATCTGCAAAGTGATGTGCAATCTGACATGTTCGAAAGATACCAGGACATTCTAGCAGATATTCTCCAAAAATTCAATGCAACACTGAGTTTTGTCCACTTTCGCGATGGCTGTAGTGATGAAAACCCACACGGCAATCTTCACATCACTCTTCATCCAAGCAGACATCTACTGTCTTTCTACACCGGCCTCAATTTTTTTGGCCGCAAGGAAGCACATGACCCAGAAACCACCATTGTGGCATTTGTAGTCTAGATCTGCTGGTGAGAGTTGTTCACAAGCGTCGAATCACCCAGGAGGATCGCTTAAACCTTGCCTATGGACTCTTGCGTGAAAACCCAGTCAAGTGGAGTAATCCTGCCAACAGTTCTTGAGCCCAAAACCAACAGTGGAAGGAAGCAAACAAAAGCACACTGCAAGTTCATGATCGTGTTCGTGGGGTGTCTTTGTGGCGGAAGCTTTGGCGTCCTTGGTCTGCTGTAGTGAACTTTTTTGCGACGTGCACCAAATACATGTTCACGCAATTTTCCATGCGTCAAAAGAAAAAACTCTTATTATAGTACGGATTGATTATTGTCCTTTGCAAGCAACTTGTCATGTTGCTTCTTATTGCTCCTTTGCGGTCGTACTACTACTTTTTCCAGATGCCGCCAGTGTCCCTTCCTCGTCTTGTACTCGTGCCAGAATTCGACTAATGGCATCGGGCAATTCTCGAATGAAATTGATGGTTTCATCGACGAGTGGTTTGGCAGCTTCGTTCATCTTGCGTCGGACTTCCAATTCGGGTGTGGGGCTGGTGGACCAAGTGGGCATTTTTCGATCTCCGTCATCGTTATTATTGACTTGCTCGAGTTGATCGAATCGTTGTCGTGCCGTCTGTTGGTATTCATTGGCTAGTTCGCAGAGAATCGTCTTGGCCCCACAAGCGGCCGATCCACCGACATCATACGCCAGATCGTCTCCGACATGAATCCAAACACCCTTGGCAAATTCTTCTGTCGAATCATGATTGTCGTTCTTGGCGGCGGCAGCCTTCATGGCGGCTTGGACGGTAGCCATTTCTTGTCCCTTTTCCAACGCGGCATTGTAAATCCAGGACAATTGTGCGGAACTACTGGACGATGCGAGTTCTTTGAAAAATTGTTGTCGTCCCTTTTGATCGTCTTCCCAGGACATGCAAAAATCAAAGTATGGCGCGAGTGTGAATGTCATGAGCAAGGGATTGGCTTTGCCATCCGTGACGGCTCCCAAAATGACATGTGGGTATTCCTGTTTGATTTCTCGTAGCACTTGTTGCACTTCTGGATAGAGATTGCGTTCGGCGGCATGATGGCGTTCCATTTCCCATGCCGTCATGACGGCCTTGACAATGGACGGGGAAACAGCACGGGCGGTCCATTGTTTGGCATTCTCGACCACTACTGGACTGAGATCTTCTACCGACGTGACCCAATCTTCGGCCGTTTCTTGTAGCTTTCGGTTGAGGAGTACCTTTTCCATGCGACGTCGAATGGCCAATTCGCGGGCTTCGGTGTGAGAGAGTGCGGCCGCTTCTTCGGGTGGCAATTCGGATCGGACTTGTTTGGTCGTGTCATCGATATCGGTGGGTTGAATGTCGGCGCCAAATCCGTACTGTTTCATGGCCTTGACAAAGGCATCGTTGGCTTCGTTAATGACAGAGGCAATGGGATACAGCGTGTCGTCCAAATCAAACGTGAGAAGTACCAATGGTCGTTTATTGCCTTGTTCCGGAGTACTGGCCCAGAGTCGACTTGTGGTCTCTACTACTACTCGAGAAGAAGAAGTGGGTGTCACAAAGGCATGGCAGCTCAAGGCAAGTGTCGATACTACGACAGTCGATAGTCGGAACATGGTTGTTTCTTTGTACTTGGATGGAGTTCTGTTGTCTGAATTACTCTGTGTTTGGGATGGGTATGCTACCTCTTGGTTGGATGGATGGATGGATCAGTTGGTTTGCTGTGATGAGGATACTAGCTAGTAGAGAAGCCTAACGACGATCGAGAAGGCTCCAAGAGAAAAGCAAAGAAGGACACGGTCAAGAGCCAATGGCCAAGTGTGATCTTATCAGTGGTGCTGGGATTGATGATGGGACTGTCAAAAAAACAGATTGTTTGTTGGCACTTTGAGAAGAGGTCGAGGTGACGCAAGTTGCGCGCAAGTGATGTTTGGATCTTTGAATGAGAAAGGTTATGAGTGCAAAACTCAGACGTCATCGATCTCTGTACCTTTGAGTACCGCTTCCAATTTGTTAAGTCTTTCGCCGAACAGGTGGAGACTTGAAGGATCGGCAACAACAGCAAACTTACTTCATGAGCATGCACTTCTTTTCTTCGACTTGGAAGGAGAGCAAGGTTGTTTCTATAGCAAGTCTTTGCTACTAAGCAAGCAATCAAGAACCAAGAGATCTATCTACTGTATCTATCTATCTATTGTTGATAGCGTCTGACTGCATCTTTTAGTTAAGCAGCAAACAGCAACAAACAGCACACTACGTCGTACAAAGAAGAAAGAAGAATGAGTCCCCGATTTCTTTGGCTCTTGGCCGTTACCACCACCACCTGTGCGGCCTTTCAATTGCCCACTACCAGCACGCAGCTTCGACAACCACAGCAGCAACATGGTCGTCATCATGATGCTGCTCCACTCTCCATGATTCGAAAGTCCAAAAAGGGATCCAGTAAATCCAAGAAACGCACCAGCAGTGGAGGAGGCTTTGGATCTTCTTCTTCGACTTCCACAGCCACTGCTGCTACCGGTACAACCACTGCCGGGAGTCCTCCTGCATGGGCGTCTCGATTTCCCTTTGCGGGAACGGTCCGACCGGGTGCGCAAACCCCGCAAAAGATTGTTGTGGACGAATCGATTGTCAAACCCGACTATGCGTTAGATGGACGTCCCAAAAATGCCCGACCCATGCTCCCCTGGGTCATTGAAGTCAAGACCGAAGCCGAAATTGAAAAGATGAGGGCTGCCGGACGATTGGCACGAAAAGCACTCGATCTGGCAGGACGAGCTGTCAAGCCGGGTGTGACGACCCAGGAAATTGATGAAATCGTTCATCAATGTACCATTGATGTAAGTAGTTCAAACAAAAAACAGAAATTGGAAAAAGGAAAAAGGAAGAATGAAAACTCGTTCTGTTGCACCCTTGTTGCTCACCTCTCATGATTGATTCCGTTATTCTACCCTTTCCAACCGAACCTACCAAACACAACAATCATCATCACCGTCGTCTTGCTCCATTGTTGACGCTGCATGTCATCTCGTCATCAACAACAAAACAGGCCGGAGCGTATCCGTCACCATTGAACTATCATGGCTTTCCATGTTCCTGTTGTACCAGTGTCAACGAAGTCATTTGTCATGGAATTCCAGATGATCGTCCCCTACAAGAAGGGGATATCATCAACCTCGATATCACCGTATACCTCAATGGATTCCATGGCGATTGCTCCGAAATGTTCTACGTCGGGAACGAGGCTGATGCCGATGACGCTACTAAAAATCTACTACAGACCACGTACGATTGCTGGATTAAAGCTTGCAACTTTGTCCAACCCGGGAACGATTACAAGGACATTGGCGCCATTATCGAAGATCACGTCGAAGAACGCGGATTTACCACCGTCCGCAACTTTTGCGGACACGGCATTGGATCCGTCTTTCACACCAACCCCAATATACTCCATTATCGAAACAACGAACCCAACGGACGCATGGCACATGGACACACGTTTACCATTGAACCCATGATTTGCGAAGGATCCGCCAAGCCACTCAGTTGGCCCGATGATTGGACCGCGACGACAGTCGATGGACGTCGATCGGCACAATTCGAACACACATTGCTTGTGACGTCCGATGGAGGCGTCGAAGCCTTGACGGGAAAAACCGCCGACTCGCCGTTGCATTTCTGGGAACGCGAATCGGAGATTCATCGGGGCGCGTGGTTGGGAACGTCGCCCGCCGCCAAGGCCCGCATGGAAGAAATCAATGCCGAATTATTGAAGCAAGAAGAAGAACCACAACCACAACAAGAACAACAGTAGTCAGCTGGCTACAGTACGTTAGATAGCTAGCCAGCCAGCCTTTTGTCAATATTATTACTATCGATAAAAAGTAGTGGATTGCTACTTTTTGGAACGTGTCTAAACGAACAATTACACTGGTTGTACATGTAGACAGAGGTGAAGATCTTAGTAGAAACACGGAAAAACCAGCACGCTTTCGTGCAGCTGGCAGCTCGAGCATTAGGAGACAGGAGTGTGGCTACTACGGTACCGACTGGTTGGGGTGAGTGCGTCTCGGGGGAGTCATGGGAGATTCCCATTATTGGATTTGTGGAATCTTGTTGGGAGCTTCCTTGGAGATACCAATGACGACATCCATCGAATCCTTGTACAGTCGTACTCTTTCCATGTTTGCATACTGCCAGCGCTCCGATATCGATCTAACTGGTCTCCAGTCCATCCATTTGCTACCAACTCGACACCTATGTGAGCATTAAAAAAAAGTCAATCTACATTATTTTCATGTTTTTGTTTTCACTGAGCGACACTACTGGCGAGCTGCTCATCGTTGTTGTTGTTGTTTTGTGTATGAGCCAGTTCACCGTGTCAACTGCTTTCAATTTGATTCACAGGACAGGACAGTCAGTACGTTTGCGCCAATTTTAATGTCACGAGAAACACAAATGCTGCAGCGATAGCCGTGCTCCACTAGCTCTAAAGCTAGCTAGATACCGCCAGCATACACCATAATCTCTTGCAAGAGGGACTGGGGTTCGGAGAACGAATGGATCATCTCCTTGTAGATTTGCCCGGGGCTTCCACACACATAGGGAATCTCGAATTCCTTGCAGGTTTGCTTTAGAATTCTTGTAATTTCAGGATGGTGTGACATGTCAACCTTCGGGAACACTGTGTGCGACGAGAATGAACAGAACAGATGAGCGGAACCGTGTTGTTGGGAGACCATGGTTTCATTCCTGGTTAGGGGTCGTAGACTTACAATGGTGCACCGTGTGAAAGTTGAGCCAAAGATACAGGATTCCTTGATAAAAGTTCATGTCCACACTCCAATCAGCCGAGACGTGCAATTGAGCCTCTCCCCAATCGCAGGACTTGTTTCGTGCTTGAACATTCTGCGTGTGCTCGGCATTGTGGTTCATTAGAGCCATCGTAAAGTAGTAGTTGCCCGTAATGGAATTGGTGCAAAACATGAGCAACAAACCGTAGAGACCCCAACGTGACCAAAAAAGATAGTGCCATAGGGGGAATAGGACCTTTCCAATGCTGGGTACTTCTTGTCCTTGAATGAGCCAGGTCAGGTGAGCCGTGTAGTTCCCATAGGCGCCAAAACAAAGTATGATCGGCAGCATGGCGGGTGTAATGTATTTTTGGACAAAGTTTCTTGGCCGAGTAGGATCAGTGACAAGGAATGGGTCCGTCCCTCGAAAGTGGTTGTCCCACGGCGTGTTGGTGTACATGTGATGCTGAAGAAGGTGCTCACGGTACCAACCTTCACTAGAGAAACCAAGGGTATCCAAGGACAAAAGAGCCCATCCCCATTCTTTGTACTTGGGTTGGTGGACCCAGTTGTGTCCAAAGGCACCCAGGAATGCACCCAGGATGCCCGTGACACCTGCCAGTAGAATCGATCCAGTGAGCCAGGTGGAGTACATGCCCGCCGCCCAGGACACAAATACTATCCAAAAGAGAATGACACATTCCCATGTGGGGCCACCATCCTTGTATCCAATTTCCTTCAAGTAATCCGCCACGCGCTGTCGCAAGACGGAATAAAAGGCATCATCCGCCATGAGCTTGGGGTGTTTATTGGCATCCAAATATCGGTCATGGTGGAGATTATCAGGACTTCCACCATTGCCGTTGGAAAACACCTTGTTCTTGGATTCTTCTTGGGATCGAGTAGGGCGGGAAGCAATGGTACTCTCAGACTGGTTGGGGTTGTTCTGCTTTTCTTCTAGCACACTGCTCGGAACCAAATACTTGTTCAGGACCTTTCGGGCCTTTTTGTAGTCATGGTGGTGTGACTCAAAGACAAAGGTAGCATCTTCGAATCGATCGCGGGAGATTTCGAGAATCTGCTTTCCTCCTGGATGATTAAACTTGGATAAATCATACCACTGATTACCAATCCTCCAGTATTTCTTAGAGGGAGGGTAGAAGACAACATTGGAGGACCATGTTGGTTCAGCCAAGGGGGCTTGCTGGTTGGGATTGGCCTCCTGTGACCGCTTCACAACGATCCCCTCTTCCTGTTGGGCCATCTTGATCTGATCTTGACACTCAAATAGCCAACCTGGTTGTCACCACGCAGAAACTTACCCACGGCAGGACAGGGTTCTGATACCTCTAGCTACTATTAGTGAGGAGCGAGAGGAGAGTCAGAGCTTCTGCTTTTGTCGCCGTCGTCCTTTTGTGTTCAAAGGGCTTCTCTTCGATCATTTCGTGGGTCCAACGGACAGGCCATTGCCATGCCGATACCCTTGGACTGCTTGCTCTCCGTAAGTTCTCGGTTCTTTTCAGTGGTACAACTCGTAACATACCGGCCCTCTGCGTCAGCTTCGTTGCGATTCTTTGAATCTTCTAACGGGACTAAAATCAGATCAAAATTTCTTTTCAAGAAAAGAGAGATTCAAAGCTTTGAAAAGTAAATCTCTAAATCCTTGGGTGAACCCTTGCTAATAAGTAGACAACTGTAGCAGGCAAACCTATTCATTCACGGCTTGGTTGGTATTTACTGTTTTTACTTACTGTGGCGAGGGGCCCAAAAGTAGCAGTAATTGCAGTTAATCAGTAATTACTCAGTAACAGTAATATAGGTCAGTAATCTAGCCTAGTGCCAATGGCAGTAAAAGTAAAGGAATTACTGTTTACACAGGAATTACTGTAGTAATTTCAGGAACTGGCCTGAACAAGGGCCATGGAGGCCACCACAAACAAGTATTAGGGCAACATGAGTTGCTATCCAGCTTCAGCAAAGGAAGCAATGAAGCTTCCTAGCCCTTCATTGCCCCATTGGAGGGTGTATTCTGCTTCTCAGCAATGGTTTTGGGGTTGAAGCCACCAGGTGCGGATCCTCCATACCGCAATCCATAGATCCAAATCTCCACTCCTGCAGTTCAGCAGTAAAACAAAGGATAAAAGTTGTCCTTGTTGCCGTCGGTACGTATAGTTGCGATTGGCTTTTCTACTCTTAGTAGCTCCACACTCTTCGTTCACGGTTGAAACTCCTTGTGCTATTGGTATCAACGACTAGCGATAGCGGCCAATGCACCGTATGTCAGTTTGCCATACCGGTAGCTCCAAGAGATGCTACCCTGCTGCTAGTAAACACCAAACAAATAAGCAGGCTGAAAGAGTTGCTGCTGTTACGCGAGTGTCATCTCACCGCAGATGCTATCGGTAGGGCAGATCTATATTATATATACCGGGCAGACCCCGGTGATCTCTGAACACGTTTATTGTGGTGGTGGTTGGTTGGTTGGTTGGTTATCCTTAGGGTTAGAGTTTATCTAAAAACGAAGCCCCCTCTTGGGCCCCCACATTTTTTACACATTCTCTTTTATAGCAACCGATCCTGAATATTTTCCTCACATTTGCACACCTCTAAACTCCCGTAAGCTACCACGCCACTTTCTCAGATGGAAAAATCTAACATCTCACGTTACACATCTCTAACCTCTCGTAAGCTACCACGCCTCTTTCTCAGACGGAAAAATCTAACGTCTCACGTTGCACACCTCTAACCTCCCGTAAGCTACCACACCACTTTCTAAAATGGAAAATCTAACGTCTCACGTTGCACACCTCTAAGGTCCAGTAAGCTACCACACCACTTTCTCAGATGGAAAAATCTAACGTCTCATGTTGCACACCTCTAAACTCCCGTAAGCTACCTCCTCAATCGTGCATGACTTATATCGAAAACCGACCCTAATTTTGGGTCGGATTTAGGGACAGATTCCCCTTTAGGGTCGGGTTTCAAACGTCCCTAATTTAGGGATAGGTTTCGATTTAGGGGCGGGTTTGAAAACCGTCCCTAAATGGAAGCGGGACTGAGTGGTAAATACATTGAAATCCGACCCTAAATTAGGGTCGGGTTTCGAAACTGACCCTAAAATTACGGACGGATTCTGAAAAAACGTCCCTAATTTTGGGACGGGTTTCAATTTAGGGGCGGGTTTCAAAACCGACCCTATTGCTACATGGAATTAGGGTCGGGTTTCAAAGATTTAGGGTCGGATTTGGGTCGTATTTGAAACTCACCCACGATTGAGGGACGCTCCAGCCAAACTTCAACAATATTACTATGCCGGCCCATCTTTTAAGTCAGCTTGCCCGGTATATCTATTACACCTCCGGTATCCTTTTTTGAATGATACCGATATGTACTAGTAGCTCCAAGACGTGCTACCCTGCTGCTAGAAAAAAGCCAGCAAAAATGCTGGCCGTGAGAGTTGATACTGCAATGTACATGTACTGTACACCGTACGGTACCGGTACTACCGGAGTTCCGGAGTAATCCCCCGGAATCCTAGGAATTCCTGCTGGAATCGTGCATGCTCTTAATTCCGGTGACGTTTTACGGTTACCTTTCCGGTTGTTCTATAGAATTCCGGAATCGTACCATAAGTAGCCAGTAATCCGGAAGTCCGGCAGTAATTACCGACCAAGATTCACGGAGGAACCCTCAGATTTTTCGTCAGGATGCTCAGCAACCGATCAACATGAAGGCAATGTGCTTATCTTCTGGTTCGATCATCAAGCCCATCTCCAGGATCAAAAACACCAGGTCCTGACAAACACATGTCTTGCGCTTGGCCCATCCAAATGACTCAACCATCTCCTGGACCAACACCAACCCTCTTATATCAGCAGTGAGCATATTGGTTCAGCGCCAGGAATGATGACAGCAACACTTTCCAATGCCAAAAATCCTGAGAAAACACTTGAAATTGCTTTTAAAACCTGGTCCCACGGCCCAATGCTACCGTAGGCTAACCCCCCTCAGAAACAATAGGGCAAACGTCTGGGCCTATACCGGTACGTGGTCTTTAAAACTGCTCCTACAGGACCAATGCTAAGTCGCAAAAACGTTGAGTCTTCCCTTGTACCGTACCGGTATCTACCGGTACTGGACTTGTTCTGTAATAGTCGTAGCCACCGTACCTTTGCCCCCGTAATGGTCCTCAGTTTCTTGCTCCTGATCCCACAGAACCTAGTCCTGAATTTCGACTGTTCTTTGCTTAAGCCTGGCCCCGGCTGGCTTCCATAGATACTTTCCCTACTCTACACCCCCGTATCCGTACTGGTGCTGGTGGACTTGCTCGTAAGATTTGGCTGCTTCTTTGGTGATACCGTTAGCGCTGAGCCATGCCACAAGCTTGCAGAGTTACGCTACCGGTACAGTACGGTTGTCGTCACCAATCTTGATGAGAGTACCGCTTCAAAGATCCCTTCTTTTTTCTTTTTGGTATGGTACTGGTACCATACCATCGCTTCCGTTACCAGCACTATCTTTATCGAATGATGCCTTCCACTTCTTCTACTCTGCCTTCCTTTGTTCTTCCCTAACGCCTTAGTGGGTCGATCCTTCACAATGATGAGAGCAGCAACATTTTCTCTGTTTGTCTTGGCTTGCATCCACCTTGGATACATTCTGGGTCCCACTATGCTGCTGCCAACACGATATTGCGAGCTCTTTTTGGCATCGTCAATGCTGCTCAGTCTCTATGCTCATCGGTTCTTCTTTTCGAATACAGACTGGCAAATTTACTGCATTTTTCTCCTTGTGCGCTGCTGCTCCCCGCATTCATATCCCGTGTCTCAGGTTCTTTACGGCCTTACATGGATTTGGAAGCTATATCAATTGGCCACCTTCCAGCCACCCCAACGGGTAGCTCAACTAGGTTGGAGGAGAGTTCTGGCCGAATTCTCCGGTCCTCAGCTTTGGGTCAACGCTGCCACCTATTTGAGTGTTTCAACCACAAAGGTCCCGCAATGTCGTCGGAAATACTCTGTGGGCCAACTCGAATTGAAGCGTCCAACTTTTCGAAGTCGTCTGGCAGCCCTGCCGGCCCCGATTGTGGTTCCTGCTGTCGACTGGATTTACTGCTGGTACAACACTCCTTTGGTCAATACCCTCAAGTTTCTGACCATGGCGACTTGTCCTCGAACCATGAATGACGCTACTCAACAACAACCTTGGGGTCCTTTTCGTGGAACAATCTACAGTGTTCAAAAGAATGACGCTGAAAGCGAGGAAATAGTAGAAACAATACACAACATGTTTTCGCCCAGGGAGCTTTATCCCAACATGAGGGCTTACTATGATTCAGCGAATGACAATGCTCTGCCTCATACAATCCAATATCTTCGCCTGGAAAAAGAGAAGTGGGTAGTGCATGAAGGAGTAACCAAAACGAACCCGAACTACACTGAGCATCTTCAAGCCTTGGAGAGAGCCCGGTTCCTGCACGATTTTGCGGGCGTTCACCTGATTGTCCACATTTGGTTTGAAGATTATCTGGTCTGTGCCGATCACTGCTTGCATCCCGACGACGTCTTGCTGAGAAAGCATTTTGTCAATATGGGGAGTACAAGCGGATACCACGCCTCATTGGGTCCCCTGTCATTTGACCACGACTACAATGGGGTGGGACGGTACTTTCGCATACCGGAATCTTCCTCTTATCTTGAGGAATTCGATCTTTCGAAAACTCGACATCTCAATGCCAATGTCCTCGAGCACATGAAGGTCAACATAACCTACAATGCGCCAACGATTGAATCATGTCATGTCACTCAGCTGTACGGAGAGGCATTTCAGATGTTTGCAACGGATTTGCTAAAGGACTGTCAGAGTCAACTGCCATCGGATAAAGGCGACCACATCGCCGAGGGAAGATCCAACATGATTGCTGAAATCAATGAACGTCACAACACAGAAATTTCGACTATGGAAGACTTGTTGGTCAACCATTTGCTGCTGGTATTGCAACACAGCTTGGTCCACGAGGGAGCCGTATCACGTATGGGTTCGGTTGACCAAGGGAACTACCAAACGGCCTTTCATCCCGACAATGGGTATCACTACACTCTGGAGAGTGTTCTAGGCAACAAGCTACACCATAGATCGGCCTTGGTCAAGACCTTTTTGCCACCTTCTAAAATGGAGTACGGGATCCAGTGGTGAATGCCCAATGGTCCATTTATTGGATGGTGCCAAAAACGGAACGACTGCGGCCTTGTGGATCCTACTTCTATTTGACGCTGCAGCGGGGGGTCCCAGCTAGCAAATCAGTGGGGAGCCTTCGGGGTACGTGCACTCAAGACTTGCCATTTCATTGCGTTGAAACCAAACAAACGGGAAAGGCAGCGTGCTGGGATACCGCTACATAGCCGTAAAATCTCCGAGGCACATTGCCCAAGGAACCCGAAAGCACTGGTTGAAAGGCGTGGCGCTGGCATACAATAGAACCTGTACCAGGTACGACTGTACAGTCGTACCGTACCTTTACGGGTTAAAGGTAGGTACTGTACGGTCTCTATTATGAAATAGTCTAACTCAATTCAACTTTGAAAACTTAGATTGGTTGGACCCAAGCCTGCGAAGCCGCTTTAGACTCAGTCTCTTTGGAGGGTTGTTACGGTATCCGTGTTCACACCTCACGGTTATGCTGCTAGCTCTGTTTGTGTCCATCAACCAGAGCTGTTTCCAGCACCAGAAGGCCTTTGAGTGATTTCCTAGTAGCTAGAGACTGGCGGCCAGCTAGTAGTATTGGACGGATGCTACATGGTTTGCTTACAGTATGGCTACATGCTACATGGCTTCTGCGCCCTGTTCTCTAGAGCTCCCAGGTTTTAAAGTACTTGCCAGCCTAGCCCCATGGGGGATTTGGCCAGTGCCTGCGAGGGAAACTGCCAGGACGGAGAGATTCCGGAGCCGGGTCCAAAGGCCAAGAGGAAAGCAGCATTTGGGTCGGGTAAACGGCAGCCAGCCAGTGAGAACAGCTGTGGGAACCAAGTTTCATCATTGCCAACGACTAGGCACATGTACTGTACGACATGTGCCGGTTTGTCTGTCACCGTCGGGGAGTGCCGCGCTTATGCCTCTCACCATCGGCTACAAAATCTGTTCGTTGACCATCGACGTGTTGTACCAATGACAGCTTTGGCGGCAGGGCGTTGGACCCTTCTAAAAGAAATCCTTCGCCAGACCTGCTTGCTCTAAGCTTTGTGTCGTCAGTCAACTTCTACGTCAGGATCCTTCGTAGATTTCTACCATTGAACCAATGAATGGTGGTCGCGAAAAGCTATGATGAATCTGATAACGGTTGGCAGCAGGTAGGCTTGCTCTTCCAAAGCCACGAAATGCCGAAAAGGATATCTTCAGCACTAATTCAGTGGCCATCGGCATAGCATTTGGGTACAATTTTGTTGTGGCACGATACTACTCCTTGTCTGTTTGTGACCCCATACAAACAAATTGCCAACTCCGTTAGTCTTCATTATTTTTGGGTCTCTTGCTATTATCTTCCTTGTCTCCAACTGCAAAGCAAAATGAAGATTTTTAATCCTTTTGGGTTCGATGTTTTTGGGCTGGTTCTAACCATGGTGGAATACGCCCCCATCATCATTGGTTCTCTCGTTGTGCTGTTCTTTGCCGTGCCCTCTCTTTCCTCCAAGGACTCAAAGAGCAGTTCGAACAATGCCCGTCGCTCTGCCGTTGCCTTGTTTCTGCCTGGTTTGATTCTGACTTTCTCCGCCTCGGTGGTTATGTGCTCTTGGGAGGACGCCTACCAAAGAGGATACCAAATTTTCAGTCTACCCTCGGTCCGGTCCGCCGCAGAGAGCTACATTGAGACTGGCGACGGAGATATTACCGACATTTTGGAGTCTGGAAAGTACGCTCCTACCTTTGGGTATTATGAAGTCAGTTATCTTATCAAGGATCTTCTTCGCCACACCATTTTCCACACCAATAGTCACAATGCGGACAATATTGACGAGGGTTACAATAAGGGTAATGACTGGTTCGCCTCCATGTTGGGGGATACAATGATGTACACCTCTGGACTTTACCCCACTGGATCAGAAACTCTGGAGGAAGCCCAAAACTACAAGATTGACTATGTGGCAGATGCCATTCAGGTCAAGCCAGGAATGTCCGTCTTGGATATTGGATGTGGCTGGACTTATGTGGCCAAGCGCCTCACTGAAAAATACGGTGCCAATGTCACTGGAATTACCTTGTCAAAAGAACAGCTCAAGTGGGGAACAGAGTGGAACGCAAATAATGATGCTACCATCCTTCTCCAGGATGCCATGCAGATCCACGAGCGCGATGACCTCCCGAAGCAATTTGACAGAATCACCAGTTTGGAAATGGCCGAGCATGTGGGAATTCGCCGTTACCAGGAATTTCTCTCCAAAGTCAGGAACTTGCTGAAGGACGATGGTGTCTTTTACTTCCAGGTGGCTGGACTTCGTCGTCATTGGCGTTTCGAAGATCTTGTCTGGGGTCTGTTTATGGGTGAGCACGTCTTTCCTGGAGCTGATGCCTCTTGTCCTCTTGGATGGGTAAGTGATCAGCTTGAAAAGGCAGGATTCGAGATCCAGCGTGTACACAACATGGGATCACACTACAGTCGTACACTGGCCCACTGGTTGGACAACTGGCGTTCCAACGAAGAGAAGATTATTGCTAAGTACGGGGACAAGGCCTACCGCCGATGGGAGGTTTTCCTGGCCTGGTCTGTCCGTGTTGCTCGTCAGGGATCCTCTACACTGTTCATGTTCACACTCACCAAGGCTGATGTTATGGATGAGCGTCGTATTGAAAGCCAAGCTCACTTGGTGCCTAAGGATATCAACGCCTAAACAGCGAGCTAAAAGGGAGGATTCATTGTGCGGAATTGCACGGAGAGATAAAGACTAGTTTTGCGGAACGGAAGAGAATACATTGGTTTGCATATACAGATGGTAAAAAGAAGCTTAAATGAAATAAGAATTTGATGCTACAATTCTGAGTGTAATGGCTGTGACTGAAAGGTGTAGTAGGTTTGTATTTTTAGCTGCGTTCTGATACGGAAACAATATCTTGTCGTTGATCATAGGCATCCGCAAGCTTGATGAAGGCATTGTAGACGGATGTGAGCATGTTGGCAATGACCAACCCAGCGGTTCCGTCCTCGCCTTTGTGCTGCTGAATCAGAAATGTCAAGATTACTTGAGGAACATCCTCCATAATCACGCCACAGAGCAGCAAAAAGCCCGTGGATAGTTGCACCGAACTCAAGTCCATGCCCAAAGTCTCTTCGGCTTCAGACTGGGATTGTTCCCACAATTGCATGACTTTGCTGCTACTGGCTCCAACTTTTCGAGAACTTCGCGCCGCCAATTCCGATTGGCAACAACAACACCGACGAAGACTAAACCAAAGACATTCCATGCATTGCAGTGGTTTGATCACAAACCAATCGACGGCTCGTCCGTCCGATGCCAATGCCAGCCAAGAGAGGGTTCCCAGAATTGTAAAGCCCAAATGGACTTTTTGCAGTACGTCAGGGACTTCGTCTGCGAAATGGATAACAGTCTCCACATAGAACCACCAATCTAACGCAATGTCAATGTCCGACGTGAAGGAACCCAACAAATCTCGAGCTGAGACTTTCTTGGGGTTGAAGATGCTACGAGGACCAGGAAAGTAACGTTGGACAAGGAAGGTTATCATGTTGGATGCTGCCGTTGACGATGCTGAGTGGAGTAACAGTTGAGCTTCGTAAGAAAAATGACATCGTTACAACCACATGCCCTCGGATGCATTGTAGTGCTCAGCGCCAAGATGACCCAGTCATCCTCTTTTGCTTAAGCCTCCTCAACTCTTTCCAAGTTGATGGCACCAATCGATAATTCTAACCATCTTGCCAAGATCTTGGATTGTGTTCGCCAACTGAAAGAGAGAAAGCTCCGCGCACCCCATTCACCTAAATTGTATCCGTTGTTGCCTGTTTTTAACCTCTCGCGCCTTGAGGTGCGGTCACAGTTGCGAGGGCTCGGGAGTTGCATCGAGTTAGGTGACTGACACACAGTCGAGTGAGTCGAGTGACGAGTCAGTGACCGCCGTCTGCAACTCGAAACTCCTGGTCATCCTGATACAGTAGATTCGATTCGCTCGCTAGGAAAACACCATCAGGCAATAATATACAAAAGGAATATCTTACGCTTGAGTGGACTATACAATTATTAGGGGGGTTAAGCCGGGGGGCAAAGAAGAGGTGGGACTAGCTGTTACTATCTGTGCAGTTGGCTTTCGCTGTTCCTCCTTTGCCACCTCCCGTATGCCAGTTGTTTTCTTTCTTTTTCCTGGGTTGCCTGTCGTTGACGTTCCCACCTTTCAAGCCTTTCTCGTTCCTTTTATCTTTGGTCTTCTGGCGTGGCAGAAGATGAATCCTTCTTAAGTGCGTCACCCCATAATAGCGTCACCCCATAATAGCACAAAGGCTGATCATCTTCTTTCAACTTCTTATACGTTCCCTCAACAACAAGTTCCATTTCCTCGATATGGGTAGTTATTGCCCGACATTGGATCATTTCTCTCAACTCTCCCACAGTCGTTTCAAATGTGACATCAAGCGAGATGTTGTGGTGGTACTTGACATAAACGGTCATGAGCCGGATGCCCAAAATCATCATGGGGCTCTCTTTGTGCGACTCCATTTATCTTTACCAGGCATGTGGTTTGTTTGTCGCTTTCACTTTTGAATCTATGGAAGCCATAGGTGATTCTGGTGATGAACAACTGCGAGGGTTCGTCATGGTGACTAGTACAGTCGTGCTTTTCCAAACGTGTTTTTTGCAGTGTGTCTGGTAGCTCAGTTGGGTTATTCAATGATACCAATCTCCGCGCCTCGCTGGACCGACCTGGACATTCCCCGATGAGCCACTCGACCAACACCGAGACCCAAACCAGCTGATGTCCGTGACAAGCACTTGGCCAGACGCAATACCAAGATTGCGAGCACCTGTGGAGACCGAATGCCTGCTGCTCTGGTCAATCGATGAATACAGTATTACGAAGCTGGCTGCTTTTCGGAACTTCGACTCTCTCTCTCTCTGGGATGCCCAGATTGGCATCCAGCAGTTCAGCATTAACACGTTGCGCTGCGTTGGGCAGGTCTGGTGATGTTGGCACGGCCGCGATTTTGCGGAATCGAATCCGTACGCTCGCACCAAAAGGGTCGACGCCTCGAAGCCGAACCCTCATTGCCGTTCTGGATTGCCAAAAACAAAGGTACTATTCGTGTCTGGCTTTGAGTTTTCCCTCGAAACCTGCCGTACTCTTTGGGTGGCTGCTCTGGCTGGTGTGTATCGATACTCAGTACCTCTGGTACCACAGGGCTTTGCCCGCTATAACATACATACTCCAGTTCACTGGGACTTGGATCTTGGATACGTATATTATACGTACCGGTACACGTATGCATACATGTACTATTAATATAATAGTATCAGGTGATGGGTGATGGTTCGGGGTTGAAGCTATTTTGGTCACAGTTCCGAACGAACTATGACCTATTCGTTAAGTCAAATATTTCAGCGATGGTCATTGTTTGGTCATTCATGAACTTTGACTTCCGTTTTACTTAATGGAATTGTGTGCGAAGTCAGTGGATAAATGAATTCTGCTGTACTGGCACTGGTGACTGGTGACAGACCACCAATTAATTCTCCTCTCTCTTTCAGTCCACAAAACCAACTTGCTTCCCAACTCGTTTGCACTCAAACGGACTAATTCTCTCTGATTTGACTTTTGCGCGTTGCCACCATGACCAAGCCCACCCGTGGACTACTTCGATCTGCTGGAAATGTTAGCAAGAGGTTTGGAAATACCCCCTCACGGCAACATTCGTTGACAAAGAGCGGCAGCAGACGATCATTAACCAAAAACAACAGCAAACGACTGCTCTTTGATGCCGTAAGCTTGACGGCACAAGAGGCCATCGAGGCCTCGCCAATCTTGTCAAGGTCTCCTGGAAAATCTGTTGAGCTTTATCATGGAGACGAAGTGAAGAAAGGAAAGGTGATCTTGTATGGGGAATTCTATGACCTCTACTCTGTGAAGCATCTGCGGGCAGATGACCAACACGACGCATCCGATGCCTCAGATTCGGCAGAACTCACCGCAACAGATTCCGCAAAGAAGTATGCAGTGAAGCTACTCAGCCAGAAGCGTTCCACAGAAGGCGGAATCATACAGCAAGCTACATTGCGTCTTGTGCTAGAGGCCAAGTACCTGGCACGTCTGAGTCACCCCAACCTTGTCAAGGCCAAAGGGATACCATTTGGAGAAGAGGTGGCACATGGATGCTCTGACGATTTCTTTCTCATCACTGAGCGCATGACAGAGACATTGGAAGCTCGATTGGAACGATGGAGCCAGAATCCCACAAGATCGTCTTTCTTCCAGAATCAACGTCTCAGTATAGATACCAAGCGCAGGCTTGAATATGCCAAATCATTGATTGATGCCCTCAAGTATCTCCATGATCAGAACCTTGTAGTTTTGAACCTCAAACCAGAAAATATTGGCTTCCTTCCAGATGACACAATCCAGATCACTGATCTCAGTTGCTGTCGTGAACTCAAGCCAAAGGGCCGTCGGAAAAGCAGCACTGACAATCCTGGGTGCAGGAGTGACCCCCTTGGCTTTGGCATTGATCTCATGGCTGGTGAGAGCACCCAGTCTCAGATGGCCAGAGCCAAGTCCAACTTCTTGGTCCTGGCAGCTTCCTCTGGTGGAATTCCACGGTATATGGCTCCGGAGGCTATTGTTAGTGGTGCCTACACCAAGGCTGCTGACACCTACTCGTGGAGTCTTGTGATGTATGAAATGCTTGCCATCTCCAAGCCATATGCATCCTTCAAACTAGGCCAGCACTTGCTGAAGGTATGTAATGAGGGGAACAGACCCAATCTCTCCATGCACAAGTTCCCAATGGAAGTAGAAGGACTGCTGCAGATGTCCTGGCGCAAGACATATTCGAAGCGCCCAAGCATGAATGATTTGGTGGAGGCATTCCCATGCCTACTGAATCTGAAACCAAAGGCATAGATACACTGTTGCCTCTGGTTGGACTTTCATTGGCACTTTACGTAATTAAAATCTCATATCAAGTGAAAGATAATCAAAAGTGAGGAAAGAAGTCCTATTTAGAAATCTTCAATGCAAACCTTGACCAGGATCTTCAAATGTTAGCAAGACACAACAACGGATTACTAGCTAGTATCTGGCTACCCCAACACGGTTGGAAGTTGGAAGAGCGTCTTCGTACATATACTGTTTTTTGATCGCCTGGTCCGCGTGGTATGAAGAGTGCTGCTACCTCTGAGTATTTCACAACGCGTGAGGGTAGAATGGAAGGCCCACATCTATCTCTGCATCCACACACGTAGACCCCAAGGGCAGTTCGCAGAAGGGTTCTTCGCCGGCTGTAACTGCCTTCTGTGTCTCGGTTCCGTTCATGTGCTGGATCTGAGGGCTGGCAAGGGGACAACCAATGATTCCGCCGTCAGTGCAGCTGCGCCGAAGAGATCTATTCGCTACCAATTGGCACCATTCTTATTAGCTTCGGAATGACCTAACCCATCCGGAGGCGTCCAAAAAAGACAAATAATTCAGAACACGAGAAAAATGAAAAACAACATGTTTAACTTTTAAACAGCACTTATGAAACTGCTGCTCAGTTGGCACTCATAATGTATAAAATCTTCTCTCTCTCTCTCTTTCTGTCAAACCCGACAGGCAGGTACCGGTGTGTCTCCTCTCGTCTCGTTCATTGCGCCATTCGTCGCCATTATTATCATATTTCACATTTTTTGACTTGACTCACTCGCTTCCTTTGGGCAGAAAGCAAAAAAGCCAGCCATGGTAGTAATGCGCAAGCAATCCAATAAATAAAATAAACGGTCAGTAAGCAAGCAGTAGCTTGCTGCTTACTGCCACCACTCCTTCATGGCACCACCGGTGGAGCCCGGACGGGAGGCATAGGAATACTTGTAGGGGACGACTGCTGCTTCAAAGAGACCATCTTCAACAAACTTTCGATTGGTAATTCGAAGAACGACACCATCACCGGGGGTTTCAATGACTCCGTGATATGGTTGGGAACCACCACCGGCATGAAGCTGGTACACCTGTTTGACATTGTTGGGTCCCTGCAGCACTTCAATGGTGGCCTTCAAGGACTTCTTTCCTGTATTGACGGCCCAGAACAAGACTTGGACGGCTTCGACGTAATTGTCAATGGGGAAGAGACGCACGGCGGATCCACCTCCTCCGACGTTGTTTCCTTGAATCTTTTGCTTTGGGACTCTGTCAAAAAGACTTTCGGTGTTGGCCCTGAGTTCGGCGCGACGTTCCTTATCTGGGACGTAAACTCCTGCCGAGAGTGGCAAATGGAATTTCTTGTCCGTAGATCGGATTCGGAGTACTTGAGGACCACCGGGCTTGAACTTGAGTGTAGCTCGGTAGGGAGTCTTGGCTCCATCTTCGACGCTAATATCCATAATGTGGGTTCTACGAAGAGGTCCCAACCAGAGTTCGACGACGGCCTTCAGAGGACGTCCTTCCGATTTTAGGACGTATTGACATCTATCGGCATCGACGGGCATCTGGTAGGTACGAACGGTACCTCCTCCCTCGATTCGTTGCATGGCAATTTCTTGTGGGAACATGTCGAGATAATCCGTTCCGGTGGCATCTTCAATGGTGGCCAACCGGGTAGTGGCTACTCGTGGAGCCAAGTTATTATTAATGGAAAATCCCGTTGTGGAACCCCAAACCATGCAAAAAGCAAGAACCGCGCTTGTAATCTTCATTGTGGCTGACTGACTTGACTGAATGAAGAAATGAATGAATAAACTGATGGATATATAGACGTTCGTGGGTGGGTAGAATTCTGATGGGGAAAAGATAAGATATCGAGAACACACACAAGATGAGATCAAAAATTCCCAACACCACCTTTAGAGACAACACAGACACAGATACAAACCACAGACAACAGAGAGAGGGTAACTTACCAATAAAATGAGCGTTGTTGCGTTGCGTTGATGGATCGGATGGTTGGTTGATGTCCTGGCTAGCAATCCATCAAACCCAAAGGAAATGAGTGGGCGACCAGGAGGTAAAGACACAATCCACAAACATCATCAGCTGCTTCGCTTGATGTCTGGAGCCAACCACCAATTGGAATAGAAACGCACTTGAACGCCTGATGGCCAAGTTGAGAATTCCAAAGCAGACAGCTTTCCCATTATTACATCCAATGAGAAAGCGTACAGCTGGTAGAGAGCTTCCTGACGCACTTTGACGCATCCCTAAGATTCACACGTCATAGCATCTTGTGTTTCATTTTGACCTTTATATTTAGATACCATAGATCTATAGAATCGAACCAGGCACATGGCTTTCGCATGTGCGAACAGGAAGATCCAATCGGGTTTTAGAGTGGGGAAGTTATCTATGGAAGCCAGCGAGGGGCCAGGCTCTGAGGCAAAGAAGAGGTGGAATTTGGGACTAGCTAGGTTCCGTGAGATCAAGGGTGACAAATTGAGGATCATCGTGCAATGAAGAGATAGGTAGTCTAGGTTAGGTTAAATGGAGGATGGATGAGATGATGGGTTTCATTATCAGAGCTGAGCAGGAGGAATACCTGCAGGGATAACTAGCAATGCATAGTTCCAACCGAGGCATTGAGAGAGGTGCCTTTGGGTTCTTGAGGAGCAGCGAAGGTGCGCACTTTTGAGCGAGTTCAAAGCTCTCTAGGAATCTACCGTATCACCATGCCGCTACAGTAATATCAATCTGACGTAGACATTGTCGCATATCTAATATACAAGGTTTTAATCCAAGTATTTTTGCTTTGCTCGGACATTGTGGCTGATGTCATCCCTTCCTCGTCAGAGATCACATCGCCAATCAAATTAGCGCTGGAGCAAGACTGGTGAGTCGCGGACTGCAATCTGCTTCCGGGAGGGTCCAGCATCTGCTTCCAGCGCCCTGAGCGCCTTTGCAAAGGGGGAGCACCGTTGGTGTTGCAGAAGACCAGGTGGCTGATCGAGAAGCGAGTGAAACCACCAGCCGCCGGAACGGAAACGGACAGGCAGGTCGGGCCCAGGATCTCGAATTGGTTTTGAGAATATCCAAGCAAGCTCCAAGTGCGTTTTTATTGGATCCGGGTTGCCCCAGATACCCAAACAGACACACGATCGAGAAAATCCAATGCTGACTGATGTTGACTTGTCTTGTCTTGACTTGACTCAGTCACTCAAGCCAGAGATAACTAATGAATGAATGAATGAATGAATAATAATGGAAGTAATAGAAGCAAGCTCGGACTCTACGGAATTGCTCCAAGACGCCATTCGCAGCAATGCCACACGTCTGTGTATACTCCTGGAAGACATTGATGTGGTCGAGTTGACCCAAGTCCTCCGAGGTCCCCTGGGCCAAGAATTATCTGCCTCGGGTATCTGTTCGATTGCCTTGGATGGCGAAAATTACGCCGGATGGGAGGATACCCGAGCCATGGAAGACTTGTTGGACGTCTTTGGCACAGTGTGCCAAGGATTGACCAAGTACGAATTCGAGTGCTTTGTCCCCGAAGTACCCACGCCCGAGCACTTGTTTCCCGTACGGGTATTGACTCGATTGCTGCGTCAGGTCCGAGGACGATTGGAAATTTTACGCCTCAACGAAGTCGTACTGCATGCTACCCAAGACGAATACCGAGAATTTTTGCAAGTGGTCCGGACTTTGAAATGTCTGCGATGCTGTTTTCTACAAGATACCGTCTCCATCATGGTGGATATGGAACCACGCTCGTTTGATGAAGTACTCTTGGCAATTGCACAATTACCGCTCATTGTCGAGGTTTCTATGGAGACCGATTGGTGCAATGCCGCAGGCGACTCGCGTTTGGAAACCACGCAATCCATTCAAGCCCTTTGTTCTTCTCCTACCATTCAGTGTCTTTCCTTTGACAACATGCATCCCAACAATCACGCCTTTATGCATATTTGCCAAACGCTGCAAACCAACACGGCCTTGCAAATATTGCACATTAAATTCGCCCAGTTTGGAAGCAACAACCACAACATGGCCGTCTTTTGCGATTTTTTACAATCCAACCGCGGGCTCCGAGAGCTGGAATTGGAATTTCAACATTCACTTTTTGGATCCTTTTTGGATCCCATTTTGATTGCCATGGCCAAGGGAATTGCGCAAAATCCCCATTCGACACTCCACACGCTCGACATTCGAGCACGACAAGAATTTGGAGCCACCGTGGAAGATGCGCTGTTGCAATTGATGCGAACCAATTATGTCATTGAAAGTCTCGGCATTGTGTCGGTCGATGAGGATGGCCAAGAACGCACGTACGAACCACGGCGACGGACCGAATTGGATCTATTTGCACGCTTGAATGGGTACGGACGCAAAAAACTCATGGCGAGTCAAACGCGTCGACCGTTTGTCCACGCGTTTGCCACTCAATTGTCCCATGATTTGGATGGTCTCTATTATTATCTCCGCATTCATCCCTGGCTCTGTCAAGCCGATTCAGCACCGGCGCCGCCACCACGCAATAAGAAGAAGCGGCGGTTGAATAATCCTAGCACGACAACAACAGCAGCTGCGCAGGACGATGAATTGGAACAATTGCGCCGGGAAAATGCCGCGCTCAAGGCCAAGTTGGCGCGGTTGGGGGAGACAATCTAGCTGGCATTTCGGTGGCCGCTGATTGAACACTACATGTAAGGCTTAACAAAGTCCTACCATGATAGCAGTAAGGACTTCTATCTTATTCTAAGTTTTTGTGTTGAAGCTACTCGGATCAATTTGCAATGGCAGCAGCAGAAATGAGATTCGACTCTGCCTCCTTATGCTTGTGGGCTTGCCACCAACATGGCTTGCAGATTCCATAGACATGGGAAAACCTCTATCAAATCATCCATGGTAGGACGCTTGGAATGATTCTTGCGCCAAGACATCTTCAGCAGTCCCTCCAGCTCCATTGGAAACTTATGGAGGGAAAGATTGGGCCGTTGTCCATTTTGACATACCTTGATCAATTGTTGACGTGGTAGCTTGAATCCCATGTAGGGCTTGGAGAGAGTCAACATTTCATACATTAAAAGACTCCAAGAGTAAGTGTCAGCACCCTTGGTGTAGGTGCCATTCACAATGGCCTCAGGAGCCAAATACCGTGGAATTCCTCCCGAGGAAGCTGCTAGGACCAAAAAGTTGGACTGGACTCGGGCCATCTGCGACTGGGTGCTTTCACCTCCCTTGATATCAATGTCAAACCCAAAAGGATGGCCACTGCACTCTTCACTCTCAGTGCTGCTTTTCCGATGGTCCTTTGGCTTGAGTTCACGACAACAACTGAGATCAGTGATCTGGATTGTGTCATCTGGAAGGAAGCCAATGTTTTCTGGCTTGAGGTTCAAAACCACAAGGTTCTGATCATGAAGATACTTGAGGGCATCAATCAATGATTTGGCGTAACCCAACTTGTGTCTGAAGTCTCTACTGCCAGGGACACACTGATCATGACAGATGGAAGACTTGGTAGGATTCTTCCTCCATCGTTCCAAGCGAGCTCCCAAAGTCTCTGTCATGCGCTCAGTGATGAGAAAGAAGTCACCAGAGCATCCATGTGCTGCCTCTTCCCCACATGGCATTCCTCTGGCCTTGACAAGGTTGGGGTGACATAGACGTGCAAGGTACTTGGCCTCCAACACAAGACGCAAGGTGGCTTGCTGCAGTATGTCACCTTCTGTGGAGCATTTCTGGCTGAGTCGCTTTGCTACATATCTGCACTGCCTCCAGAAAGCTGTCAACGTGAATTCACCTGAATCAAACATGGAAGATGCATCTGTGTTGTCATTTTCTTGCTGCAAGCTCTTGACAAGAGAGAAATCATAGAAGTCTCCATTGAGGATGACTTTCCCCTTCTTCACCTGATATCCATGATAATACTCAACAGAGTTCTCAGGAGACTGTGACAAGATTGGTGAAGCTTCAATGGCCTGTTGTGCTGTTGATCTGATAGCATCAAAGATTATTTTCTTGCTGTTGCTTCTCTTTGATGAACCTGAAATTTGCCTTGTGATGGTTTTGCCAAATTGCTTGCTAGCATTGCTGGCAGTTCGAACAACTCTTCTGGTTGGGTCGGTCATGGTAACGCTGACATTATGGTGCTTCCAGGCTCCTTGCTTGTTCTTGGAGGAAGGAACGAAAAAGTGATTGGGAGGAAGCTCAGAAGGGAAGGCATGCTCACTTTTGAGAAATGGGGGGAAGGTGATTGAAGCGGAAGTCCGCTAAACCACCACTGGTGCATGACAAGTAGCACACTTCATTTAGACCACGTCGCGCTGTTTCGTTTTCGCTTTCAAAACAAAACGGTAGACTACAGGTCGAAAGAATGACGAAAGCGACAGTTTCTCTAATATTGGTTTTGGTCCGGTCCGGTTCGGAACGGATTCGATTCGATTCCCTGCGGCACTGGTGCTGCGGCGGCGGCCACTGTAGGACTGCAGGCTGCCACTGTTGAAATCTAGCTAGTAGAAATCGACCAAGAAACCTACCGGACGACGATCTGGTCAGATTTACTAGCTAGCTACGGTAGCACATCACGAATGCAAGTACCGGTACGCATCGTTGCGAATGCTATTTGCTTGGGGAACGACACGGTCAATGGAGTTGCCCAGCCATTAAACAGGCAAACAAACAGTGAGTCTACCGTGCCACTACCTGCGACGCCCAGCCAAGTTTACCGCATGTGGCAAGAGACTAAAATACTATTATTTTGTTCAGGTTCGACTTCAGTGGAGGAATTTCTCAAATGCTGACCAGCCTCTTTGCGTTGCCCCCTCGCTGCGGGCCTCACCGACAAGACACGTTTTCCAGGCTGTGAGATGTCCATTTCAGGAATATTTCAGTGGAGAGCGGGGTTTCAGCTTCTTCTCTACCGGTATTGATGGTCGCTGTGTGTCATCGCACTATTCTATTCGCTACCGGTGCCGGGCACGACGCCTTCGAAGGTACCGGTACCTGGGCCTGAAGCATTCCAAGACCATTGCCAGTTTGGCTAGCTTATATTTTCAACCACCTCCCAACTCATCCTCATCCCAACTACCGTAAGCCACTGGCTAGTAGTTCATGTAACGGCATGGCACCGTTACGACGATCGCACACTACGGGCATAGCACAGGAATGCAGATCCCGGTACCTGTGCGCTGTGCGCACTGTAGTTTGAGATTTAGGGACCATGGTCTTGAGATTTATGAACGAGGCACAGATGTGTGAAAGCTGCTCTTTTTGATGTCTCCTCTCAGAGTCTGGTAAAACGCTGCTACAGCCCAGCCTCTCTAGCTAGATCTAATAGTGACAGGAAGATGAGGTTCCATTTATTTTTACGAAAACTAGGAAAGAAGTCTTGGAGTTAGGTTCTGTTGATTTCTTGGGTTGTGCAGGCTGCGTCGAGCCACTCGCCACCAGAACTCTGGCCTGGATGTCAATTTTGGCTGCAAGTCTACAGTACAGCTACATGGTCTGGTCTTGGTGAGGTTGGGGCGGGGCTTGTCCTTGTGCGTTTCAGAATGCGGTTCAATCAAACTACTTACTAGGAACAGGCCTGAGTTCCAGTGATGTAATGATAAAGTCCACATACTTGAAAGCAAATGCTACATGTGTGTCTGCTTGTTCAAGAACCCTTGCAAAAGAATAATCGTCTTGACGATGTGTTGTCGGAGACTCTGTTCCTTGTGGTCAACCTCAATATTCTATCTTTAGTTAGAAACACCAAGTTTGGTTTACGTCTAGCTAGCTAGCTAGTCAGGTCAGGCCAGGTACGGTACTGGTACAATTGGGAGGTTGAAGGTGAAGCCGGTTGCGCCTTCATTCCTGTGCGGTACTCACTAGTAGTGTATTTTATTCCATCTCCCCAGTGTACAGGTTTGAGGATCCAAAGTTGAGAAAGGGGGGCACTGTGGTATCGGTACCGTACTACGTACCGGTACTGGTGTACCAGTACAAAATTATGACCTTTAAAAGGGACTACTGTGCAGTCGTAGGCTGTAGGCTGTAGGGCTGTAGCAGGCCTTCTTGTAACCTGGATTTTACACTTTCTTGTAGTAGAATCGAATCGTAGAATCTGATGTCGCCACTTGAGTACTCAGTAGGTGCCAGTACTATTAATAGTGGTCGCAATCATATGCCAGGTTTCAGTTCTACAGGGACTCATCTTTAAATATTATGTGCCTTCAATGGGACGCTGTTCAAAAAGGCTTCCTGTCCTCTTTTATTATTTATTTTAAAAAAATTAACTCCAAAGAATAGTGTCCCAGCATCTATGACATACAGCTGTACCTGTTCCTGTTTTGCGTTCTGAATACACGTTCATGAATACATGAATGTGTTTGTACTCCAGTAGCTCTCTACCTAGAGTAGGAGTAGTACAATACAGAGTACATGTACTTCGAGTATGTATGTACTGATGAGTAGCTCCGACTTCAGCGGTTTCGTAGTCAACGGTAGAACCACCAAGCGCTGGGAGCGCAACGAGAGCACGAGAGCACGAGAGCCAAGTATCAGGCAAACAGGCAAACTACTCAGCCACCTTATCAATGGATCTTCGGTAAATCTATTCTTGACTATCAAGCATCAGGAAGGGTACCTTCTCTGTAAGATCTCTAAACCAGTACCCGCTACCAAAAAAGCACAACAATCAACAAATGTCATGTCATTTTCGGTTTCTCGGCTACCGGTAGACTATCCTATAGAAATCAGCATGCAGGAGACACAAAATTCTTCGGTCCACAATAAAAGCAATCTCTCCATTTGGACTCCACTCGCATTGATTATCCTTTCACCCTGCCCATAGAGCTGATTTTCTCGTTATTATTGCGGTAGTGATCAACCATGGCAAGTCAGAGTGCAGCCACCCAGCCCATGCGAAGCGCTCTTTCAAGGACGGCGGCCTGTTGGCTCTTGCTGCTGCTTCTTTGCAGCCCCAGTAGTCAAGCTCAGACGACTAACACGATGGATCCTGTGGAAATTTCCTATGTCATGGAACCCTTTGAGGCGCTTCAAGAGGAGTGGATCCAACAGACCCCAGAGTCATGGGACGTTACTCTCACGACGACCAACGAGGCTCTCTTTGGGAATGCTTCCTTGCAAGTGGACTTTGTTCACGGCAGTGGTGGCAACGCAGACGACAACGCCGAAACGCTAACCTTGGGTTGGACCAGAGACCAAGGAGAACCTCCCCATAACTGCCATGGCAGTACCCATCTTTCCTTGTGGTACAAGATCATCCCCACAGCCTCTGCGCGGGTAGCACAGCTACGAGTAGTGATGCTCTCGGATAATGATCAAGAGTACTATCATGATACCTTTCCCCTAAAAGAGGAGACGTCGTGGCAGGAATTCCGTGTGGATATTGAAAACCAGGACTTGAAACCTTTGCATGCTAATTTGACTTCTACGACGAAATTGGATTTGACCCGCTTGACAGGATGGAGGCTGGAAGTGGGAGTCGTTGCCAACGAAGAAGACCCGGAAAACAACGCACAAGGAACCCTCTTGTTGGATCAGTTGGCTTGTGTGGGAGGGGGAGATTTGTTGGCAGCTCCCTTTCATCTCAATAAAAACAACAACCCAAACATGGATCCATGGGATTTTGCCATTCAAGAAGGAATCTGGGGTCAATCATTTCTTGATTCCGAATATGCCCGCAATGAAACCTCCATTGCTTTGGATGGTGCTGGTGTCATGCAGGTCAATTATACCATTGAACAGACAGAATCGTGGGGTGGTCTGGTGGGCATGAGCTTTAAGGCTCCTGCTAATGCCTACTACAACTTGACGGGGGCCACACATATTGGTTGGGGCTTTCAAAGACGACAGCCCGCTTCTGTCGCCGGAAGAACCAACCTTCGCTTTATTCTCAAGGAAGCCAGCCATGCATGCCACAACTGCAGCTTTGAAGACTGGGAATGGTACTACAGCTTTCACTATATGCTGGATGAGGATGATAATGTGGATGGTCTCGGAGAGGTTCTCATGCCACTGGAAGGAGGTACATCTTCGGAAATGCCATTTTGGCTCACGGGGTGGTCGGGTGCACTCGGTGATGAACAATTAGACGTTTCCTACATTAGAGGCTTTGGACTGGAACTGAACTTGGATAGCCAAGGTGGTCTCGGATCCACCGTCTCGGGAGCCATTGATATCTTCAACATGACTGTTCTGAGGGCATCCCCAGGTGAGCTGGAGGAAGCGGTGAACATGGAGGATGAGGGGCCTGCTGAGGTAGCCTACGTTCTGGAGCCTTTTGAGAGTATGGATGCATATTGGCTGACGCGGGAGAGTGGAGATGATGGGGATGTTCTTAATGTCACCTTTACAGCAGCCGACAATTCTCTCTTTGGGAACTCTTCATTGAGTGTCGAGTATCGATTTGGGGCCGCACTGGACACAACCAGAAAGATGGAAGTGGGCCGTATTGCGGCCGGGCCACCTTTCAATTGCCACCGCGCCTCGTATGTTTCCTTGTGGTACCGCATGCTCGAAACAACTGAGTCTGGTCAAGCCGCAACGGCGAGATTGTTGTTGTTGGATTACGATGATGCAGGCTTTTATGTTGATCTGCCAGAGATTGTTGATCAAGGATGGCGCGAGTTCAAAGTGAACATATCTGCATTTCTTCTCAACGACGCGCCTGGAGGGACTTCAGGAGATGCAATATTAGATCTGAAACGTTTGCGGGGATGGACAGTTGAATTGCGAGGATCCACCATGGCCTCTGGTGTGATCTTCCTGGATCAACTTGCTTGTGTGGGAGGTGAAAATATGCTCGGGTCTGAGTTTTCACCTCCTGGTGAAAGTTGGAATGGTGCAGTCAACGAAGGATCGTGGACTGAGGACTTCTACAACTCGGATTTGTCGGAAAGTGTAAGCAAGATAGCGCTTGACGATGGGATCCTTGGGTTGGACTACACGATAGAGCAGGTTGAATCATGGGGAGGATATATTGCCTTCATGATGAATGCACCAGAGCCATCATACTACAATCTATCTTCTGCCAACTTTCTGAGGTTTGGGTATCGGATACGAGAGGCCGCATCGATCCCTGGCCGGGCACACTTGCGTATGATTGTCGTAGAAAACAGCCATGGAGATGAAGAACGGTACTACAATTTCAATTATGTTCTCGATGAGAACCTGGCGGTTGGAGACATCGAGATCCCCCTGGAAGGCAGTGCAGATCCTTCATCTCCTTTATGGCAGACTGGGTGGTCCGGTGGGGTGGGCAATAGTCAATTTGACAAGAGTCACATCAAGGGCTTCACTTTTGAGCTGAGCATGGACTCCCAGGGCGACCTCGGGTCTACTGCCTCTGGAGCGATCGATCTGTTTGGCTTGACTACGCCACGCGCCGCATCTAAAATGGCGGACAACAGCATTCTTGATTTCGTCCGGATCGTTGAGGAGCCTGGCGTGACTTTTTCACAAATATCCCCACGGTTCCGACGGCAAGAATTCAAGCACAGCGAGTGTCAGGAAACCTGCGCGTCAGACCCAAGTTGTAATTATGCTCTTGCCAACGGACAAGATTGCTTCACAGCTTCAACATTGGAAGCAGGAGATGTGTTGGTTGCCAATACCCCACTTCTACAAGATGACGTGACTGCTTTCTGGGTTGATGACGTGACAAGACGTGGAGATTACTGTGACCTATGTGATTGTCACGGTCTTGATCAAACTATCGACTGTCGCAACAAGGATCTAATTGCTGTTCCCAAGACCTTTAGCTTGGCTTGGAAACCTCGAGTATTGGACTTGCGTAACAACTCCCAACTTGTGCTTCTGGGAGCTGGGGCACTGGATGGTTTGGCAGAATCACTCGAGGTGCTGTGGCTCCCGAGCGCAGTTCGTCACATATCACCCGGTAGCTTGACAGGGCTTCCCTATCTGTCTGTTGTACATTTCGAGCCAGAGGGCCACAAATCGAACGTGATTTTGGAATCATCTCAGGCTTTCGATGACGTCTGCTGTTCAATAGGTAAGGGGAAAGGAGAGAAGAAACTCGATGACGGCAGGATGGTGCTCACAGATCGCCTTTTCTTTTTCTAGGTCAACATATTGACCTTTCCGTTCCAATGAATGGGTTCACCTTCTGTGACATGAAAGTGAAGCGGCCGGGTTCCGACTCTACATTCTTGGATTTTGTCCAGTTCGAGGATGGCAATTCGTTTGCTCAGATTCGACCAAACTCGGACTTCATGGCCGAGGCTGGTAAGTGCGCGAATTTGTGTGTCCCGACCATCACGACGCCATCATGATGGCGACAGGCTCACAGTTCGCTTCGTCGTGCATCGCCCAGCCGAAAGCCCGGAGAAATGTGCTGAGTACTGTGCTATATCCAGCGAATGCGCTTTCTATAGCTACGATGCAAGATGGCACAATGCTGCACACATATGTTATCATATGAAAGGAGCGAATGGGACCATGCCAGAACACAACAAAGTCTGCTGCGAGAACGAGCACTACGCTGATGAAGGGCTCACGATGCCCGGTTGGACATCTGGGATGCCCCCTCGCACGCGCCACGATCTTGACAACGCCAGGGTGCAGATTGAGCCAGGAAATCTTGTCGCAGACTTTCGTAATGGTTATGAGGTTGAGTATACTGTATCCCTGGGTTCAACGCCACTGAGAGGCGCGGTGTGGGTAGAACCTAGAATGTCATCGTCGGCTAAGGTCGACATTTCATTTTCGCCGACTCGAGTGATATTGTATGGTGCGAACACAACAGCGACGGTCAAAGTTTCCATATCGTCGGAAGCGATTTCCGATTTCAGCTCGACCCTTCTGATCACGAACAAGATAACATCATGTGATGCGGCTTTCATGCACTTATCCGACGGCGATTTGGCAAACGATTTGAACGTTTTCATTGACGTTGTCACTCCGAAGGAAGAAAGCGGTTCCAATCTTGCTGTGCCCGTCACGATTACATTGGCCATTGTATGTATGGCAGGCCTCGCTGTGCTTGTCTATTTTGAAAGGAAACGTAAATCACATGACGCGGTGTGGCAGGTGAAGGAGGAAGAGCTGAAGTTTGCCGATCCGCCGGATATCGTTGGGAGGGGAAGCTTCGGGCTTGTATTGAGAGCTACGTATCGAGGCACCGCGGTAAGTAGGGTTGTTCACTGCAGCGGTGCGAAGTCAACATGGTACGGAAGGAAGACTGACATCATGCTTTCAGGTTGCTGTCAAGCGAGTGATACCACCAAGACGCACAGACATCGATAACAGCAGTCATCGTTTTGGGAGTGGGCAAGATGCATACCAAAGCATTGACGGACACATGCGGTCTTACAGCAAGCCAAACAGCAAGCCAAGAGGCGCTGATTCGATGCCTTCGTTGCTGGAGGGCAAAGCACTGCTCAAGCTAAGCTTCCTTTCAGGCCCAAGCGGCAGAGATGTGGCAGAATGGAGAAAGCGGAGGCAAGCATTCGTCAAGGAGATGAGGTATCTTTCGAAGCTGGTAAGTCCAGGATGTGTCCAGCGCCAATCACTACAGTATGGCCATGCAATATCATTTTTGCAGCATGGCGCTCACGTATCGCTTTTCCTGCATCGACCAGAGACATCCATGCATTACCACCGGTAAGAATTGTCGTTGGGACGAGGTTCTATGCACCGTTTTTCAGTAGCATCCTCTTCTCATCTGAACTCTGCCTCTCGCTGGTATCGGTACTACCGAAGTGATGGGTAAGCTCCCAACAACCGTTCTTCCTTGAACTGGTGCGAATTCACGCTGTGAATACCCATGGCTAAAATTGTATCTTGCCTTCACAGGAGCCGTCATCGATAGCAAGTCGGAACCTATGCTTGTAATGGAGCTGATGGAGCACGGGTCGCTGTATGACTTGCTTCAAAACGAGACGCTCGTAATGGAAGAAGAACTGCGAATTGCACTGATGGCAGACGTAACTCAAGGTGAGTTAGACGCGTAGAAAAGAGCTGGATCAAGTGAGCAAGAGATCTCTCACCTGATCGTTTTCTATCAAGGGATGCGATTCCTCCACGCTGCCAACGTGATCCATGGCGATTTGAAGGTAGGGTTGGAATGATTTGATTCGATTCGATTCAATCGCGCAGTTGAGATTTGTGTGCAATAGCCTGACAATGGGTTACACTTTTTCCTGCAGGCCGCCAACATCCTTGTAGACAAGGTAAGTTGGAACTTCGATTCACACCAACAACAGTTGAACGCGCCACAGCTTAAAATGTTGCTTGACGTAACTCTTCCATATCGTCAAGAACTTTCGAGCCAAGGTGCGTTCGTAAGAATCAGTTGATTGCCATGGTGCTGGCTAGAGATTTCTCACATGGTTATGTTTTAAAGGTCGCCGATTTTGGGCTTTCGTCGCACAAAGACCATGGTAGGGCAACAGGAACACCCTTGTGGATGGCACCGGAATGTGAGTTCCTTCTATTTGGTTGCCCCCTCTATCCTCGCCTCGTCTGATCATATTCCTCTTCAATCACGGTACCTGTACCAACATCAGTGTTGCGCGGTGATTGTGGCAATTCCACCGCCAGCGACGTTTTCTCTTTTGGCATAATCCTGTACGAATGTTGGAGTCGGAAAGAGCCGTACGAAGGAGAGCAGCTTTTCGATGTGCTGCGACTTGTTACGGATAGAACGGTTCACAAGCGACCTCCATTTCCTGATGAGATGCCTGCTGTGGTGCGCTCTTTGATGAGTGACTGCCTGGCCGGTCCACCAGAACGGCGCCCAAGTTTTGAAGAACTTGATCAACGTGTTGGCCGTGTCAACGTGGATAGCACGGACGGGACGCCAAGTCGACCTCGGCGTTCCTCTGTCAACGCAAACACTACTACTCTCTTCGACATCTTCCCCCGCCACGTGGCCGAAGCACTTCAAGATGGGAAAAAGGTGGAAGCTGAGCACAAGGACTGCGTCACTATCTTTTTCAGTGACATTGTTGGTTTCACAAACATCTCCACTTCCCTTGAGCCCCACAAAATTGCCTCCATGTTGGATCGATTGTACACGAAGCTTGACGAACTTTCTCAGCAGCATGACATTTACAAGGTAAGAAGTTGTTTCCCTTCGATTGCACAGGACAGATATATGTGTCTACCAGCTCTCTAACCAGTTCATCCATAACCAATCTACCGCTAGGTGGAAACGATCGGCGACGGTAAGCTCAAGCGAGGGAAGACATGTGCAGACGTTCTCCTTGAGTTCAACTAACCGGTCTTTTTCCGCTTCCACTTGCAGCCTACAGTGAGTTGTTCTATACTCAGAAAGCACTTTTGGGCCTTTTGAATCCACTCTTCTTAACCTTTCTGTCTACATGTATGTCTTGTCGGAACCCGTAGTGGCCGTTTCAAACTGTAAGTAGTGGCTGCCCGGCCCTAGCTAGTAACAAGGGATCTTCGCTTGACTCACCCCCCCTTCGCTGCGTCATCCTATGCATCGTCCCAGTGATCAAGGACCAGCACGATGACCATGTCAAGCGGATTGCACTGTTTGCAGTTGACGCAGTTGATGCCGCTAATACTGTCAAAATTGATCTGGACAACCCTGCTAGAGGTTGCGTTCAAATTCGATGTGGTTTCCACTCGGTGAGTTTCGAAATGCCCGTGTGCTGTCACAGGTCACAGATGTCCATCTCTCAACTTCAAGTTGTCTCCCACCCTTCTCTCGGAACCTCAGGGACCTGTTGTAGCCGACGTAGTTGGATCCAGGAATCCACGATATTGTCTTTTTGGTGACGCGTAAGTGATCTCTACTAGTCTAGTCTTGGAGCCTCAGACGAATTCCTCTCTGTCTCACATTCAAGCCCTTCCCGCGCGCCATTTCATTCTAGTGTCAACACTGCCAGTCGCATGGAGAGCAATGGACAGGGGTAAGCTTGGACAGCTGCTTGGACTCGACTCTGTTCTCGAGGGTGTTCTTGTTTGGATGTATGCAAGGATGCAATCTCATGTGCTTTCATATCTTGTCGTCAAAAGTGGGCGAATCCACTGTTCCAGGGCATCGGCGGAGTTGCTCGAGGCTCAACTTCCACAAATGGCAATGAACGGACGTGGCGAGATTCACGTCAAGGTAGGATATCGAGTTCTCGGATATGCTGCGTGTCTAGCAAACGGAACCGCATGGACGCACTAATCCTTTACAACATTGGTTACTGTCGCAACGTTTCAGGGAAAGGGCATGATGGAGACCTTCTGGTGCAACGAAGAAGGGATGCGTCCCTCTGAACAATTCCCGAACTCTCACACTGTGCAACCCCACAAGAACAAGTCAATGAGATTTCTGAATCCTATTAGGGGGAGCGCCAATCGGGGGAGCGCCAATCGAAGGCAAGCTTCAATGAGAGGCAGCGGGACCGAGGAAACGAGCAATGGTGAAGTCGGGGGTACAACAGTGGGTGTGGAAACGAGCCTTTCTCTGGCAGAGGCAGGGCGAGCCCCAACTACTTTCAATCTTTAGCTAGACGGTCGACTGGAGCGAGTGTTCACTCATTCAAGTGTGGGTCAGTCCCCCCTTAATACATTACCGCAGAGGTGGCAATACGGAGAGAACAATCTTAAGCTCGGGCTAGGAGCAGCATCAGGCATGCGAATGATCGCCCGCACGTACGGTATGTTGAGTTCCTCCCGCAGGTCGTAGACCCCGCCGACGATCAGCCCCCTCAGGATACATTTGTTTGCCGTGCAAAGTTAAAACCTATAAATTCTTATATAATGAACATACATGCGTCCCTCAAAACGAGGGCTGTGTATGATATACTGCTTCTTTACAACCGATCATGCCTGCCGCTTGAACCTGTGCTGCCCACTGGTGAACCAACGAAGCGCGTGGGAGGTGATCGGTTCGACGCCGGTGCCTGGCGGAGAAAGTCCAACAGGTATTGGAACCGATCTGGCTGGATGATCGGGAGAGATTCTTCTACCCCTTCGGAGGATGCCACTGACGAATGCTGAGACACTGCATCATCCAGAGACGTCGTTTCCAGAGCAGCTGAATCCACTCTGCTTCTTGGAGGTTTGGGAAAGGCGACGGGAACAGGCGACGGCATGATCCTGGCGAGGGAAAGGTCCAGTGGCAAGTCATCTCGATGCTGCTTTCGTTTCTTCCTTTGACGTTCATCGCAAGTGTCGTTCCTGAGGCTCATGGGATCCTTCGGCCATGGACATGATGATGCAACGGAGGATCTTTTCTTGACGGGACCTTCACTGCTGTCCTCCTCGGTAATGGGACTGCAGCGCAAGGGACCTGGTACATGAAGGAGAGGCCGAGGTCGGCAGTGATGGACGGGGTATCCAGCCCAACGTTGTTGTGCTTGAGTGGACGTGGTATTGTTCGGGGACACTCTGGAAATCTGGAGATTGTCCAGCTGGAAACTGCAAGCTTCAATAGAGTTGAAAGAGTTTCCGCTGCCCAATCGATCAAAGTCGATGCCGGTGGAAGGAGGTCTTCGATTCATGATACTGGCGGCTGCTTTTCGTGATGTCTGGTCAGGAGCAGTGAACAACGATAAGTCGGCAACCAATACGTCTTGCTGCGCCAATTATTCCTTTTGTGTGGAGTGTATCCTGTAGAACTCGAACGTCCCTCTTTCTGTGCCGGAGATAATTCAAACTATGGGTTGCAAATAAGATGCAGAATCCTCTTCTCTATTACTTGAGCTGTCGAGCTGCGATGATAAATGCCGACACGGGGCTGAGTGAAACGAGCTGTCTACTACTGAAACACACATCCACCTTCACTGACTCTTCCAATGCCAGATATATTTCAACTCCACCAAATAAAGTGGAAATCGGCCCTTTTGTCTTTCTGAAACGACTCGAGCCAATCGAGAACAGCAGGCAACTATGTCCATAGCACGAAACCGTGCTGAATTGCTGGAGATGAGGGTCCAAAAGGCTCGCACCATCGATCGATCATCACTCTTTCAACTGCCAACTGCCAACGACAACTTGGACAAAATAAACGGGGCTGCTCTAACTCAAGCACTGCCCAATGACCCCCAGACGCACTCTGGCCTCGGCCCACTCTAATCCCGCCTTCACGAGAGCTTGGATAGGCACATGCAGGCCAAGGCGAAGCAAGCAGCTGAATAATGATGATGCTACCTTTATCGCCCTCACAAAAAGCATCATTGCTTGCAGTGTTGCAGTGGCTTCGTTTTCGAGCCAAGTCCCAGCAGGAAGGGCCAACGAAAGATTTACGGTCACTGAAAAGGGTCCGATTGTCCGAAAGCACTGCCTCTAATTGTGAGAATTCCGGTACACGCGTGATGTTTCTAAATAAGCGTTCTAAGCCATTAAATCATCAGATCATCATTCACACTTCAGTCAGAAACGGGATCGAAACTGGTTCTTTTGTGGCTGAATATTATTATATATTTTAAAATAGCTGCTCGATGTAGCTTCAGACTTCAGATTTTCGGAGCAGTAAAACCGGGAGTGAAGGGTGGTTGGAAGGGGTCCGTACTGTAAATCCAGTTGTAAGAGAAACACCATTGGAAAGTGACTCTGGACCCCTCTTTGTGGCAGGAGTACAAGTCCTTTAGTCCAAGATCCAAGTCCCCTTGTGGTCAGCTCGGCACAATGTTCCAGGTGGCTCCTCATTCGGATGGTAGCTGCCCCAACTTAATGGTTGGTTGCAGGTCCTGGTAGCTATCGGTAGCTAGCTAGAGTTGTTGGCTCAAGCTCATCAAGGCTCATAAGGCCCTGAGGGAAAGGAAAGGGTTGACACCTCGGGTTGCCGCCGATCCCGAGCTGCTGTGGCTAAATAGTGCGTTCACCTTCGATCTTTTGAGATTCCTGAACACTGCGTTGCCTCACCTGAAAAGAGAGCTGTGGTCGGTGGTACTTGGGGCCAAGACACAAGCCCGTCTCGGTTCTCCAGCCCCAATAGCTGCCCCAATACTGCTGCCTGACTTCTTATTCCACCGTCTTCCTGCTGTGACAGCCAGAAGCTCGCTCTCGTTGCTGGATCTTCAAGAGCAGTGTTCACATTCGAAGGAACCAAAGCCCCCTCACAGAGGATCCACCCACAAAAAACACAGAGAGTCATGGTTGAGGGTATCCAAGTTCACATCAGTAGACTGTTACTGCAAGAGAAGCACTATAGCACCTTGTGTATTATCCCTGATAATGCCGTGTCACCCTTCACTCCTCTGTCTTCGAGGGTTGCACCACGACGGGCCAGGTCAACCTCGGGTAAAACAAGACGAAGGACAAGGCGACCGATAACGAGGACCCGCACAGTACCACCCATGCGAAGCCCACATCCTCGAGACATTGAAGCCGCTTTTACTGGAGGGTCGCGATGGTCTAGTTCTGGAGGCGAAGATCTGAAGACGCCAACAAAGCCATCCAATGGCGGTATGAAACCTCCACGGAGACGAAACAGCTCCATCAAAACGGAACAAGAGCCACCGTCTGATGATCTGCAGTAGTGTTTGTAATTACATGACAAGCCAAGAATAGTCCAGACATTGTACATAGACTAATACATTTCGAACAAGAGACTTCATAGTAAGAATCTCGTTGCCGGACCAACGAAGATGCAAAAGAAAACCATGAAAGAGAGTTTGAGAAAGAGGCAGAGAGAAAACGAGATGGGTGCATGCTCCAGGTTGCTTCTGATGGAACCTCAGACTTTGGATGCCAAACGAGGAGACATCAGCTTATCCAGTGCGAAAGAACAAATTCCTGTAGTAATTTAGATGCCAGACGCCGGTAACCCAACTAACTAAAGTGACGGCATTATGAAAGCAACTAACTGGAGTTGCATTCGATGTATGCGCCTCTCGTAGCAGGCACAAAAGTTTTGTTCCAAAGGCCAAGCAGCTCATCACATCACAACCCAATGCTCACAGAGTGGTGCTCTTGAGTCCATGCTTTATTTGTTGTCCAGCACCCCAAACTGGGGCGGGCGTACCGTATGTGTCAGTTCTACAGCTCAGCTTTCAGCTTCAATGGGTATCTGATGCTCACGATCCACCTTGAGGCGGTCAAACTATTCATTGAGAGGAATCCTGGCTTGAAACATCCAGTTTGTGTTGGTGTCACTTGCAACCTTGGCCCAAGTTCAGCTCTTCGGCCAGCGATAAAGACATGGCCTCCCCGGCTAAAAGGAGCAGACAGCAATTTCAACTCCAATTCCACTGGTGACCCCGGTGAGAATGACATACTTTCCTGAGAGACTCCTGGTGAATTTCTTTCTGTTCTGGTGTTTTGCTTTTGTTTTGGGTGCTGATTTGTTTTGTGAGACGAGGGATGAAGATCGAAGGCAGTCAAGGCATAATATTGGCACGGCTTGGGAGTGGGAGTGGAAGCGGAAGTGGGAGTGAGTTCTTCACGCTGGTATTTATTTGTTCTGTTCGTCCGGTCAGTGATAAGTGATAAGTCTTCGCTGTAAGTAAGTCTAATAGAAGCCCATGGATTTTTCGTTTATTCGGTGGAGGGTTGGGAGTTACCGCTAGCTAGATTAGGATGTTGGGCTTTACACACAGCGATACTCCTTCTAGCCTTGTAGCCTCTCGCTTTGCTCGCAGCCCTTCCCAGGATAGTAAACTAGCCCTGGGGATGCCCACAGGAGATCGAATGAATTCTACCTGGAGTTTATTTGTGGGCTGGAAAGTCGACGAAGCTCTGAACCGGGTACATTGTGGAAACTTTTAGATTCAGATCATTATTTGCCTGGCCAGCTCAAGCAATGCGTGAGAAGCAGTTCTTCACGCCAGTTCTTTTGGTGGTTATGGCAACATGTGCTTTTCCTACAGCGTCATGGGCTTTGCATTCCCCATGCCCAATGACATCAACCAGGGCAGGACTTTTGGTCTCCCAGCAAACACGCGGGGTCTCGAAAGCACCGGCGTTTTGCTTTCCGAACCCACTTACTTAGCCACCCTGTCTCAATCGGTCCTCGTCGATTCCGCATGAAAACGACCGCCAACGCAAGGGATACCACTGGCTTTGTGGGGTGCGGGTGCGGCATCCGAACGAAGGAAGGGATACGTAAGCTACTTGCGGTACGATTGTAATGGGAGGCGTGTTCCATGCACCAGGCTTTTCCTGTCATTTTCCTTCGCCATGCCTCTTTGCTTGGCTCGACTGGTGCAAGAAACCATCCGCTGCTCCACTCTAGCTACATGTAGTACGCTCAGTTGCGTTACGATTGATGGGAGAAAGTAGTACATAGCTTTTTTAGTTTTATTTGTTTGGTTTGATGGATTGAAGATATGGTGATAGCCCCCTTTTTTGTTTGTTTGTTTGTTTTCTTTTTGTTTGTTCTGACTGTCGCTGCTGGCGTGTCTCTCACTGGCTGTCTCCAAATCCACCAGGAGAGTTCGATTTCATCCGACAGCTCACGTATACGATTGATTACCCCGAAGTTTTGATTGATTGAATGACTGATAGATTGTTTTGTTTTTGCATTGTTTGTTTTTGTATTGTTTCTGAAAATTGTTTGCCTTTTGCTCACTCACTCGGTCACTGCACAATCAGGGCAAGTTGATACAACTTGCTCCGCAGGTACAGTGTCAGACCGATGGGAGTGGAAACGTTTACTCGTGCATGACGGCGGCAAACATAGGAGGAGCCCCAAAGGGCGCGGAAGCAAGAGGAGGAGCCCCAAAAGGCGCGGAAGCAAGAGGAGAAACGCCAAACGGAGAGGACGTGGCGGAGGCAAAGGAGGCCACTTGAAGACTCTGAAAACACGATTCCAAAGCACAGACTTCCTTTTTGAATGCCTTGTTGGCACGACGCTTCTTCTTGGTCATGGTTGGTTTCTTCGCGGCAAATGGTTTCTTCTTGTTGGCCGTGGTCTTCTTTTTGACCACCGCCATGGTGGTTGCCGCAGATGAAGTGGTCTTCTTTCCAACAGTCTTTTTCTTTTTGCGGAGAGTAGCGGCACCAGTCAGAGAAGTCGTGCGATAGCTGGTCCATCGTGGATCCCGAGACAAGGTTTCCATTTCCCCAATGGTAACCTTGATCAATGGCTTCTTTTTCCCTACTATCTTTTTCTTCTTCTTTTTGGTGGTTGTCTTCTTCTTCTTCTTCTTCTTGCCAGTCTTCATCTCCACATCTTCGACGACAACAGCCGACGTGGTCGTCTTGCCCTCCTCAGCGGCCAATGGCTGTCCCAGGAGTGGGACTGCGGTGCTCGGGGCACCGCAAATGCGGAAAGTGCTTTGATCTATGTACTCATGGTTCACTAATACTGTTGTAGATGCTGTTGGGACTGTTGGAATCATTCGATCCTATGATTATGAGGAAGGGAAAGGATACGATAGAAGAACAAAACACCAAGGCCAGTTCCTGTATTGTTGTGATCGTGGAGTGGTGCTGCTGTCGATGTCCTTGCCGTGTCTGAGCTGTTGTGACGACCAGCACGCCATGCAGGCACAGTCAGTTCTTGACTATATTTATATGGGGGTAATACGGATTCCTATAAATATACTAGAGAATATAAATATAGGCTCTATTTACTAGTAAAGTACGCGTGGAGAGTGCCGTCACGTTTTTGTTTGGCAGCCTTTGCTCCCCTAGCCATATTCAATGCCCTTGCAAACCTGTCAAGATGAACGGTGGCAGCCGGGTTCACACCCAAACTGGAGGCACTGAGTGAGAGCTTGTTGAGTGCCTCTTCGGCTTCTGCAATGGAGGCAAACAGATCGTCCGGTTGGGGATCTTCATCCGTCGGTTCTGGCTCGTCGTCATCAAGCACAGCCAGTTCTGCTTCAGTTGTTGTCGTCTCTAGCTCTTCAATCTCATCGTCACTGACGTCAGTCACGGTCACTCGTGACTCAGGGGGGGACATCGAAATTCCATAAATATACTGGAGAATATAAATATACGTTTATAAATATAATCGCGAACACACTGCAATTGCATTCTCTCCGTTGTCATCCATTCGTGCGTGGCAACTGAGTGTGCACGTTTGCATCGTCATTGGATCCTCCAGCCTCCAGCTGTTCCACCCCTTTGCTTTACGTGTCTTTTATAATGTACAAACGTTCTGGGGGTGCCCCCCACAAACGTGGCAGACAGCTCCAGACTAACCAGCTTGGAGAGGACTGAAGAAACGAGACTTGGGCAAATCGTTGCAAACCAGGTCTGATGAGCGCCAAGAGCAGAATCAATAGAGCATGCCATGTGGGCCAAGCGCAGACACTGGCTAGCATGCCGTGATCTCGTTGTTGGTTTGGAAAATGGCTTCACCTACTGCACTGAAACAATGAGGCATGGGTTCGGGATTTCCGCCCTTTCTAGCTAGACCGTGGGTGATCAATGGATTTTATAGGTGTAGAAAAGTCTAGTAGTTTGTTGGTTTTATCAGTCTGTCGTTGTCTCTAGCTCTCTGTTGTCTCTTCTATGATGGCGTGCTTGCTTGATTCCGGCAGGTAGCAACCAACCAAATAGCCAGCCAGCCAACACGCACCCCCACGGTATTTCCGTGCCGTCAGACCTTCAGCTCTCCATTTTGCTTCTCAGTTGGGCTAGTCATCACCCGAGAATTTCAGGGTGTGCATGTAGCCCCAAGAATCGTCCTGAGTTTGTCTACTTCTCCCTTCCCTCCGGTTCTCCACTGTGGCCGCTTCGTACCGTGCCGGCATTCTCTGATACGAAAGGCAAATTCTTCTGCTTCCGTTGGTACTGCCTTGCTACTCGTCCTCTCGGACTGTTTCTACGTCTCTGCACTGTAGTCGTAGTTTGGAGACATCCTTTGCCTTTTCTGATGAAAAGCAAAAACTACAATGTCATGTAATTGCGAAAGGGAGACACGTGCACCAATTCTGTTTTATGTGAAGTACAAGTTAAAGATTTAACTGCACTGGGTCATTGAGTCCTTGTAAAAAACAGCTCTTAGTTTTTACGATTGTTTCCGTGGATGAACACAAAAGCACGACAGCACAACATCCTTCATACCTTCAGGCTTCATGCGCTGGAAGAAGGCAATGATGGTGCAAACTCAAGACGGAATCGCCATGAAGAGATGTGAGAGTGTTATCTTGTTGGTCGGGAGCATATAATTGAACAGCGGCGCTGAAGTGTTGTTGTTGTGCTTTCCTTCTATCCATTCTTTTCGTACTGGCAGCAACACAGCAACAATCCAGCAATGACACTTCTTCGGTTGCCATTCGTGATATTGTCGGTGCTTCTTTGCCTTGTCAATCTGACCAATGGCCAAGCAACTACCAGTGATGCCAATGGGATCAATCTACTGGGTTCTGACTTTTCCTTATTGTTGGAAAATGGTGTATTATTGACGCCCAGTTTGGCAGAGTCCACCGAAAACTGCCAAACGCCCTACAGGATCCTGCAAATTTGCCTCCGCTCAGAGTGTCCTGACTTTACCAATGTCTGTCCCACCAACACATCATCAAATCCACAGAACACAGGACGGTTGACATGCACAGGTATTGCTGAGACAATTTGTACGACCTACAAAGATTGCTGCATGACTGATTGCGCCTTGGAATTGCAGACCTTGGCCATTTGCGTTGGAGAAAATGGAAACAACAACCCCAAGGGACTGGTCTGTGAGGAGCCATCATGTGATGACAGTGTTCTCCAAAACACAACAACAGAAGCACCCACAGATCCCAACTTGAGAGAATGTGAATTGGTGGACACGAACGATCAGGGGCAACAACACTTCATTTGCCAACATGTGGCCAATGTGACATCCATCTATTCAACCAACACAAAACCCTTTGAAGCAGATATCATTTGTTCTGTTCCTCCCGATGGTGGTGTTGGCTTTGACTACAATGATTGTCAATGTCAAGGAGCAACGGTCTTTGGAGAATTCGTTCAAGAATGCAGCTGCCAAATCTGCAACAGCTCCCCTGGAAAATATTCCATAGCACTGGATTGCAGAAACGATATACTGGATCCCTTTGTCATTGATGACTGTATCGAACAAACCTGCCAAGGGGGGTGCATTCGAATGCCGCCTGATGTTCCATCCATCATGCCCACAACTTCTGCTCAACCAACCCAACCAATGACAATTGCGCAGCCCATCAACCCTACCCCTGCGATGCCATCCACAGCACCCTCAATTCAATCCTCAGCAGGATTGCTTACTACTGGCACAGGGCTTCCTACTCTTGGCACAGGGTTGCCCACTTCTAGCAACATCACCATGGCTCCCTCACAAGAATCGTCAACCACCACAACAGTTCTCACATACCCTTCATCCAGCTCTCCCAGTGTAGTGCTGACTGTCATGCCTACCAAAAACCAACCATCTCTGCCCCCTTCACTGTCTCCAGCTGCTGTGACTCCCTCCCACCTTAGACGGACTTCAGTACCTACGGTTGCTCCATCCACAATGTCACCCAGCATCAGCCCACGAACTCCACTGCCAATCGCAGCGCCACCTCCACCAACAGTGAGCCCCATTCGACAAAATTCCACATTGGCATCCTTTGTGGGGGCTCTCTTGGCTACTATTGGATTGATTGTTGTGCTGGTGGTCGCCAAAAAGGGCAACATTACTGAACTCACAAGAGTCCAACATGGAGGCAGTGCTACTAGTCCTGGTATCCAACAAAGCCGATTAAGCCAAACTTTGAACAGCTAAGAACCACCATGATCCCTTCCTGTTGGATTGTTTTGGTCCTGACAGCGTCAGTGGCCATGGGGTTGAGGTGAGGGACTCACTCAGAAGCATGCTGCTTCATGTACACATTCCCTATGGGGGGACCTCTCTGTCTGTGTTTTGGCTAAGCCTCTGGGCTTGTTAACCAAACTGAGACTGAGGGCTTGATGTGGATGCGTCGTCTCCCGGTCAAGTAGTCATTCGTGATGGAGCTGGTGTTGTTGGTGGGAGGGCACAAAACGAGAGACTGAGGTGCAAGCCAGTCTGTGTCTGTGTCTATCTAACAGAAGTACTTATACTGCTCGTTGTCCTGAGAATGCTTAGACATGACATGCTGACCACACTTGCTTAGCTGACTTTAAAGGTTTAGAGTTGGGACATTGCTCACCTCGGAGGCGAGAGACATCGAACAACTATGTGGAAGGCTGGAGGAGGGGCCCACTGGTCAAGTAGGTTGCACCATACCATGTTTGCATAGGTGGCTTCCGTAGTGTTACATGGCTACTTGCTACGCAGGTTTGTGGAACCGGGAGAAACGAATGAGAGTCCACAACGAAAGACTACTATAATAAGTTCATTATACCGATGTCGAAAAAAGCAGGATCTGAGTTCAATACTCAATCCTACAGTTTAGCGTTAGTTCCGTGGCCCCCTCCCCCATCACGAGAATCCAGGCCATTCGTCCATCTCAATAAGGGACAGGTATATACAAAAATAAGAGGCGACTTGGCCGGCCTGCTGCGGACGGTTGTTCTGGAGGGTACCACGGCACTGGCGAGAGCGCCATTGTGCTCTCCGATTCCTGTTATTCCTTCTGTGAAGGAGCCGAACGAGGGACAAGTCGCAAACCCTGGATGGGATTTGCCTTGCCAAATGATAATTGCTTCTCCCTCGCTAGTCCTTGCCGTTCTCGTTATTGTCATTGCCCAGATTGAATCTGGAGAATTCGATTTCCTCCAACAGCCTCGGAAAGTCCCTCTCGATCCGTTCCTCCGAGATAAATTCGTCCTGAGGATTTATTCTGGTCTTTTGGTGACGGTATTGCCGCCGTTTGCTGCCGAGCAGCACATGGTAGAACTTGGAGTTTTTGTCAATGTACTGATCCAAGAAGTGATACAGACACTTGACTTGCTGTGGAATGTCTTGCACGATGTCCGTATACCGCAGCACGAGTAAGTTCTCCCTTGACGTTGTCTTGCAGAATTCAACTTCCTTGTGAAACCACAAGATGTTCTCTTGAATGATGGTTTCCCGTATCTCGGGATGATTACGAAGGACATTGTTGCCCGTCAGTTGATATGCTAGCAAGCCTTGCAGTTTCATCCAGGAACGCAACGACTCCTGAGGATCTCGAACAATGACGACATACTTGGCGTCTGGGTAGACGACCTTGGCCTCGTCCAATTGTCCATTCCATCCAGCCACCCACTTGGCCAAGTATCGTTTCCCTTGTCCTCGACGATGCATCACCTTTTGAATCGTCTTGCGATGTAAGTTCATGTAGCGCATCCTCGTGCTGCACGGGAGTTCCGAAAACCGGTGATTGAATCGCACCAACTCTTCATGGGGGAAGAACCCCACAAGGAGAAAGTGGCAAAAGGTGTGCCAGAAGAACACGAGATCGTCTTCGTCTGGAAGATCATAGCGCAGACGACGCATGTCTTTGCGTTCTCCAGTCTCTTGCAGACAGCTGAGCATTCCAGTTTCAAGCAACAGCTTATAGCCCCTGCTACTAAAGTACTTCTTGTCAATATGCGACAAAAAGTCAACTGTATACTGCACAGTAAGATAGGGATACCTCATTTCATACAGGTACATGGAGCAATGCCTGTCTTCATCCTCGGATAGCAACGTTTCAAACATTGTTGTCCCCGATCTCGGCTGCCCCAGAAGAAAGAGAGGCTCTTTGATTTCGGTCGCTCTGTATTCTGGAAAGAGAATATCATCCAAATACCAGAGAACCGTTTCGGCAGGATAGCAGTAAAAGGCCTTCCAGAAAATGTAGAAGAAGCCCACCGTATTGTAGAGGAAGGGCAAATCAGCACGAGGCTGCGTCAGGGTAACTTTCAGCATCATTAGCACGTCACTCCAACCCGAGAAGGGATTCATGGTCCAGGTAATGGCGTAGAAAACTGCCAGTTTTGTCCACAATCCATAGTGATTCAGCACGTAAAAAGACGCTGCAAAGAGCAGCAGCATGTAGATTCGAGGAGGAAAGATGCACAATGGTTCCCGAGGGACCGTGGTAGCCAACGGAGCAGTACTTGACTTGGTGTTCTTGACCTCCCATGTTGTTGACTGCGTAGCTGATGCTGGGATTGTGTCCTCGGTTTTCTTCGTGGGGTTGCACATGGTGGAGCCCTGAGCTGATGCACCGGTAGCAGGGCCAGAAGACCTTGCAAACAACGCCGATACCGAGTTTATGGGCGACGGAAGTCGTCCTGATGTGATACCCTGATGTACAAACGCTCTATTGTTCAAACTGAAGCCCTCTGCTTTCTGCATACCTCCCATCTATCTAACTTAGCTCACGGCTTTGGTACAAGGTGTCCGTTTTGGCGGCGGATCAGACAAGCAGATACAATGCATGTACAACTGTGGCTCCTGAACAAAAGCTTCCACCAACGAAGCGATCCCTCAAAATTTCAATTGTGGAGCGCACCTTTGGGACTTACAGTGCGACTATGTTAGCTACTTGGACGGCATCATCCAAGCTATTAATTGTCTTCGGCTTTGGCACGATTCTCGCAGATAACAGCACATGCAAATTGAAATCGCTAACAGAGGAAAAAGTGGCCGGACTGGTCCAACGCCCCGCGAGACCCTCTAATTTTACAAGAGTACAGGATAATTACTTCGCTGAAATGCCCGGTTTCTAAATCGCCAAGGAATGACAAAAATCTGTCTTAGCTAACAAAACTGAAAGCCGGAAGATGGTATCTCCGATCACAAGATACTGCTGCCACGAATGACTGTCAGCTTTATGGATTGCTAGCCACTGACGGGAAGATGCACTCATAGAATCACACAGCTACCTTCTCCAAAGTCGTGATGCATTTTGCGCAGATCCAACCAAGGGCCAAGCTTCTTCTTCATTGGATTCTGATGAATTGTGTGGAGGGAGTAGGAGAATTAGTTAATAGTAGAAAAGGGAGACAGAGATACCACCTCCAAAATGATGCACTTACCCACTGCTCGGGTGCGTGGTCCTTCTGCTTCAACCAACTATCAAGCCGCCGTAAGAAGCTCTCCCAATCCACGTTGGGGTCGGGCATGCCATCCATGAAAGAGCCACCCACGAGAATACCAACGAAATCACTGAGCTCACTCTTGGTCAAGCGTCGCTCATCCAACATGTCCTGTCGCCAACAACCAAGCAGCAAATAAATCAAAATAGGATAAGCTGCGGTACAAACAGAATTTAACGCCAGAAAGATCGGTCACTTACAAAGACTCGGTCATGGTAGCCCATTTCACGCATTCGATGCAGAGGCAAGGCATAGTTCAACCAAGCATTATGTTCATGTACCTCTGATGCTTCGCCTTCAAAATCATCCAGGACTTGGATAACGATTAAAAGAAGAAACACACGTGTAAGAAAAGAAAGGGTGGCACACTCAAGCCATCGATAATCTTTCCTCGGCTCACCCTCCATGGAAAGTTCCAATAGTGAATCGAGATCATTGTAGAATTCCACCACCTTTTCTTCGTCCGTGCACAATCGTATAACGAGCCAGACAGGATATCCTTCCAACGTGCGAAGCGCGTCAACGAATTGAAGTTGATGAGCGTCACCCCCGTATCCACGTTCATCCGTAGGAAGTCCATCTGTCGCAATGACGACTGCAACCTTTTGTCCATTGGCTCGCAATTGCGGTGTCATGGCTTCCAATTCTGACTGGATGGCCAAAATGTGATCGGTCAACGGGGTGCAACCTCCTGGTCTGGCTTTTCTGACGATTTTAAGGGCTTCTTGTGGACTGACATTAGCGTTTGTGTTGTACGGGGCACTCTTACCGTGATAGTCAGGTGCCTCCATGGACGTGTCAATGGTGAATTGTTGTGGACCCACATGTGCGCCAGGGTCATTGAGAAACTAAAAACAAAGCAAGAGGTGCAATACTTGAGTTAGTGTTATTGGAGCACACATTGATATTCACGGATTCTTGTTAGACTGACCCGAAAGGATGTCGGTGCTTGAATCAGAGCTGCTAGTTGAATATGGTAGCAAACGCATTCTGGAAAGGAAAACGAAGAGTTAGCTAGGAAATCAATCGCATGGGACCATCTCTTGCAAGTCTATGTGCAGCGTAACTGCCTGCCATACCTGTGATTTCCTCCCATCGACTGCACGCGACGAACTTGAGATTCTTTCGTCTCCCCGTATCCACCAATCGATGGCCATCTGTTTTCTGCATGCTCCCGGAGTTATCCACAACTTTGTATGATAAAGATACAGTAGTGATCAAACCAAGACGTATAGAGTGAATCGTTTGGCATGAGTGATCGTTTTTCAAAAAGCTGTCAAGGCGTCTCTTCGGCATGAACTTACCCCAAATGCTTTGGACGACAAAATACCAAAGTGATCAAACCAGCATATAGAATAGAATCATGAGACGTGAAGGATCGTTTTCAAAAGCCTTCAGATGTACCGGTATCTGCTGCACGTACCGTTTGGCAAATGTTTGCTTGGCATCATCCAGAGATTCCGCCAAGCCTAAAAGGTGACGGGCAATGACGCTTGGTAAGCAAAATAGAGTTGCTTTCATTGTATTCCATGGGCCTGAAGTGACCCTAACTATACAATGTATATTCTCACCTCTGGTGAACCCCTGGGCAATCAATTGTGAAATCTGTGAATTGTCGAGTTTCTTGCGAGATGGTGGTGGAAGGGATGCAAAGGACGCGGCGCTATAATCCAGCATTGGACCAGTTGAAGCAGATGTGATGCGACTGTCACTCACATCCTGCATTCTTGCTGCCCCATTATCAGTTATTGGGACGGCAGAAGCCATTGGCATGGAAGCTGCCATGGGCGCCAGCACAATGTTGGCTTCTGGTTCTGGCGCCCTGGGAGGTGGCATGCTAGGTGAAACTAGGGGCTGAACAAAGTCTGCCGGAAACCATCCCCTCTGATTTTGATATGTCCCATGTAACCATCCATTGTTGTTGTTGACAGTGTTCTTGTAGGTGTGGTTGTTGGGTGTTTCATCAATGATAGCTCCTGCCGGAAACGTCAACTGATTTTCACCCGGATTGCCTTGAAACGGAAACTTGGCAATCAACTGCATCGTCTCCTTCTATAAGATGTATGTATGATAGCTGCTAGCTAGCTGGATGGTCAGACACCACTCTTCCTCTTGATCTGTTTGGAGGCCCAGCCAGAGGAAGCCAAAGAGCACTTTGATGCGTGCCTTGGCCGTTGCGAACCTCATTGGTTCAGTCGTGTCAGAGGTGCCGTCAGAGGTGCGTCCATGTTTTCATCTTCTCAATTGTTAAGCAGCAGAGTTGTTTGACTGTCACTATCGTACGGACGTGTCTTTCATTAATCTTTTTACGTTGTGACAGTTAGAAGGTGCCAATCGACAACTAAATCCAGGTTGCCCCAATTTTGGTCGGACACACTTGGTAATTAGGCAGTTGAAATTTGGGTGCTTCAAGTCTTAAATGCCTTGTCCGAAGTGTCTCACGATCATTGGTGAGCCTTTTACCACTATAGAAAATCAGTAGGCAACGTGTCGCACTTCTCTATCCGCGGACAGCGGTGCAGCTGTACCGCTGTACCGCTGCTAGTTTATTCCAGATCAAAGAGCTCAAGCGGTTCCTCGAAAGTCGTCTCCAAATTGAAGCACAACATCCTCAACGCAAGCACTATTTTGCTTCCGACCAAGTTTATTCATTCATTTGTTTGCTTCGATGAACGGTGATAGGATGAGCTATTTTATGGACGACAGTAAGAATGACAAAATCCAAGCACAAGCGGAGTCCCTCAAGACCCGATGGAGCCGTTGCTGTGCCGTGGTGGCAGTTTTCTGTGTAATTGGGTACTTGTTCCAGCATCATGCCGCAAATGGCGGCCATCATAGAGGAGGAGTATCCCATTTGGACGGCAGTCTCCCCATGAATTCCACCTACCACGGCAGTGCTGCCTCGGTTACCAAAACTGTCCCTGCAGAAAAATCCAGTCAAGCAGAATCTGATGCCAAGGAAAAGATTGAGGGTGTGACAGAAAAGGCTACCGAGACTGATGCCTCCCAGGAAAAGACGGCTGAAAAACCCGCTGAACCTGAAAAGCCCGTGGAACCAGCCACTCCTGTCGAACCCGCAAAACCTTCTGAACCAGCCGCCCCTGTTGAACCCGAAAAACCCGCGGAACCTGAAAAACCCGCAGAACCAGCGACCCCCGCGGAGCCAGCTACCCCTGCTGAGCCTGCAAAGCCAGCGGAACCAGAACCACAACCTGCTGCAGCCTTGGAAGATCATAATAGCATCAAAGCTACAACAACGGCAGATCTGCACACACCCACAAAGTTGCCTCGTTTGACCAAGGAACAACTCTTGAGTCCATGGGATTTGGCAGCCAACAATCACGTCCCAGTTGACTATGCAGGGGAAGATTTTACCAAGATTGCAGTCTTGAAGAAACGATTCGCCGAAGGCAGGGCGAAATATGAGCAAGAGTTGAGTACTTTGTATGGCGCAGACACATACAATAATCTTTTCAAAAGGGGAGGAATCAGTGTTGGAAAAAACATCCTCTTTAAGAGCCCTTACGAGCAGGCGGTGGGACCCAAAGACAAGCACTTTAACAAAGCTCATATTCATGGCTGGCCCCACTTTGTCCAAAAACTCAAGTTCAAAATTCTGGGCATGCAGCTCAAATTTATCGAGGCGGGAACTCCCACGACAACTTTGACTCGCTTTGTCCATATGCATGGTGGGCACAGGTAAGAAGGAGAAAACAGAGCTTGCATGCAACCATCCAAACTGAATGAATAAATGATGCAGTCACTTACACATTTTATTTCTGATTTTCTCTCTCCTTTATTTGCAGTGCGGGAGCGGCGCATGGAAACTTTTTCGACGAATCCTACACGGCCGAGATGGAGCGACGTGTGCAGCCAATCCTGCGACAACTTGGGATCAACTATGTTGGAAAGAATTACGCCATGGGTGGAACGCCATCAGGGGAAGAAATTGGCTTGTGCAACAATGCCATTTTTGGTAGGGACGTCGACCTCCAATCCTGGGACTACGGTATGACGGACGGCAAAGAGAAGTGGAAGCAATACAATTATATTCAACGTGCTGCCATGAGGACAAACATGCAGCCGGTTGGAACTGACTTTACGCCTCCTCGCCCTGCTTTCTGGGGCATTCATGTCGGCATGTCTCCTCTTCAGGCATTCTCCTCCTTGGAACAGCTTGGTGTAACGGTGCTGACAATGGATGACCGTACAAGAGTATCCCAAATGATGTGGATTCCAGATTCCCGGATGGCGTCATCAGAGCAGATTAGGGCAATGCCAGATCACCTGAGATACTTCAAATGCAACGGGCAAATTGAGAATGGTTCGCAGTGCAAGTTAAACAAATACAATCATGAAGTGTGTGCAGATCGAGCACACCAAGCAAGTTGGCATCCGGGATGGAAGAGCCACGCCCTTGATGGAAACTTCATGGCAATCACACTTTTAGATGCTTTGGAGCAGGCCCTTGAAGAGCTGGCCATTGTTGAACCCGAAAATGAAACCAAGGAGGCAGCCAAGGCACGCTTGGAGCAGCTGTGGAACGAAATCGGGGCCGAAGAGGCCGGACGATACGGGAAAGTGTCGCGCAAAGGACCTGTCTTGGGCAATCGATTCGGCAACGAAAAGTACATCGAGGGCAAAAAAGACTTGGTGGGTCTTGTTGACTATAGGGAGTTTGGAAAGCGAGTCAGTTACTGCCACACTGCCAGGTTGCCGGCCGAGTCTCGATTCCGTGGCTTGACCACTGAAAACTTTGATCGAACTACCATGAATGCTGGCGTGGAAAGACGATTCGACGAGGGTTTCTTGCTGGACGAGGTAATCGCAGCAGAGAGGGCCGGAAACATCACCATTAATCCCGAGCCACACAGAAAGGAGCAGCCCCTTTTGGTGCACTCACCCTTGGAAGATTGCACGAGGCCTACGTTTCTGGATCACAAGGATGCATTCTTTGTGAGCAAAAAACATGGATGGCGACATGTGATCTTGCCAAACGACTCCGAGAAGCAGTTCTACACCGAATTTGATCCCAAGGCGGCCAAGTGGGTCATGGCCTGTCTAGCTGGATGTAACTGGGGAAATTGCCCCCCCGAGGAGATAATTGATAGCTTCCACAACGGCCAGAAGGGATTCCACGCATGGTTTGGAGGTGTTGAGTTCACGATCAATGGAGAAAATGTTGAGCGTTTTATTCCGACTGGTGCTGGCTGTGCTTTTGCAAAAGGTGCACAAGGGTTGGAATGGGCTGCGAACGAGAATGGTCAATACGACATAGCACTTCAAGTCACTGGTGGGTTGCCGGGTCAGTACTCGTACATTCGAATTTCTTCCTTCATATTGCTCTGATCATAAGGACGATTTGCTTGGCCGGCAACTCCGTAACTACTGCTCCCATCCAGTTTTGCTTGTTTCAACTTGATCTACATCTGTGCATTAGAAGTGGGCTTTTAAGTTCAGCTCACTGAAACTCATCAGAAAGTAGGTGCTCTACTATGTATACTAACTATGTAGTGTACTATAGGGAATCATAGGTGCATCCATTGCTGGGCAACGGAGAGATACCCGCTCGGTGTCTGGGTTTCGTGTTGACGGTGAATTACTAGTAGAAGCTATTAGAGCAAGTGCGTTTTGTCATCCGAAAACAAAGAGTTCGTACGGTACCGCCCGGTACCTGAATACGGTATGTCATACATGTGCCCGGCACAGAAGCCATACCGGTACCAGCTACCAGGTTCTACGTAATGTTGTGCTCTACATGTACTAGAGTAGCTGCAACAGCTCTAGCTCTCCAACCTCCAACCCAGAATCTACCCAACGGAGACCAAGGCAACGACCCAGTCACCAAATCATCGTCGATTGGCGCGATAAGCGTTCGGTTGAAAGCAAAATTTTGTGGCCGACCACGAATGTCGCCATACTTTTTGGAGCCATGGCAATAAGCGCAACATGATTACTAAGGTCATGGATGCCAATATATAGCTAACAAATGCCCAAGTCAAGTCTTACAAGAGAAATTCATCGCTGCAAAATGACTGTAGATGCCGATTTATTAATTCCTCCTGATGCCACAACATGTGTTTGTCTTGCGAGCGCTCACAATATTGATGTGGATCACCTTTCACACAGTCAACAGTCAACGCCCTCACTCGAAATCCCGAGGTGTGGAAGTGAAGTCCTTCGAGACTTTCAAGAGGAGAGCAAAAGGGAGGTGAATGAAGGTTTCATGTTGTTTTCCTCTTGCCCCATTATCACCAGACCTAGGATTTCAGGTCGAAGTATCATACTACAGTCGTATACTGTTTCTATCATTAGCCATGAGCGATCCCTTGGAACGCTTCCTCAGGGACCTCCTGCGGGAGAACAATGCGGGCGACGTTACGATTGCCGACGACAATGCATCAACACAGACTCCCCTACCAATGCTTAGGCATCTGAGTGCTTCGGTTTCCTCTGACCTCAGTATGAGTATTTCCTCTCTACAAGAGAACTCATCCACTTCGCTAGATAGCATGTTGAGCTCTTCCGGATCTCGCTGGGATAGTATCCCAAGCATTGGAAACCAAAAGCCCAAGAAGGAGCGGATTCCCTGCATGCCGCGCCGATCACTGGACCGCGAATCTGATGCCGTTGCGGTGGTGGTGGTGGCGGCGAAAGAGAACGACCACCAGGATGCAGCATAGAAGACAGCCACAGAAATGGAGTCTTCATTGACTTCCATTCAAACATGGAGAGCAGGCGATTGCTCGCAATAAGGGCACTGGAAAATAGGAACGGAAGGAAGGCACTCTCATAACATCTACGGGCAAACGTTTTGGCCATTTGGGAACCCCTCAACAGAAGATATGCAATGCCCACGGCTTGTTCGCTTTTCGTGACGAAGGGGGCGAGTGATATTGACGGCACCTATCCCACTCAATCGATCGTTGAGCGCGATCTAGTACAACTCATAACTGCTATTATAGCTTTTCATAAAGACTCATGGCCGCTGCTATATTTTCATATATGTAGCAAACACCACACTCAGAATCATCCCACCAGCCGGCGGATCGCCTCCGGCGCCTTGTTCAGCTTTGGGGTCTCTGGTGGCGGGGTATCTGGTTTGCCAGCGTCCTCGCCATATCTTCCTGGCGACAAATGGGGCCAATGACCAGTGGTCTCGCCCTCCTCAAACGCCCCCCGTCTTTCTTGTAGGACAGCGGGTGTTGCCAGATGTTTGGGCGTCATACACACGTACGAGACGGCCCTCAAGAGTTCCGTCGAGGGCGCCATGGAGGGCTTTTCCAAGGCCGGAATGTTGGCATGAATGGTTCGAGAATCCCACAAGATAAGATCACCCGCCTGTGCTGACACGAAGCGGAGCTGATGGTGCATCTCTGTGGGAAGACCAGGGCTATTCAATGGGATCCGGACAAAGTTCCGGTTGGTAGTGGCATGATAGTTGATGAAGGCAGAATGGAACTTGTGCGACTTTGGAACTGCTACAAATCCTCCCGTCATTGTGGTGGCGTCGGTGAGAGTGACCAGCCCCTGTACGCAGTGAAATCCTTGCAATTTGAAACCTTGGTCCACATGGGACCATCCATCACGAGTCTTCCAACCTGGCTTGTACTGCCATGGCCGAAAGACATTGATTCCATCAAAACTGGTCAACAGTTCCAGTGACTCCTTGTCGCCCTTTGTTTGTTGCCCCCAAACCGTCCGAAAGGCTTGCTGGACCTTGGGCAAACACCGAATGTACCACTGCAAGTCGCACTGGCCAACTCCACCGTCATGGATGATGCCGTTGTGGGGCATGCCCATTTGATAAAAGCTAGTCCAAGTTTCTGGATCGTGGCGTTTCCATTCGAATGTGCTTTCCAAAAACTCCCATAGCTTGTCATGTGCTACGGCGACCTCCTTACTTTCCAGAACCCCCTTGACCACGACATAACCGTGTTCCTGCAGGAACGCCGCCATGTATGGGTCGTCCGCACGAAAGCGCGGGACGGGAGAGGTGTCGATGGTGACACTCTTCTTGGTTCGATGGAGGTAGCTCATGTCTTTCTTTTGGCCCACTTTCCGGGCTTGAAAGGTGCCGTCCGAGGACAGCTCCTCAAAGAAGACCGAGCCGTCGTCTGCGGTGATTGTCGTGACGGAGGGCTTCAGGTCTTTCCGATTGAACGATCCAACGGCGGACACGATGCTTTCGGTTTCTTCGGTTTTTTGTTGCTGTGCCATGGTCTTATCCTTTGCTGTTGTTTGAAGGTGTTGTGTTGTGGGCCTTATTGTGGCGAGAGGCGAAGGTTTTTTGTTTTGTGTGGTTGTTTGAAGCAAACGTGCTTTGGGTGAGTCTCAGTCGCGTGCACTAGATTGTGACTGGGTGCTGCCCAAGGATCGAAGCATCGATGCCGCAGCTCAGCCAACTAAATGTGACTTTCAGAAAGAGAGACATACTGTACCGGTAGGTAGACTTGCTAATAATTTGATTTATACATAACAACATCAAGATACTGGACTTGAGATTGCCTTACACAGGTTCGAGCTTATCAATATCCCGCGTCATGGGCGGTAACACACTTGTTGTCCTTACAGAACTCTCCCTGGGGGCAGTGGCTGTTGCGCCTGCAGGGACAGAGGGGGAACTCACAAGTCGGTGGCTGGCGGGACAAGGTTGTTCCATCGAGGCATTGCTTTACGTCCCAGGGACAGACCAAAGGATCCGGGCACTCTTCGAATCGGCACAGCGGAGGAACTCGACCTACAGTGCTGCCATCCGGGCAAGTTCTGACATCCAGAGGACAGACTACGTCGTCTCTGCAGCGGCCTTGATCGCACTGCTCCCCTGGAAAGCATTGACTGTTGGATCTGCAGGTGCAGGGCTGAAACTCGCAGTCGGGGCCTCTTCTGGTCACAAACGACCCATCCACACACTGCTTTACATCATCTGTGCATCCATTGTCAACGCAAACTCCTTGGTTGCATCTCTCCCCTTCAAAGCAGTGCCTATTGAATCGGCAGGTGCAGGGCTGAAACTCACAGAAGGGTCCTGTTCGGGACACAACAGACCCATCCACACACTGCTTTACATCAGCAGGGCAAGCATTTTCCTTGCACTGACCACTATCACATTGCTCATCCGGAAAACATTGCCTGTTGTTCCGGCATCCGCACGGTTCAAAGTTACAATCCGGAGGGGTTCTGGAAACCACAGATCCATCCCTGCACTGCTTTACATCCAGGGGACAAACCGCTTCCACACACTTTCCATTTTGGCAGCGCTCATCTGGAAAGCACTGCCTGTTATCTTGGCATCTACAATCGGGAAACTCACAAGTGGGTGGAGTTCTGGGCACAAAGGACCCATCACCACATTGTTTCCTTTCATCAGGGCAAGCTCTTTCAATGCAAATGCCAGCAACATTACACTGCTCATCTGGAAAGCACTGCCTGTTACCATTGCATCGACAAGGCTCAAACTCACAGTCTGGACCAGTTCGGGACACAAAAGACCCGTCACCACACTGTTTGACATCGGCTGGACAAACCACACCCTGTACGCAAACTTGGTTGACACAGCGTTCATCGGGGAAGCAGTGTCGATCACGACGGCATCGACACGGATCAAACTCGCAGTCCGGTTCGGTGCGGCCCACTTGACGTCCATCGGCACACGTCTTGAGCTCCAACGTGCAGGCGACTTGTTGGCACCTTCCTACAATGCACTGTTCGCCTCGGTTGCATTGTTGGTTGTTGCGACAACGACAAGCCGGGAACTCACAGCTGGAACCTCTTCGGGATACAAAGGATCCATCGCCACACTGTAGAACATCATCGGGACAAAGGACGCGATCATCTTGGAGGCACCTGCCATTGGCACATAGGTCACCTGGTCGGCAGTCTCGGTTTGCGCGGCATGGGAAAAAGGGAGCATCGGTTTCCTCGCAGCGTCCACGGCGGCACGTATTTCTGGTAGAGTTAAGTAGTAGGAGGGTCACAACGAAAAACCATAGATAAGATTGTTCATTGGACCAAGAATTATTTGAGAACTCCAAGAGCGTACCTTGTGCAGGGGTATCCAACTCGGCAGGTTTGCTACGATAGAAGATAGAATAGACATTCATTGGTTTTGTGAGGTGTGCACACCATTCTCCCTTGTGTTCGAATGACAAACAAATAAGACGACGATATTATCTTCTTTACTTACTTGGGGACAATCCATTGCCCGACGGCACTCGAGTGGAGGTGAAGGACGACCTTTGGGAGGACCGCCTTTGGGAGGACGAGGACGGCCATTGGGAGGACGGCCATTTTGCGGCAATCGTCGAGCCACTTCCGTTACATTCGAATCGTTCGCTGTTACATTTTCCTCGGCAGTGGCTCCACACACCAACCACACGGCAGCAATCCACAGAAAGGCGCGCATCATTATTATTCTCATTTCAAGATAGAAGTCTTTATTAACAATTTGAACTGCCAAAGAATGAGACAAGGATATGACTGAGTTTTGTGGCCGGATCTTTTGGCGGCAACCAGCCACGAGCTTGCACCCACCCCTTCCCTGCTCTTTGCTTCGAAAAGTGTAGCTCCGTTTTTGGCGCTGGTGTCTGGGTCACGAGCTTTGACAGGCACGTTTTGTTGACGGCCAGACTGTCTTCGTTCCGAGGCCAAAGATTTCGAAGAAAACAAAAATCCAAGAGAGAAAACTTTCTCACATCACTCTTTAGCCAGCTTTCATCGCAGCCACTTTTACTTCCTGTACTAGTAATAGAATGTCTCGTAAAGCTCGTGAAGACAAGGCCGCCTGGCATACCCCCTCAGTCTATGCCTTTGCAGGGGACTATGGCCCCTTCAAGACTCGAGGACATGCTCCCATTGAGGATGTCTTGGTTTTCTTGACCGTCTCGGAGACTGGCCATGATGCTGAGGGAAATATTCGCCATCCCATGTACTCCATGGCAGCACAAGCCCAGCAAATTCTGTTGCAACCTCCGACGTACAATGATAGCAAAACTACACGTACTTTTCAGCACTTGTTGGTGGTAGATCTAGCAGACATGATCCAACAAGAAGAGAGTGAGGACAACCAAGACGACAAGAACAGCAGCAGCAACAGCAGCAGCAACAGCAGTGCACTGCAAGAAGCCCTGACACGAGAAGTCATAGAAGTGGAGCTGGTCAAGGGATTTGGAAAATCACTTCTACGATTGTTGCAACGGCTGAGGTTCCACCACGTCGTCTTGGCAGCCGCGGGAGAGTTGTGTGGCTTGTCACTCAAATTATTTGCGGCCTTGCAAGACTACGATCCCGAAATTGTCACGGATATCTGGTTGTTGCATCCCCTTTTGACGGCCAAATTCATCAATACACACTTGGTTCCCATGGGGCAGAATCAGCAACAACAGCAAAGGCAACGGACCAATGGTGGTGGAAATGGCAGCAAAAGTGGCAAGAAGGGCCAGAAAAACAGCAGCAAACACAACCACAACAACAAGCAGCAGCATCCACCATCTTTGCAACTCCATTTGGTGTTTGAAAGTGAAGTGGCGCGAGACAAACGTTTGGACATGATTCGGTATGCCTTTCCGGATGGGACGACACAAGTCATTAGTAGTCAAGATCAACCGGACGACCTCTTGGTCTCCTTGTTTCTTGGCAATCCACAACAATCCACACAAGAACAACTGTCATGTTACAATCCCGATTACTGCAATGAAATGGGCAAGTCACTCTTCTTGAGCAAGGTCACTGTCGAAATGGATCGACACAGTAAACAGTACGAACGAAATTGCCAAGAGATCACCGCCGACTTGTTGGTGGTCCAAAGACCCAAGACGGCAGACACGGACACCACTACCGAATCCGATTGGAGTCGAATGGATTGGGCCACCTGTGAACGTCATGTCGGCGCATTGGCGCTACGCGGAAACCGTTGTGTTCTAGTTCGTTCGCTCCAGGGAGCTTGGTCCGGGATGCGCCTTCCCAGCGTCGTGCCCAAACCGGACGAATCGCCAGCGGAAGCTGCCATTCGCGCTCTGGTGGAGTTTACCGAAGTGGATGCAAGCGAAGTTACGGCATTGCCGTGGGTACCCCCCGTGGCTGTTTATGCACCCAACAATCGACCCATTCTGATGCATTTGTACCCGCTGTATGCCACGGCGCCACCACCGGATGGACCTCTGGAAGATGCAGATATGGAAGACGATGAAACACCGTACGATTGGTATACGTACACCAACGCTGTTCAAAAGCTGGACGAACGGTCTGTGGCGGCTCTGCAGACCATGTCATCGGCGCTGATTGAGGCAGCCAATGTAGCAGTAATACCGTGCAAATGGGGAGGAGTGTTTGGACAAGAAATGCCTAGTCGCAGCGTTGTTCATGAAAGCGACAATAACAAGAACCATACAGCTACCAATGCACCACAGTTGGCATCCAATGGTGTCAAGCTGACCGCACAGGTGGAAGAATGGAAGCCATCGCGTCAAGGAGATGTCTTGCAGGATGTCCGCAAAGCAAATGCCGGTCTCACGCAACGCATTGCCAACCAAAAGAATGGAGGTAACTTCAAGTTGCCAGTGACACTGCTGTCGGGATTTCTGGGGTCGGGCAAGACGACACTGTTGTCACACATTCTGGCCAACTACGAAGGTCTCAAGGTGGCCATACTGGTCAATGACATGGGTCAAATCAACATTGATGCGGCTTTGTTGAAGAAGCAATCAGTTTCGGTCCATCAGAGGGAGGAGCACATGGTCGAAATGAGTAACGGGTGTATCTGCTGTACACTGCGTGAAGATCTGCTCGTGGAAGTTGCCAAGATTGCCTCGCAGGGAACCTTTGACTATTTGCTCATCGAGTCCACGGGAGTGTCCGAGCCCATGCCCGTAGCAGAAACCTTTACATTTGAGGATAGCACGGGATTGCGGCTTGGTGACATTGCCCAAATCGACACGTTGGTGACCGTGGTAGATGGATCGCGCTTTCTCTCCGAGTTGGACAGTCTACAATCATTGAAGGAGCGGGATTGGCATGCTGACCCAGAAGATCAGCGAACAATATCCCATTTGCTGTGCGATCAGGTGGAATTTGCCAATGTGTGCGTCTTGAATAAGTGCGACTTGATGAGTTCGGAAGAAAAGCAAAAGGTCAAACAGTTGATCCACAACATGAACCCAACGGCCAGGTTGGTTGAGTCTGTTTACAGTGCTGTGTCATTGGATACGGTCTTGGGGACGGGTCTGTTTTCCATGTCAGATGCAGAGAAACACGAAGGGTGGCTCAAAGAAGCCAGAATTGGTGAACATACACCCGAAACTCTGGAGTACGGCATTGGGTCTTTTACCTACAGAGCAAGGAAGCCATTCTTCCCCCACAAATTCCACAGCGTTATCGAATCCATGCTCAATCAAACACCACCGTTTGACAAGAGCATCATCCTTCGGTCGAAAGGTTTTGTTTGGCTGGCAAACTTTCCACAACTGCAAGGAGATTTCTCTCTCGCAGGACACCATTTTTCCCTTTTGCCGGGCAATCCATGGTGGGCAGAGATCGACAAGGAGCACTGGCCTGCGAATCTTGAACAGGCCATTGCGCCCTTGTGGCGCGAGCCGTACGGTGATCGGCAGCAGGAACTTGTCATCATCGGGCAGTCACTAGACCAAGAATCCATCACTGTTGCTTTGAATGCATGTCTGCTATCCGATGATGAGATGGAGCAAGGTCAAGAAGCATGGAATCAGATGTGCGTTGATGCCGGAGACCCGTTCCAAGATGATTGGGATGCAGCGATTGCAGCAGCACAGAGCGAAGCACACGATCACAGCTCAGATCATGAGCACAGCCATGAACATGCCCACGAGCATGCCCATGCACACAACCACCATCAATGAGACGACGCATTTCTAGGTGGCTGATAGGGTACGGTGTACCGGTACGGTACGAGAGAGACATCAATCGATTGGACAAGGTTAATGTATGTAGGACGCTTGTCTGCCTGTCCACGGTCGATACCGGTAGTGGCTCGAGAGATTTTGTCAAACTGCATAGTGATAGGGCATGAACTGGCACCGGTGGCCACCACACAAAGTGGCAATAAAGCAAACATCATCATAACTCTCTGCATAAAGAAACTCGTTTTTATTTTGCTGCGTTGGGAGTTCAACGTGTCATTGTTAGGTGGCCCGGGGCTGGACCAGGGGTTGGACCAAGAATGGAGCCTGGAATAGACCGGGGGAAGTCATGGATTTGGTCCAAAATGGGTCTGAAGATACTAGCTTGCCTCTAGCTAGCTAGCTACGGTAGTGGATTGACCGGGAGTTGTCATGGCGGCTTGGGATGTGAGCCTTGAGACCCTCACTTCCTCCTTAACGTACGATCGTCTGGCCCTCGCACGGTGTTCTCCATTTTCTCAAAAGATTTTCACCCGCCTCTGACGGCTGACGGCTTCTTTTTTCGCTCTTGGTACCAAAGGCAACAGCTTGCCAAGCGAGAAGCCTTTTGGTACCAAAGCAGCAAAGCAGCAAGCACCAGCCACAACAACAATTAATTGATCTCCATGAGGAATCACACCCGATCTTATTATGTCTGAGACCATGTCCTTGAATGTCGATACAGCAATGGAAGGCCCCATAGGCTTATCATCGTTGGAAGAGCGATGGAACAATGCCAGCTTTGATGAACTTTGGGATTTTGAAAATGACGCAGAATTCGATGCGGGTTCTCTCTTTTTGGCGAATCCCACTGCCCTCTCAGAATCGGCCGCTGTGAATGCCGAGGCATCCGAAGCGACCACAGTAGCGAAGGATCATGTCACAAAGGAAACAACGGCTCCAACCACCAAGAACAACACTGGAAAGGAAGAGAAACGCGAAGACAGTGTGGCAACTCCCGAGGCAACGGGCAGTAGCACAACAGCCAAGCAAATCATTCCCAACAAGATGGACGCAGTCTTTGGACGTGGCAGAAAGAGAGAACATGTTCGAAATGGGTCCTTGTATCGCGCCTTGATTGAAAAACACTATGTGCCGTATAGCCAATTGGACAAAAAGAACTTTGCTCGTCGTCGCAGATACGTCCAACAGAACATTCTAGACATTATTCTGAAAAACAAGGGTCGCTTCATCATGCGGCAGGGATGTGCGCCTCTTGGATCCCTCGAAATGCGCCTCTTGGATCCCACTGACAAAAAGGATACGAGGCTGATCTTCAAGAAAGTACAGAGAAGTCTATTCAATGAGAAAAAACGACGTCAGGCTAAGGGTGAGGACGTGGACGCCGCATCCGCATTATTGGAATCGACGGGAGACGACGCTTCCGAGAGCACAGTTCATTCCACCAAAGACGAATTCGAAGACGCCCCCCCGCCTGACGAAGTCCCAACAGAGGAAACAACAGAGGAAAAAGAGCCAATCCAAGGTGAAGGTCTCGCGGGTGATATTCAACCCCATTCTTTTGGAAACACATCATTCGACGCTCCTACCTGTGAACGAGAAAATGGAAACGCGGATGGTGATACGACGAACCTTGAACCCCAAGTACAGGAACAGAGTCATGATCACATCGAGACTCATGGTGGTCAATACGGCAATAGCGTGGACTTGTCCCCATCCAAAAAACAAGAACCGAGTGCCCAAGCCGCGGTCGTCGCAGAAGCAACCATCGTTTCAAAACCAACTGCAAAATATCCTCCGGGCACCAAAGTGCACAAGGTACGATTCCACGTGTTCGGGATTCTATAGGAAAGAACTTGGTTTTTGCCGTTCTAACACTTTACGATGCTTGCTTTGGTTTCCATTGCAGGAGTTCCCTCCCTTTGGGTGGTACAGTGGACAAGTCGTTTCCTTTGATGGACAAACTTACAAAGTCGTTTACGAAGACGATGATAGCGAATATCTCAACGAAACAGATTTGGATATCATTATTGCTGCCAGTAGTACAGGATAAATAGAGATGACTCAAGATGCTCCCTTTGTCGAGTTGGCGAAAGTCGGGGAAGAAAGGTGATGCGGGGCAAGCAAGGTTGATGATGCAAAGTTTTCAACAACCGGAACAACTTACGTAATTTTAAAATGGGTCTTTACACATCATGAAACTTAGTTTTGTACTTGGCATGACATACGGTAGACTCGAATCACCTTGCAAAGTTTTGTTTGTGACTGCTCACAGGCAGACGTGTGTGGATTTCCTGCAATCAAATAAATGCAACAAGCACAGGACGATTTATTAAGCAACCCAGGTCTGCTTAGCACCAGCAGATAGATGCATAGCACGAGGAATCCTCTCCAGTTTAGCCCATGAAGACCAACAGCTGAAGTTTTGCTTTCTCGGCTTGCCGAAAAGCCGTCTAGACTACAATTTTGTGTCTCCTGCACGCCGATTTATGAACTTCCAATCTGGGCAGGATTGTCCAGTGCCGGCTACAACAGTGCAAGAAGTGAGGCCGTGGTCAGCAATGTAAGCTGAGAATTGACTTCAACATGATCAAGAATATGGGGTGTCAGCATAGGAATAGCACACACAAAAAATAGCGCAAGATATTGCTTCTAATCCTTGCGGTGCTACATCTTAAGTATTAGAACGTCTTCCCAGTGGCTAGCGTCTAAGTAGGCTCGGTCATTTTGGTCGGATAAGATGTGCTAGATTGGCTTGCGCCGGTTATATTATATCTAGAATGAAGTTTTGTATCTTGTGTCACGGCGTTGAGGACGGCAATATCCCCATCCTTAGTGCGATTCCGCCACGATCCTAGTTCGGCCTCCAAGCAACACAAAACAGAGGAAGAGACGATGACGCTTTGATCTTCTTCGACGGCCGCTACCAGAAGACATCCTGTGATTCAATGAAGTTGTCGACTGGGCTTTCGGGAGGGCTCTGGGGTACGGCACGGCGGGATTTCCAGGCACGGCGGGAGGTCTTGGGCTTGGTGATTTCGCAGTTTTGGAGCTCTTGAACAATGTCCTTTTCATCATCATCAGTGGACAAGTCTTCCTCAAGGTGAAGGCTGTCGACATGTTCGAGAACGCTAGGAGTTTTCGAAGACTCGGCACTTGCATCATCGCCACCATCTTCTTGGCTAGTGTCTTGAATGGTTGGGGTTGGAGGGCGGCTGATCGTCACGACATTTCCAGTTTGATGAATGAGGTACCCCGCTCCATGGAGCGCTTCGTGGATCAAGGCAGCATCATCGGCCGCAATCCATCCAGAGAGAAAGACCTGATTGTTTTCGGACATGATTGCAAAGCAGGAAAATTAATGAGCAAAGCCACAAAGAATGCAAGAGCCTCGGAGCCACGGAGAGGAAACAAGAACAACCACGGAGAGTTTTAGGCGGGCGGAATTTTCCAGATTTTGTTGCTCCTTGTTTCAAATGGATTGAATTCTTGTCGACACTCCTTTGATGCGAGGACGGCGCTCATTTTGATTGCATGGAAGGCGCTCACTGTTCAAGCGAATAAGAAACAGGAACCATGTCGTGGCAAATCCTCTCTACCATCACCGAAGATCGCACCAGTGTCGAATCCAAGGCTTCCGTTCGCCTCAAAGGTACCAAGGGTGGGAAAGCCCACCTTCAGGGCGATGTCACTTTGCTTAGCTGGAAGGACGATCAAGGCCGGGCTATTCCTTACAATGGGCTTCCTTCGTACATGCTGCGACTTGATGCAGAACGCTTCAACGACAAGCCGGTCCCCGGAGGCAAAAAGCGCTACGAGATTCGGCTTCCACAGAAAGTGTGGGTTACGGATCAACCAGTTGTGAGGACAACTCGACACGGCAACCATCAAGTCTTTGAAACCAAGATGACGCTGAGCGAGGAGACGGACGAGGGTATCAAGGAAATCTTGTTTCGCCTCCCCATTAGAGATGATGGCAACAAAGATCCACATGAGCTGTTCTTTGCCGCTCTCACCTACGCAGGAAGCCACCAATTCTAGAGGCAACCAAATCAGTCCACCACAACAACTTATTTCTTTATTTTAACTTGCACTAGAGCTATGAATTATTCAGTCCTCTTCATCGCTCTCATCGTTCTCGCGAGTGGCTGTGGAAGCGTCCACGTATTCCTTTGTGCTATCAAGAAAGTCTTCTTGCTCTCTTCGGTTTGCTATCATCGGTGGAAGGTCATGTCTTTTCTTGGCCAATAAACTTTCCAGCTCTTCTAGTTTGCTTTCGTACGCTTGCTTCGATAGGTTCAGACTCTTGAGGGCAAGCTTCAGCTCATCAGCTTTCGCACTGGACTTGTAGACGCCAAAAAGCTTAGCTAGAATCTTCCTTTTGTCGCCTTTGACTTTGTCCCAATGCCAATGAGTGTCCGGCAGCTGCTGAGCAAGACCCTTTGCACTGTCGACGATTGATCGCATCCGCTCTATCTCATCCGTTAGTCCTTTTTCTTGTTTCTCAGCTGCTTTGAGCTCCTCTTCTTTCACTTGTCTTTGAATGAGGATTCCGGCGACAATACCAGACTTGCCTAAGTGGGTTGATTGGCAGGGATATCTTCTTCGTTTGCGCTTTTCTTTCTCACCCATCTTTGCTTTCAGTTCGACCATAACCTTCATGAGCGTCGTTTCCATCTTGTGCGATACAGCCAACACATCTCTTCCCCCAAACGAAACGTCTATCTCTTTTGTTGTATCTCCCCGTTCAACAGAAACCGTGTCTGAGAAAGGCTCAAGAGCTACGTCTTCGAATTCCGCATAAACGTCTTCGAGTTCGATCTCTTCCTCTTCCATAATCGACTTCAGCTTGGAGAAAAACCGCGGTCTCTTTGTTGATAGACGATCTGCAATGCTGCTGAGATTCCTCTTCAGTCGCCGGTCACCGGCTACTTCCTTTGCTTCGTCATACAGCAAGTCGTTAAGCTTCTTCCTTGCAATTCGGTGCTTCTTTCGGCATTTCTTCTTGTCTTTGACTGTCAGAGTGTACTTGTCGTCGTCTGCTGCATCATAGCATTGGTCGAGAATGTCATGGACGCTAATTGGGGCCAAGTTTCGACTGAGTCGCCGTTCATTGTCCAAGGCAATGAAGGTGTCAGCTTTTTGTTTTGTCAAGTTGATTGTCTTGTTGTCAGCTTTTCTTCGAAGGACAATGGCGAACCCAAACTTAACCAATGAGAGCTTCGACCTGAGTCTGTGACTAGCAATAGCTTCGTCGCTCAAGGTGCAAGTCGTGTCGACACGGTTCTCAGGCGTCACAGCCACGAATTCAATCAATTTCATCGCGGCATGTTCATAATCTTCTTGTGGTGAGGGAGGCCGTGAAAGATCTCTTTCGTGGTCGAGTGTGTATTTGCCAATGAGATAATCTCCAATTGCCATCGCCAAGCAGATTAACGGCATTTCTTTCATTGACAGGCCATGATTGCTTGAGCTCTCATCGACTCCATTGTCGGCACTTCCGACAAGAAAATCATCCAATGGAAGGAATGCACGGATTGCGTCTTCTTCGCTTTGAAGCAATGGTCCGCGATTCTCCTTTGGCAGGGCTTTTGAAACCCACACTTTATCTGGCAACTGCTCTCCAGCTTCCTTCCTTTGCTCCTTAATGAGGGAATTGAGCTTGCCAAAATTGTTGATTGCTGCTTGCCATCCTTCATTGTCATAATCCATCGGGTAGAGACCAGTCTTTCTGAAGCTGCTAACCACAGCGTTTGTTCCAGTACGACGGAGTTCATCATTTTGTTCAAGGCAATTCTTCTCTAGACCACCTCTGAAGATCTTATTCGCGTCTCTGTAGTCGAGAGCAGATCCCACCATCAAACCAAGGTTGTGTGCCACTTGGGAGATGTCTTTGGCTGTTAGTTCGTTCTTTCCGTTGTCACAAGATTGTGCCCAGATACTGGTCTTTGATGGGAGTACAAAGATGAGGATATTGTAAAGAAAGAAGGCGGATAATAGAGATTGTGGGCACTCTCTTGAACAGTGCCAATCCAAAAAGAGCACCACACCCATTCCATTCGGCCCTTGATCATGGGGAAGCTGTTTCGCGAAGTGCAGAAGGAAATCGAAGAATGTCCTCTTCAGCATACTCCCAGTTGGCGTGGTCCTGACTTGAAACCCAAAAGGGTTAACAAGAGCATCATTCTTGCCAGCTTGAAAGCTATCAAACCAACCTCCGTACACGCCAGGATTCAATTGGATAGTGTCGTTCTCACTTTGATTTGCGAGGAGTCGATCGCGGTTTGCTTTATCCATTCCATCGAGTTCGCTGGTACTTGATCCGTCCGAAATCAACAAGTAAGGTGCTGGTGCACCTTCAACACACTCAAGAGGATGGCATTGAGCCCCATCAGCACGGACAATGTTGGCTACGCTGTAGTGGAATTGCATCTTTCCGTCTCCTTCTCTTGTGTTTTGGAATAACCTGTCTCTACCCTCCAACATATCTTTGGGAATGAGAACAGGATTCCTCAATGCTGTTGGGTTTGGACCTTGCTCATCCGTGTTGTATATTCGTGTCGGTGGAATGTTGGCATACCTGCATTCGGGCCACGCAGATGGGTTGATTTCGTGCGCAATGGCAATCCAGTTGTCAAGTTGATGATACTGAGCGTTCAGTACTTCAGGCGCTGCTTGTGCGGTTCTTTTGGGATCGATTGGATTGACATTGGCCATGGCTTTCAAACGACCCTCTTTGTACAGTCGCTCAATAGTATCAATGCTGGGGCCTCCATTGTTGCTTGTGTCCATACCCTCAGCTTCCAAATACGCAGAAGCATAGTTTATCAGGTTCACCTTCTCCAAGGGAAAGCCAGCCCTGGCAAATCCAGCAACGCACTCTTGTATCATCTCTTCTTCCCCTTGATCGAAGTAAGAATTCGAAGAAGGGCGTAGGTCTCGTCCGTTCCGCTGCTTTTCTTTTGGCTCAAGTGGAAATCTGCTGTCAAGCTTTCCTGTGATTTGAGGATCATTCGGTGCCACACCAGCTGCCAAGTCCTTTTCTAGATCTAGCTGCCTCCAAACATCAACAACCCGCCGATAGGACTGATCTGATTTGAGAACTTTCACACAATATGAGTGCACGGATTCTTTCCTCTGGCTGGCTTTGGCGCTCGACAGGAAATAGAAAATATCCAGCATCAAGGCTCGCCATTCTTCCTTGGTCCTTGTCGTGTTCTTATTGTCTCGTTTTCTTGTCTTGTCTACGACAATACTGGGTGCTTCGTTGTCATTGCCAGCGACTGGAACGGGAAATTGTTGGTTGATTTTGGCAAGAAGGCCTTCGTTTGTTGGCAGCAAGTTGTTTGAAAGATCATTTTCAAGGCTCAATTTCTTCCAAATGGCAGATATGCGGCAGTACTGACCAGACAAATCATTCTGGTAGCAATAAGCCCGCAGACTCAGTCTTTGACCTTCGGCCCGACTCTTGAAGAGCGTCGAGTAAATTTGAATCAGTTCTTTCTGCCAATCCGCATTTGTTCGTGCTGTCCGTGTAGATGAGGCTCGCTTTCTTGGGGCCATCGGCACCCCATCTAGGGGAACATCTTGACGATCCATCAACGGGTTCATCATGGTCGTGATGCTGCGAGAGCGAGATGCGAGATTGTCCACACCAATCGAGACATGGTTCAAATCAGCACACACATCAACGGCTTCATCTCTCGGGTTTTTGTGTGCAGGAACGCCGAATTTCAAAAATTCGAAGTTCAGCCATTGTGTTGAGGGAGACAGTTGCCTTTATCGGTTGGATCTGAGGAAGAAACATGGTCATACATGACAACTAAAGACGCCATTGCCATCGCATTGAGGGTGTCGATGTGCGAAACAAAGATCCGTATCGGCTGTTGCGGCCATGTTCGCGCTGTGATTAGGATGGACAAAGAGCGTCGGAAAGCAGCCTGGCTAGCTGAATCTATCCGTTCCGCCCTAAGAAGCGCGCCCAAAGACGTTAACATGCGTTAGAATTGGCTCTCACGGACATTAGACCCATGGTGCTCTAAATGAACGCACTTATTGGGCTCGAACAAATTAGTTAGGTGGCAGACATCTTATGTGTGCATCTTATCTCGCATGCGCTATTTTCTATGCTGACTCCCCATACTAGAGACAGCAGTGGGGAACCTGTACAGGTACCCTTTGCGTGCTGTGTTGGCAAAAACAAACCTCTCAACCATTCCTCTATTGAGTACCCTCTATCCTCTCACCTCTCATGTTCAACATGAAGAACTTTCTTTCTTGGAGACGCCTCGTAGGGGAGACCTTGAACCAAAACTTCTCGGTCCCTGCTAGCCACCAGTAGCTAATCCGGCATCCCCTTGGAGCAGTTGGCTTTTTGATATTTGATATTTCAGTCTCCGACCCATAGTGACAACATGGTGACTGGCCAATCACGCACTACCAGAGACACTTTCCGCAATTGCTGTGCTGGCGCAAGCTAGCCACGTGGCGGCACAGTGTCGAAACGGTTGAAGTTCGAGTCGTCTATCTGTTCCATTGATTTGCATCATTCTGGAGTCTCCTTGTCGCCATCCTCTTCCTGTTTCCTTCGGGCTTGGATCGGGGAGCACCGTTCCAGTTGTACGAGGTCTACTACATGTATGTATGTACATGTATGTATGTATGTATGTATGTATGTAGTCGTCTGATCAAAGTACGGTATGATCCAGCACGTGGTGAGCAGCTACCAGTACAAATAGCAAGTATGAGGTCCATCTCTTTTCGTTGCTGATGGTACCGGTACCAATATGTGAATGCAGACCGAACCTTTGGGAAACCTACTCAGCTCCACTCTTGGATCGGACTTCATGGGATGCATTGGGAGTGTCCGAAGTGTTCTTCAGGGGTAACCTTGGATTCTCATTGCTTTTAGACTTCCGCACCTTGTCTTGAATTCGACCGCGCACCACAGTTCTGGTAGCTGTTCTGGTTGAGCTTTGTTGCTTGATCTCGGAGTAGCGATGATGAATGATGCTGAGACTTCCGCAATTCGTCTGTTCTCGCCCGCCGTGATGTCATGGCCTGGCTCATGGCCTGCCGTCCAAAAAATGAGAAGAAGCAAGTGCTTTCTAAAAAAACATAGCCGCTTTCTGACACACAGAAGAAGCTTTTTCAGAAGCAGTTGCGAGTGCCGGTGCTTTTGAGAATTCCGCTTCCATGAAACACGGACACACCGTATGAAGACTGGTAGACAGTTTCAACCACAAGGAGACTCTTTCGTCTGTTCCTCACCCATTCCGTCCGTGAAAGCTCCGTCAGAGGGAATCTACTATTAATAGAGGCTCTTTTTGCATCCAAAAACAAACTTCAAAACGAAGGAATAAGCCTACTTCAAGTGCCTCCAGCAGCAAAAGTCGGAGAAGCCAAACCACAGCGATTCAAACTGGTGTCATCAAGGGCTCGGAGTTGTCCCAAGTGGGCAGTCTACGACAGCTAAACTCAGTCCTTTTTTGACAACCAAAATTGCAAGATACCTCGGTGGCCATGGGGAACCATCATCGAACTTGGATCCAACTGTCACAAAACACAAACACAAACACAAAAAGCTAAAGACAAGATTCGAAATAGTGAGCACAACAGCACACAAAACAGTTTAGCCACTTCAATTTCAAACCAACCGACCTTCCATCATGACCATTGTACCCACCAACATGGATGTCTTGTGCGGCAAGGACCGAGCATGCCTTCAGGCCGAGGGATCTCGCCGCTTCCGCGATATCATCGACAGCCACATGCCCAAATACATGCAATGCAAGACCAAGTTCGAAAAGATGCAATACACCAAGCGCATCTACGAGCAGGTGACTCGAGATGCTCGCTTTCTCAAGTTTAACGAGGCCGAACAAGCCTGGGAGGAGATCAGTGTCATGGCCGCTCGCGACAAGGTCGGCCATGCTTTGCGATTTGCCTCCCGTGCCAAGCGCCGCAACAACAAGACCAAGAAGACTCACAAGAGAACTGGATCTGGCTCCTCAAGTTGCTCCTCCGAAAGCAGCAGTGCCGGCAGTGCTGGATCTCCTGCCCCCTTCGCTTGGAACTCGCTCATTGGCCAAATCCACAATGGAGTGGATGTTCCTGAGGAAAGCGCCAGCAGCAGCAATGTCGAACAGCAACTTGCAGCGACTGAGGATTGCTTTGCCTCTGCTGATTCCTTGGATGCTTTCCTGGCTCTCGATTTCAATTTTGACAGTAACGACGACTTGCCCCAAGAGGACCCCTTGGACAACTTTATGGATGACATGCTCAAGGCTGTCAAGATCATTGAAGCTGAAGAAGCAACAGAAGAGGAGAGCCTCTTGTCCCTCTTGAGTGAACCAATGGGAGAATGGGAGGAAGACCTTGCCCTTTCCGAGTTGCCCGTCTAAGCATCAGTTTTTCAGCTTATACAAGTCAATGTTCCAAATCAACCTTCTCTTCATCTCCCAACGCTGTTGCAGCAACCTGAACAATATACCCTATACATATCCATTGCACAATAGAACTAGAAAATAAACGTATCTCTACCAGTAACTCCCTCACTTGGACAAAACCTTCTTTGAGAACAGGACCGTCCACCAGTTTTTGTCAGGTTTAAAAAAAACTTAAAATTTCGCGGCTGAAACATTCCCTTAAATCCTCAACATTCCCTTAAACATTCCCTTAAAGAAACATTCCCTTAACAACTTTCCCATAAGACTTCCGAAATATTCCTCTAAGCCTTCATGTAAACCCCATAGAGCATTCCCTTCTCACGAATGAACAATCCCTTAAAAACATTCCCTTAAACATTCCTTTAAATCTGAAACATTCCCTTAAATATTCTATTAAATCTGAAACATTCCCATAAACGAGAACCACCATTCGAGTCAGCAGAGACAGATTTTAAAGCCTGAGCGAAAACCGTCGCACCGTCCAGGAACTGTAGCTAAGGTCCAGGTAGATACGGTAAAGGTATCTGCTCCCCATGAAACTGGGAATACAACCGTGTACATGGAGTACCAGGCTCTACGTGTTACCCTGTCTTTCCTTATGTTTGTGGGTGTTTCTACCTTTCTCGACCTTCTTCCAAGCTGACTGGAACATCCCATGTTCCAGCGAACGACTTGCTCGCTCACTGGTATCAATGAAGCCTCACTGAACACACAATCACTGAACGACCGAAGGAACACAAGAAGACTGACGCAACCAAGTCAATCCAAGCAAAAGATCGCAAAGTCCTGCGAAAGCACGTGATCGGCAGTGGCAGAGTGGAAAGCACCAGAAAATCGCAAGTCCTCGAAAAACGCAAAGTCCACGAACGGCAAAGACAAAGTCACTCAGATCACACATAAACAAGATAACAAAACACAACAAGAAACAGTAACCACAAAAAATTCTTAAAACTAAAATGAAACATATAAAATTTGTTTTTCCTATGCCTACAGCAGGATCCCGCTGTAGGCTGGGGACCACCAACAGCTCAACGCAAGCGTGGGTGGATGCCGGTGGGCTGATTCTTCTTATCTTGCTTGAACTTGTTGATGATCTGGGTGACCGTAAGCCACCCGTAGGTGGCATAGATACGGTCGACCGCAGCCCTCCAATCGAAGCCCTTCGCCATCAACCGAATCACACAGTCCCACACATGCTTGCGGCGGCAGAACTTGTCCTTGACGCGGCCGCGCTCACGAGCAGTGAACTCGCATGCCGCCTTGTTCCCGTTCAGGCCCTTGATCAACTCGTCCCACAACTCGTAGAGGTTGAACGGCTTCTTCGAAAGCTGCGCTGGCTGGGTAGCGAGTGTAGGGGCCCTTGCAGCAGGAGTTCGAGCCAAACGCCCAGGACTCAGTGGTGGTGGGGGAAGTCCTCCGCCCGCCGCAGCAGCACCACCGCCGCCAGCTCCACCACCACCGCCGTCAGCTCCACCGGCCGCACCAGAAAGAGGAAGCCTTGGAGCACCATTGCCACCACCCCTCGCGATCAACTGGAAGTGGTTGATCCTCCCGATGTTCTTGTTTACGATGGCAATGTTGGTCGAGACATAGCCCCTCAAGGAGCTGATGTCCTGTGCAAAAATCTGCTGGGCCTCCTCGATCGCCTGCTGAGTCCTATGTTGGAGAGCAAGCAATTGGTTGAGCTGTTCCATGTTGACACCACCAGGAGCACCTCCAACCAAGGGCTCAGCACCAGCTCAGACCTGGGCGGTGGGAGCCAACTCAGTAATGTGCAATGCATTGGCTACCTTGTAGATTGTCAGAGGGATCTTGGCCACTGGGTTGTACTCGGCAAAAGGATCCTCATCCAAAGTTGTCCGAAGCTGGGCATACTCCGTCTGGATGCGGTTGTGAATGTCTGCCGGCGATAAAGTCTAGGAGCGAGAGCTCTGGATTCCGTCAGAGATAGATCCCCACGAGTGCGAATGGATCCGCTCTCATGGGTCTGCCACGATATACGATTAGCTACTAACTAACTATCTACAAACTCTCCCCATGAATGGAACATCCATGGGCCACTCAGCATCGACTGCTAGTGGAACACAATGTGAGGTCTGGAATCTCACAAGTGGAGGGACATGTATGGTTGGTCAGGGACTCGACCAAAGGTAGGCAAGTAGTTGCCTGGTCCATCAGCATTGCCAGACTTAGAAGGTGTCGGCGGTGCTGGTTGCTATCATAGCTGTTGTTTGTTTTCTTTATATGTAGACAAATATTCGGGGCTTTGCCACAGGCCGAATTCAGCGGCGGCAAGCTCTCAGTGGAGCGGCCTTCTTGCCCCGCAATCATGTCCCTTGACGGATGGCATGGATGGGCTGTACCAGACAGGGACGTAGTCTAGTTGCCCGTCCGAAAATCCAGGGGCGTCACCGGGTTTGGTCCATTGCCATGCACTAATGCCATGGCAGCCAGCTTTGGGGTAGAAAGCATGGTGGCGGTCAACTTCTGGGAAGGTGACACCATGGCAGTCAGCTCCTGGGTAGGAGACACCAAAGCTGCCTTTGTCAAAGGTGCTTGATGTGGTTGCTCCCCATGGTTTCCACCAAGAGCAGAGGGTATCTGCTTGGTAGGCCTCCTGGCAAATGGACTGGTGATGGTTGGACCAAGGCTGGTCCTGTCCAAAGACAACGGCACCTCATTGGGTACGAGTCTTGTGGCATTGGCTGTGCCATAGGTTGGTGGTTCTGTGGGAACCAGTTTGGGAACCTTGGGCCTCACTATAGGTGATGGACCACTAGGTCTCCTGCCAATGTTGGTTGTGGTGGGACCCTTGTGTGCTATGTGCCTTGGAGCAGGTTGCTTGGGGGTCACCACTGTGTGAGTCTGCTCATGTGCTCTTGGTTGTAGAGCTGACTGAGTGGGAGGCACACTTGGTCTATTTGGTTGTGCAACTGGAATGTTGTTGGCGCCAGCTCTGGAAGCTGGTTGCTTGCTGGCTGGAGGTTTTGCCATCATGATCTCCCCAGAGGTTGGATGACTACTAGGGCTGGCAAGCTCGATATTCTCCCCATCATCCAACGATGGATGGGCACCAGCGAGGGCATTCAAGGGTGTGGCACTGGGCAGCTGGTGGCTCGTAGCTGGGACACGCAGGGGTTGTGTGACAGTCAACTCCCCACAAGCTAGCTTGGGAGATGGAGCCGTGGCTACATTGGTGGGCAGCTGGTTGGTGGCCAAGAGGGCATCAGTCAATCATTGCTAGATGGCAATTGCATCCAGTCGTTGCTGGATGGCAGTGGCATCTTGCTTTGAACGAGTAGCCCTGTGGGGCTGCAGCTTCTTTGGGCTGTGGAGCCGTTGGGTACCAATAGCACTGTCACCAGTCGGCTTGTGGACGCCATCAGCACTGCCCATGGCTGACAGTGGAGTGGCATTGGTCTCCCCATGAACTGATGGTGTCAAAGCAGGTGTAGGTGCTGTGACAGGTGGCCTAGCAGCTACCACGACCAAGGCGTCCAGTTGAGCTGTCAGTTGGTCCTTCAGGGCGATGAACTGAGCTTCCATCTTTCGTTTGAAGGCTTCGCGGTCAGCTCTCATGTCTTGCTTGAATGATTCGTGATCAGCTCTCATGAGATCGAGTTGTTGAGTCACTGGTCCTGGTGTGGGACTTGTGACTGTTAATCCAATAACTTTCAAGAAGGTTCAGTTCCAATACTCAAGTAGTGGACTGGGTCTCGCTGAAGCCCTTCCTCAGGGATAGCGGTTGCAATACACGGCTCTTAGCCTTATTCGCGACTCGATCCTAGATAGGGTTTGAGTTCGACTCATGCTTTTCAAGAGCCTTGTAGGGACAGACGCTTCGACACAGGCATTTATGCCAAAAGTAATGTCAGTGTCGTCCAAAGCAGGCTGAGCTGCTCCGTTCCAGGCAGCCTGGAAACGCTTGGAAAGCGGCTTCGTCTCACCGCCACGTACGTCGCGTGAGCAATCGCGTTGACTGCAATCGGCGCAAGGCATTCCAACGTATTTCACGATGGCCTGCACAGCTAGATTCGTAACTGCTCTTGCAGAGCTAAGTCATCTCCTTGAGGAGTTATGTTTGTCGTCAGGCGTAGCAATGCGAGCCCGACGAAGACCTTCTCCATACGTCCAGCCCACTTGATGGTTGACGTGGAGTTCAGATCATTGATGATTGGACCTTGAAGGTGTACTTGGCGCTGTTAGCATCTGCTGGAACAGTGCAAAGTTTGTAGGTGGTAGCGCGAGAATCGTCGATTTCCATTCATCGTCGAGGTCGATGAGAGGAAGGATTGGTTTGTCGCGCAGCTTAGACTCGAAGCTGGTGTAAGCGTCTTTGCAATCTTCATGGTGAGGAATAGGTTGAGGTAGCTGAAAGCTATTGTGTTTGTTAACAAAATGCACTACGCTAAAAGCTAGTGTAAAGATCTTTCGAGTGTTTTGAGTTTGAGAGAATGAAAGTTATAAGAGGATTAGAAAGCTATGAAAACTAATCAATGAGAGAGATCCACAATCAAAGGATCGTAGATCTGAATCCCGCGGGAGACTGTAAAGTGTGATAGAGTAGGTTGCGGTAGCAATCCTACTCACTCCACGATCCAAAAACGGAACGCGGGAAGATTCGTCTAGATTTATCTATAGCGTGGAATCTCTCCACGCCAGCTAAATATCTAGCGCGATGTTTCACCATCGACTAGTATGACTAGCGGTCTGAGAACCCTGTCTCAATGACTATTCACGAAAGACTCAGTAT